GGGCCTTTGGTGGACAAAAATATTCTCTCTAAGAAAAAACATTACTTTATTTCCTCAGTGACCAGACAGCCACGCTATCTCCATCTCTCTCATCGTCTAACATCGTTATTGCTGTTTTGAAATTTTAAAAATATATAGTATGATTAAATGAGAGACTCTCTAATCAAAAAAAAAAGAAATTTGAAATGTTAAAGTTGTTGTGTGTTTTTTTTTTTTATGTTCAAGTGGGGACAAGTTTCTTTCTTTTGTAAATCTTGAGATTCTTGTTTGATGATGGATGATGGCTTATAAAACAAACCATCACTTTCTTGAGAGATTTGTGTTTACATAATCAATGCACATGCTAATGAATATGCATTTAATTTTGGATTATACATTTTGGTTATTAGGTGATTAATTTCGGGATATCATTAATTCGTGGAACATACTAGCCTATAGCTGTTCTTTTTCTTCTTCTCCAAAGGCTATAGGTTTAGTACTTATAAATATTTAAAATTGGAGGATATAAAATATTCTATAATTGGTGTTAAAATATTTAGATTGTGAGCTCCATAAATTTAGGGGGTTGGTTGGGGTAGTTATATTATTTTATAGTATAGTTTATTCTCTCATACAATGATATAGAGTTATAGACTACTACCTTTTCTGGTTGAACAAAACTACGTACTTGAGAGTTGGACATAATTAAAAGTTTTATAATTTATTAGTTTCACTAAACTTAGCGCGATGTGTTACATGGGGCTATAGCAATCTATGTAATTATAGACTTTTTCGGTTTCATAAAAATGAATGCTTTTAAAAGAAAACTTATTATATAATATGTTTTGTATTTTCCATGCAAGATTTGGATTAGATTTCTTGTTTTAATCTCTACTTGTTAGAGTTATAATAAATATAACAATAAATTTTTATAGAACAAAGGTTTATTATACTATAAGTTCTATAAGAAATTTCTTTACATGTGTGTATTACCTTAAATATCTATCTTTATGAATTAGAGAGAGTATATTGTTGAATTTGTTTTTATTTTACGTACATTCACACATCATATATATTGCTGAAGTTTATATATGCTATATGATATCGGAGTACAACTTAAGGTTAGAAAGCCAAAAACATTTAAGAGATTGTCATAATTGTCATTAGAGACTTGAAGCAATTCTTAAAAAATTCAGGAAAAAAGAGAATACGAATATACTTATATAATATAAAAAGAATGATATTATCTTTTTCTGTTTATGTTATATATCATATGTTGAGGAAATGGAAAAATATGACAAAGAAGACTTGATGGCATTTGCTGGAAGCTAGACCCACGATAAAAAAGCATATGGACTCGTTGATAGTTGATACCATGTGTTCCCACTTCTTTAAAAAGAAAATTATTTTTATTGCAACGAATAATTTCTCACATGAATAATACAACAATAATGAAACCAGTCGAAGCTAAGCTAAATTAACCAAGAAAACGTTACTATAATTTTTTTGTTCTCTCTTCCAAGAACTGGGAGGCTATACTTTCACTTCATGCTTGTCTACATTGGATTGTAATCTTGTATATAAGTATAGAACCTTATGTACAAATATTTGTGAATTAGTGATAGACTAATGTTCTCACACTTAGGGAGTTAATATGTTATCCCTCGTAACAAACTAATTCTATTATCCCCAAGCTCGACAGCGAATCACATTTTGATTTTGATTTATAATTAAGAGTGCATTTGGATTTCATAATCAAGTATCATGAAATAGAGCCACAAAGCGGAAAGAAAAGAGCCACAAATTTCTCACCCCTACGGATTCTTCGAAACACTTCTTCATTGATCATGTGAATATGTGATCAATGAATAATACTTATATTATATATCAAGTGCTTTGAGTTATTTCCCAAAATATATAGAATATTTATGTTAAGCAGTCTATATCTAATAATTTGGATTGAAATCTCAACAAAGTGTTACATTTTAGATTTAAGAGTAGCCCATGTATGTATCATGATTCATGCATGATGCATGCGTTAGACATTAATCAATATGTCCATGGTTTAATTCATGATGTATATAGGATTTAGTTTTTTTTCTTCTTCTTTTACTTTTTAAAACATGCAAGGTGTTACATTGATCCTTTGAGTTTTTCTCTTCAAGTATGTATAATAGCACTCTTTCACTTCTTGATCTTGATGATGCTCAAGGCATCCCTTAAACTAACTAGTGCGTACTCTGGTCCGACATAAACTCAAAAAGCCTTGTTTCCTTTTATTGAGAGAACCAGAATTATACCAATTGTAACCAATTCTAAGCATACGTTACTCAACTTTAATCTTTATACTTGCTATAATTAATGGTGTTGTGGTCTGAACTCTACAATGGAGAAAGCTCTTTGGAGGATTTATAAGAACTGGAATCTTATGAAGAAATGGAATCTATAACCCTTAGATAAATCCTCGACAATCCCAGGATGATCATAATTCATGCAGCTGTGCACCTATCCAAGGGTTTAGAAATGTACAAAATGAGAATTCGTTGTGGTAAGTAGAAATATATGAAATAGGTGGTCATGAATGTATCCAAGGACGTGAAAACTTAATTATTAGGAAACTGAAGATATCATACGCATCGGGAAGGTAAAAGAAGTCTTATATGTATACTATGATACTTTGCATGTTTACAATTATTGTTCACAACAACAGTGTACAAGTGAAACGTACTACTCCAAGTGAAAAATGGAGAAACAGAATTAGACTTGAATCTGCTGAACATCCTCGAAAGATCTCTCCCCGTTAATGGTTTCACGACTCTCTACATATTGCAGAAACTCCATAACCACTGGGTCGGTCCAAGGAGCTCCATTCGGAGCTTCTTCACCTGCCACCCATCCCAAGTGCCCTCCTCTTGGTGTTACAATCAACATGCAGTTTGGGTTTGCCTGGCACTTTTACTTGTTAGATAGAACCAAAATCATATCATTTTCATGTGAGTGATATGATCTCATTCATCTCTTACCTTGATCTCATCGCGAGGAATACCTCTCTCAGGAGCAATCGGATCATTAGCCGCCTGCATTTCATATCATATAAGCAAAGGAACATGTGAGAAAAAGCAGATTCTAAGCTTACGGGTTCATCACTCGTTGTTCAGGGAGTTCACCTGAATGCAAAGCAAGGGTATACGGACTTGTTTTACAGATTTGGAGCTGCTAGACTTGGAATAGTACTCATCCACTGATTTGAAACCGAATGACACTGTTACATGAAAAAAGCAAACAAATTATTTGTAGCTGTGCGGCCTCATCTTATCAAAGTATAAGTAAAAGATAAATGTGGATGTAGACGAAAGTCGAGAAACTAACCCCGGGTTATGCCTTCGTCGAAGTCCCTAACCGTCGTGGCATTTGCAGCAAGGGGAATGTTAAATCCACCACCTATGTCTTCAAAAAGAAGAGAATGTCTGCAGAGAGAGATGAACTAATATGTGACAAAAACTAACTAACTGGCAAGACGAAAAGATTGCGGTGGAAAATGAACCAATTACTTGCTAAATATTCTACGAAGAGATTTTGACAGGGCCTTGTCATAAACATTGTTGAAACCCTTATGGAAATCTTCATCTGCTATAACCAAATCAAAAGGATTGCACAACGAAACAGCACCAGAGAGAGGACAGTTATGAGATTCCTGCAACAACAGCAACAAAAATGATTAGAACTTGGTTATAAGTTATAATACATATACTGTACATGAATTTCAAACTCATGGGTTAAGCTAACAAACCTGACCCAAGTAGTTAACAAGAATGTTGGCTCCAAGAGACCATCCTGCTGCATACAAATTAGCATTTGGGAATTTATCTCCAACATGAGCAATCACTTCACCAGTGTCTCCTAAAAACGAAGCCGAGTAGAACTGCATTATCAGTATCATAATACTTCAGTCTAGCAACTTCCCAATGCTGACAAATGAAGCTAATTGAGACTCTTCATCATTCATCACCAGACCATCAAACATTACTAAAAGGGAACTACTTTATGAATCTAAGATAGAGCAGAGATCAAACCTGAGGAGTAGTAACAGGACTATCTCCACATCCACGGCTATTAAACACAACACAACGCCATTTTTTACTTTGAGCTCGTAACAACATATGTCTCACATAAGAATCTTGGCTTCCTCCTGTTAAACCTGGCTACACATTTTTATAAAGTTTTCATTTTTCACTCAATTCACACTTACTCTCTTTACTAATCAAATAGATTTGAGTGGGATTTGAGAGTGTTACCAACAAAATTAGGATCGGTGATTCAGGAGAAAGGAAACTATCGTCGCCGACGACCCAATCTAAAGCAACAGAGCCGTTGTCTTTAGTACGGAGACACTCACGGCGGAGCCTGACGGAAGGAACAGAGCGGTAGAAAGCTGCGTAGATTGTCTCCACGTGGCGGTTAAATCCGGTTAGAGGAAACGCATTGTACGGTTTGACGAGCGAGTCCTTTAACGCCGGCAAAAAACGATCTCTTCCTCCGCCGATAACTTCGAGAGAGCTGTGGTGGTAATTTTGAGACATTTCTGGGAGTTTCGGTTTCGCGGCGGCGAAAACTGAGAAACGACGGCGGAGAGTACGAACTGTAATTATCGGCGCCGATGATGTGGCAAAGGCGATTCTCGCCATTTGCTTCACCACGACGTCGTTTTTGGTGACAAATACGAAATTGGTACAAACAAACTTACGCTTAACTGCCAAAGCAACGCAATTTTTATGTGGTCGGGGAAATTTAAACTAATTTGCAATTTAAGTCCTTGATTAATTTGTTATACGAACATAGACCATTTTTATACGATTTACATTTTTTAAACCTTGGTCAGCGGCCCCTTTCAGTGCCCACTCTCTATCTGTATATTACGAGGCCGGCCCATTAACAGATAGAAGTTGTTGGCTATAACTGTAGGAACGGCGTCGTTTGGGGGTAAAAGCGTAAACATAGCAAAACAGTCCATTACGCGGTGTTGACCAAGAAAAGGCCACAGAGGATTGTAAATTGTATGCAAGTTCAATTGATTTTAGTAGCTTTCGAACGAACACTTCATCCACGTGAAGGCTCTCAAATTTGGAAATTTCTATGTAGTTGTGGATTAAATAGCGAAATCAAGTTGCTATCTTTTTATGGTAAATAAAGAAAAGTTAAAAGTTTCTAATTACAAGTTGGGACAATTTACACATTTACTAACCAAATTTACCAGCTCACTACTCAGCTATAGAACTCAACTCCGCCGTAAACTTCCTCCTCCCTTTACCACCACCACCGCATCCTCTTCCGCCGCAACTATTTCTCTTTACTCTCTTAACTCTACACTCACCAACAATATCTTCTTTGTTATTATAACTCAAACCGCCTCCACCGTTTTTGGCAAGGGCAGAGCTCGCTTTAACCGCTAAAGCCGCCATTTCCTCTGCTCTTAACGGATGGTTAAGCCATGTCAAAGGTAAAACGAAGTATAGCTCTCCAGGTCGAAGATCATCGCTGCCAGAAACAGCTGAAACGGCGTCGTCGAAGTCCATATCGTCGGAGTTACAAACAAAGCTCGTAGGATTCTTTTGAAGAATCTGCCACACTTTCACCGGCGTTGAGAACTCTTGTAACGTTCCGTCTGGTAATATCAGCTTCGCCGTCTCCGTTCTCCGAGATTCACGTGAACTGCAAGCTCCCATGTTCTTAGTATAACTTCTTTGCACGTAAACTCTTTGTTGCCCTTGAAACGTCACTTGCTAAGTTGAGTTGACTCGTGAGTTTAGAAAGTTTTTATAGATAGATAGATAGATCAGAGAGAAGATCTCGTCTGTGTTTTGAAAGAGATACAAACTACTCGTGGGGCTTTTATATATAGAAGAAGAAGAATAAGAACAAGCGAGCCTCGTGATTCGGAAACTTCAAGTAGCCTTAGAATTTTGTCGTGTAGCGTTCAAAATCAGACAGGACAGCTCACGTAATATTATTGTCTAACTAAAAACTACAAAAGTACCCTTATCACTAGGCTTTAAAAGATACGTAATTAAGAGGTAAATGTTAAGGGGTTCATTGGGAAATATGAAGATGAAATCGTGGCGAAGAAGGAGAGAAGAAAGGAGCAAAGTATCCACGTGGCAAACATAAGAGAGTTAGGGACAGAATCAGAAAGGAGACAAAGCTTAGTTGGACGGAGGTTTGATCTCCGGCGGATGGGGTGCATGAAGCTAGGCTTATGGGAGCATCACGTGAAGGCAATAAGGATGAAGCATGGGTAGGGACCAAACGGGTCGGATCAGGTCCCATTTAGATACATTCGGTTGCGTGGGTCACCTAACCAGAGATTCGGGTCTTCATATTAACTCTTATGTACGTGCATCCATTTATTAGTTTATAGTTTAAGAATTTTTTTCCGATATGAACGAACGTGCATCAATAATGTGAATTCAACTCCAAAATTATTGTGTTGTCTATATGGTATTAAGGTCCACAACGCTGTATCGAATTTTTTGATTACGTCTTTTAAATACTTTTTAAGTAAGGATCGATTTGTTGAAGAATATCGCTTTCCGTTGAACTTTTTTGTTAAAGAAATGTTTAGTAGTATCTATAAAGTCGGATACTTGTAACCAAACACAAAATATAAAAATCATAAGAGCTTCAATTATATGAAGTTATATATAATTTATTCCTTACCACTTTATACTTTTAGCCCCAAAAGTATTCTACTTTAGTTAAACTAATGTTTATGTAACTATTAAAATAGATAGTATTTGTATGTTATGTTCTTTTTTTCATATATGTTGTCTGATATTAGGATCACCCACGTATCATCAGCCGAACTTTATTTGTTTTAGTTTTGTGGGTATGATAATTGAAGACAATAAAAGTGATTTTGTCCGATTTTTCTCATTAGAAATAATCAGAAAGAACTAGTCTCAATACATTTGTATACATTGCAATAATACATGTTTTTATAGTACTATTGCTTGTGGTTCATGATTTGGCTGCAATAATGAGACACACTATTTTCTAAGTATAAAATATAAAAAAGACGATGGTTCGGTCTATGAGAAGAAGTAAACAATGCTTCCGAGAAAGTTGGGAGGATCCGAATCCGATCACCCGGAAAATGGTATTGTAGTTGGAGAAGATCCCCCAAATGTAAAAGGAAGAAAATTGCCTCCAAAAAACTTTTGACATTCTTTAGAAAGGGAACAACTTTTTACCATCAAAATACTAGTTTCTCATAAAATTTCAATTCAAAACCACTCATAGAGTATATATCGTTATACCCATTCGACATAAAAATAAATTATCGGTCAGTTTCGAAATTAATCTCGTTCGATGATCAACCTTCGGAGCTTTTTTCGTCAATATGATAAAAATTTGGATTTTGAATATCATGACATGTGGGCTTTTAGAGGTTAAATAGACATATGATATTAGATAATAAGAATATGTATAATAACATATACCAGTCTTCATAAACATACTAAGTAAGGACTCAGGAGATCATCACAGTCAATCATACAGACGCCTACAAAATCTACTAACTATAAAATATATTGACATATTTGATGAGTGAATGGTAAGATTTGCAGTAATTTGAAACGACTTGGATAGTTATATACTTATAAAGTAATAGTATATACTAAGAAGTTTATTTAAATCATTGTATGAGATGTTAATTAATTGAGTGCTTAAGAGGTAATATTCTCTTTGCATTCTCGAATGTTATGTGCTGTCGTCCCACACGCCAATATAATTTATTTTGTTTTCTTGGATCAAGTCTATAGAATTTGTTTATGTTATACATGTTTTCAATATTTAAAGATCAAACACAGACAAACTTGATCTATTTAATTACTCAATCGCATGCACACTTGCAGAATTAGTTAATACAAGGAGATTTTGGAAAATAAGCAAACACGATAAGTTCATTATTTTCACGTGAAACACTCATTAAACTATTTCTACTTGTCATTAAACTTTGTTAGAAAACTTGTTTAGTCGTGAGAAAAAATTATCAAAAAAAAAAAAAATCAATCCAACTAATAAAAAAGAACCTTCGGATTCACATTGATCATCCAAAGGAAATTGTTCCAAAACTGGTTTTTCTCAAATATTTTTTTTTAGTCTTAAGATTAAATGATTTAAACATGCATAGTTTTGTCTAAATACAATATTCATTTTTTTTTTTTAAGAAAATCATCAACCAAACATAAGAAAGATAAAAACGCACATGTATAAACCTCCAAAATTCTCAGTTATATAAACCTCCTAAAACCCCAATAAAACCATATGATATAAAAAAAAAAACTGTTTTGGAATTAAAACCCTAACTAGAAGAATGGAGCTCTATGTGGACTCCCTTTTCTCCTATGTCGTTTCTTCTTCACCGGTTCATCAGTCTCTTCTGAATTATTCTCTGTAATCTCTGAATTCTCCATCAGATCATCAAGCTGTGTCCCAAGAGCGCTCCTAAACTGTTTTATTTTTACGATATACATAATAACATAAACAATGTTAACCTTACATAACAAAAAATAGTGTAATATATATATGGACTTCAAACTATAAGAACTAAAAAAAACCACAAATATAATAACATACCTTGCATTCAATTGAACAGAACAAAGCAGAAGAAGAAGCATCAAGTTCCCATTCACAAACTTGACATCTATGCGAAACATTGTTTCTAAACCGATGATTATCATTACCACGTCTCTGGTTTATATAAACGATCGGAAACCCGTTTATCGTATATGTCTGTATCCCTGATAAATCCATATACATTGACATCGTCTCTTTTTTAACTCCTGTCTGGTACGAACTTCTATAACTCTGCAATTTCATCAAAACATGATATTAAAAAAAACACCATAGTTAGATATTGTTTTCATTACCAATGTGCATGGGAATATATAATTAATAAATCAAGTTTCCGAAATATAATGATAGAAGAATATATTGTTACTTGAATCAAAGTGTGGCCTTTGTGATCGTTCTCTTTGTAGCAAGTACTGCAAAAAGGAGTAATCATACATTCACAACAGAAGTAACATCTCTTTTTGTCGGGGTGTATATTGCATATTTCATAGAAAAGCCTCGACTTCACCATCTCAATAAGCCATCGATGTCTTCTGATGCAGCTCAGAACTTCAACAGTTTCTTGCATGCTTTCTAACATTGTAGCTACGATCGATGTGTTTATGGAAGCAATTCAATTTGCTTCTGCAATGTTCTTCAAAATTTTGTTGGCTTTTATAGAGAAAGCTAGAGTTTTCCAAAATACCGATTAGGATTTATAACAAACTATTTCCTTTTCTCGTCTCTTTTCCAAAACAGAACAGGAAAACTTAGGTTTTCTTGAACTTCACACTTTAATCTGAAATTGGTGAGATTATTGGGCTTATTAAGTTTGGATTAAGTCTCGGCCCATTAAGGTCTTCAAAAGTAGCTGCTATCTCAAAACGTCGTCGTTTTTCTTCTAGCTAACTAAAACATACAATGCAGTTGGCATTGGAATCAAAAACCATTTTGTTGTAAACTGTGTTATAAACTGGTAAATTTTTATTTTATATTAACAGGGACATGACTAGAGTTGTATGTATGTAAAATGTACATCCATGTCCTATGATTATGATTCCTATCTATATCTATATTAAGTCTGTTAACGTTGATAGTATAAAGAAGGTAAACTCCAGAAATTGAAAAGAGCTGAAGCAAGTAACAGAAACCAACACAAGAAGGCCAATGCAGCCGAGACTTGGTATTGGTTACAGAGGTTACCATCACAGACATTTCCACCTGTATACGAAAGCAGTCCAGTTGCACTAGTTACAGCACAAGCTCCACCGAGAGAAAGAAATGACAGTACCTGTTACAAACAATGCAGAGATCACACAATAAGAAGAAATACATATATGTCTTTTCGGGTTTAGTAAGATGAGGCAAAACTCAGCTTACGAAATCACCGGCGACAACGATGGAAAGAAGTCGTAGTTCTTGAGGGAGGAGTTTCACTAAGACAGAGTATGTATCGGTTAAAGCAAGTAAGACGCTCCATGGAGTTACAAGTGCCATCACAGTCGCCAAATAGCTATAAACAACAGATACAAAATCAAAATCAAAATCAATTCAAAATCAAAATCAATACTTTTGAATTGTTTGATTCATTTATATCTCAACATCTTTCACCAAATCAACCACTAAACTAAACAATCAGAAACCATAACACCAACCAAACCATATCCTCAACTAAAAAACCAAAACTTTTGATTGAAAAACCAAAACTTTTGATTCAATCAAGACCCTATTCTTAAAAATGATTCAATCAAAACTAGTATTTGATATTGATCAAACAAACCCATATCCAAAGTTTACTCCTTTTGATGATCAGATTCATCAATCTACCAATTCGAACTCAGAATTCAATAGCAACCAATGAAATTTACAGAACCCAGAACCCAAAAATCGAAAAAGGATTCGAGGGGGATTTATATACCAGAAGGTAGTGAAATCATAGAAATCGTAATCGAAGCACATGAAGACCAACGCAGCAGCTGAGAAAATGGTTTGGCCGAAACGGAGAGCGAAGCTGGCGCTAGTGCCGAACGATCCCGGCACATTCTCCATCCGATTTCAAACCTACTTCTTCTTCTCTTCTTCATCATCCGAACCAAAATTTCAACTCATTTTCTCGGGAAAAAATTTCTGAGAAAAAAAAGAGAGTCATACCTGTAACGCCAAATGGACTTGTGTGTTTCCTCTTTATTCTCCTTTCTTTTTTGCTTTTCTTTTTTTTGTTGGCTCTGTTTTACAAAATAAATTACTTCATAAACTATAACATTACGATATAATAATAATTTTTTAATAAATTCATATTTTTCAAGTCTTCTTTCTAGTATTAAATTAGTTTACTTTACTTTACTAAAGACTTTTATAAATATTTCAATATTAATGGGAATCTAATTGCCGGTCAAAAGGCTTTTTGCAAATTTAAGGAATTGGTTTATTCTTACCAAATTGTGTATTTTGAAAAAAAAAAAGAAGAAGATAATAGTTGTGATTATTTTACCCAAAAAAGTTAAATGTCTTCCTCTTAATAATACAAAAACGCAATTATTTAACAGATGGGAACAAACTGGTTGTGTTTTAGTTGTTGATTCTTTATATAATTGGTACTTTAGTGTATTATTCAAAGATCAAAGTTCAAACAGCTAAATTTAAAACATTTCCATATTCAAATACTTTTTTTTTCGATTTCAAAACTTAAGTTGAATTCTTATGTACCTAAATTGACACTCTATCTGCTGGTACAAATTAACAAAACAAACGTAGACCGACAACATAATAATATATAAGTAATTTTAGTCAACTTCTGTAATTATTATAAGAAGAAAAATGCAAAAAAAAAACAAAAAAAAACATACCATCATCACCTAGCCCTGAGACCAATTATCCGACATCCGTGATCCGAACCGGGATCCGTTGCGACCCGTTCCGGAAAACCGGATATCCGGATAGAGCGGAGCCGGATCCGGATAGTGAAATAATGGATCCGGCCGGATACGGATACGGATAGTGGAAAATTTTAGACCGGATATCCGGATCCGGTATTTTTAATATTTTATTATTATTTTTATTAATATTTATTAATATTAATATTACATAATATATTTTTCTTATTTTTATATATTAAAAATTGTTTTTCTTATTTTTTTTAAAAAATTAATACATTTTTAAAAAATTTTAAATTTTTTATGATAATTTAAAAAAAAAAAAAAAAATACCGGATACGTATATCCTGTTTTTAGTACAAATATCCGGTACCCAGATATCCGGGAGAACGGATCCGGAGCCGGATATTAAACTTACGGATCCGCCGGATACGGATACGGATCCGGATATCCTAAAAAAGGTCGGATATCCGGCTCCGCCCCAGGCCTATCATCACCCAACTCGTATTCACCTAAATCCTTTATCATATAAAAATAATAACTTTTAAGTTCTAACTTCTAAGAAAAAGTTCCCTATTTACAAGCTAAATCCTAAACTTGTAACCTATACAAAACGTAACTCAAACTTGGTCCTCTCGTTCCAACTCCTAACCAATGCATGTTCCATTTCTTAAGGTTCATTAAACTCGCGTGTAATGTAGTAATTAAACAAATTAGATCCACTTAATTCCACCTATATCATATTTACTACATAAATCAAGCACAGTGTCGATAGACGTCGGACACTGGTTCGCCGTACCGGTCCCCTTAACCTCCATGTAAGTCTTGCTCTGTATCTCGTCGTACGTTAGCTTCTTTTGTGCTTCCTCTCCGCATTTGCCCCTTTCATTTCCAAGAACATAGTTTTAAAATACTCAACCTTCCAAATAGTTTAAAACCGGTTTGAAAACTTCACATGTTCTTTGTCAAAATCAAATCAAGTAATCTAATCGAAATCATAGTACAAGATAAAAACCCAAGTTTGGAGTTTTAGAAAATTGTAATCATAAAAAACAAAGCTTTTATACATTATTTGTCTTAAGAGACTAGAAAATACATTATTTAGGACCAAAGTATAAAGTGAGTTTGAATTATGATAGGGGAGAGATGGATATGAAATGTTAACATATGAAACATAGTTGATAAATGTCTTCACTGGTATTCAATCTCTAGTACAGCTAGGTTCAGGATCAGTAATTTCAACGTTATGATAAATGTCCACAGGATCAGTAACCTCAACGTTATGATCAGTGTCCACATTTTCAGGAACCTCTGCCGGAGGAAGTGTTAAGTAATCCTCATTACCAAGTACTGGGTCTCCCCATTTGTAGATAGGCTCTTTTCCAAGTCCTAGGTCAGGCCAAAGCCATTCGGTAAATACAGAAGGGTGGAGCGGTATTGACCTGTTTGCAGGAGACTGTGAGACGAGAAGATTAAAACCAAACCCAACCAGGTCATGAAGATAATCGACCAACGCAGTGTTCACTGTAGTATCTCCAATAATTATCATCAAATTTGTCAGTTTACGTTCATTAACAAGTATTGTCCACTCAAATAAGCTATCACAAATAGCTCTACGTCTCGCACGTCGATCTCCTAGAACAATCAATGCATAAAAAATTGGATCAAGAAAAAGAGAGAAAAAGAGTATCAGCGACCACGAGTTGGTCTTGGATATCTTGAAGTTAGTCTTCAATGTGAAGTCCATCATGGTGATGAGGATTATTCATTTGGTTGTAGGCTTTTCAAACTTTTGAAACTTCCCTTGGGATAAACTTTGAAGCCCTTATCTTTACTTCTTCTTTTTTTGTATTGTACCCATTATGTTTTCAATTTACCGTTGTATGAACTTTCCTCTTTCGAGGTTTTAAGTGAAATACAATTGTTTGTCTAAAAAAAAAAGATAGAGTTTAATATTTCACCTGCGCGGAATTGTTTCAAGGTGGTATGGTTGTTTCGTTTTATACCAGCAAGGTACTTCCTTGTATGACCAAAGGCAATGATTGACACTTCACCATTAAAACCCGCAAACTTTAGAGCGTTTTTAATGTTGTTCGTAGCATCAGCAGCACTTAGACCATCAGGGACCGGACAATCTTCAACGTCCCAGAAGACGCCTGTCTTAGCCCCTGCCATATTTTGCAAAAAAAACATCAGATCGCAAGTGAATATAATTTGATCAGGTTATTATGAAAATCGATCATATGAACTTGATTATATCCATTAATTTAGTATAACATCGATTAGATTCACTTGTTTACTTATTAAAAATCTAATATAGTAGACCAAGAAACACACAACTTAAACAAAAGAAAAAAAAGTCAAGGAAAAGATAGATAGTGATCATACCGGTGTAGTCTACGCTCTTGGAATTCATGGTTTTGACGGTGATCGAAACTTTAATTTTTCAGAAACTGTTGATATGCAACGGATGAGAGAGACTTAGGTGGTGTATTCAGTTTAACAATTGAAATTATATATGTTAAAATAACATATATATATATATATATACTTATGTTATTAACTAAATGGTTTTTAAAAATCTAGTGAAATCCGGTGTTATTTAGTTAAACTTTAAATATTTTCAGATCTACTTTTATCTATTGTTGTTGAAAATATTTTAGTTAAAATTAAATTTTTAATGATTTGGAGATATTTTAGTTGATGAGATTTTCTTAGTTAAAAATACATAATTTAAAATCTCATGGTTTTAAATGAGGTTTGGTAGGAGTTGACAAAAAATCATAACAAATTTTCTAAATTCACCTAAAATATTATAAACTCATTAAGACTCAAACTATTCAAAATATAAGGTTGGATACAGAGACTTTGGGGGGAGGAGGGGGGGGGGGGACGAGGGAGTACTCAATTTAACAATTTAAGTTATTTGTTATAAACTAACAAATCTTATTCAATTAAAGATTTTTAAAGGTGTAATGAAATCCAGTGCTATTAAAAAAAGCTTTTTCATATTTAGAAATCTACTTTTAGCTATTGATATTGAAAATATTTTAAAGATTGAAATTTTTATTGACTTGAAGAGTTTTAAGTTGTTGAGATTTTCTTAATTAAAAATCCATAATATGTTTGGAAGGAGTTGACAATAAATGATAACAAATTTTCTAAATTCACCTAAAATCTTCAAAATGTTAATTTTTCTTTTTTGGTAATGTTCAAAATGTTAATTAGTCATTACTCAAAATCATTCAAAATATAAGGTTGGATCCTTTAGGATTTCAACATTTTCGAATGTGGTTCTTTTATAATTTATAGGCGTTATAATTTAGGAATATTAGGATTTTTAGTACATTTCTAAAACATATTATGCAAACTAATACGTTTACTATTCAATATTAGTAAAATAGTACATTTCTACTATACATCATTTATTCTCTGTCCATTATACCATTAAATTTTTTGATTATTTACGAATCTATTCCATTCTAAACAGTTACTACTCTTCCTTTTCTCCATTTCTCTCTCTCTTCGTACGCTCACATTTTTTTTTCTTCTTCCTTTTTTTTTTTATGTTTTTTTCTTTTTATATTATCCCCCTTCAATCTAAAAGCTATAATACTATTCAATAAAAATATTTTTTTAAAAAAAAAAAAAAATCACATATATAAAAACCTAAATTTTTCTCTATTATTTTATATGCATTTTGCTAGGTGATTTTTTTTGATGATGTCAAATAATTTTTTCAGATTTTAGATCTGTACAACTTGATAAATGTACAGATTATCTGTAATCTGTACAACTTAATAAATGTACAGATGTAATTTGTACATCTGTACAACTTATTATATGTACAGATTTAATTCGTACAACTTATTAAGTGTACATTCGGAAAACTTACTAAATGTACAAGTATAGAGTAATACACACAATTTAATATATATATTTTATTATTGTAGATATATATATATATATTAATATACAATTTTTTTCGTGTAGCAGAACTACTGTACAACAGAACTATGTACAACAGAACCACTGTACAACAGAACTACTGTACAAAAGAACCACTGTACAAAAGAACCACTGTACACCATAATCATGTACATTCCAACCATTGTACAACTCATTGTACAAAATTACTGCTTACGCTACAACTAATGTACAAAACCATCACATACAACATAGTGTTGTACATATAGAGAATGAAATGTATAATCCCCCGTTTAACAAAGTGTGTCATTTCATAGTTTTATTTTTAAACATGCATTATTTTGTATAGATTTCTTCTGCACAGTGATCTATATCTGTACAAACATCTTTATGTACAGTGATTTATAAATGTACATACATTTTTGTGTACAGTTGTATCAAACTAAAACGTCGAGCCATAAACAACTGTTGTACATTTTATGTTGTACAACTAGATTTTAACCCGCGGTACACCGCGGGACGACATTCCTAAAATGTATTATTCTTATTAATTTTGTTTGGTATATAAGAGTGTACTACTATATTTTGATTGTTAATTCTATGATTTAACCCGTAGAATATTATATGATAATTTATTTTTTATATAATCGTAATTTGATCAAATTAATTAAATAAGTATAATATTTAAAATAATGAAATGATATTGACATAATATTTATTTACATAGTATAATTTCATATTAAAATATTTTATGAATTATACTATAGTAGACAACCCGTAAAAATATCTATAATCATAATTATATAAATTATAACTCGTTCCATCACATGACCCGTGCTACACAATTATCATTAATACTTTAGTACATCCATTTTGTATCGTTTGAGTAATATATATCCGTTTCTAAAAATTCAAATTGCAACATATGCAAAAAAAAAATTATATTTTTTTATCATACATATGTTTATGTAATAATATAAATTTAAAAACAAATAAGGTCATATAAAGATGTTGGAGAAATATTTGATTTCTTAGGGAGAGATTTTAGGAAATCTTGTTAAATGTAATAAATATTGATTTCTAATTTTGCAATTTTATTATAATTTAATTACAAAATTCATCTTTAATTTTTTCTATTTAATCAAATGGCAAAGGGTTAATTATGAAAATATCACAAAATGAAAGGGTAGAACAGAAAAGGTAATTTGATCAAATTAATTAAATAAGTATAATATTTAAAATAATGAAATGATATTGACATAATATTTATTTACATAGTATAATTTCATATTAAAGTATTTTGTGAATTATACTATAGTGGACAACCCGTAAAAATATCTATAATCATAATTATATAAATTATAACTCGTTTCATCACATGACCCGTGCTACACAATTATACAATTATCATTAATACTTTAGTACATCCATTTTGTATCGTTTGAGTAATATATATCCGTTTCTAAAAATTCAAATTGCAACATATGCAAAAAAAAAAAAATATTTTTTTATCATACATATGTTTATGTAATAATATAAATTTAAAAACAAATAAGGTCATATAAAGATGTTGGAGAAATATTTGATTTCTTAGGGAGAGATTTTAGGAAACCTTGTTAAATGTAATAAATATTGATTTCTAATTTTGCAATTTTATTATAATTTAATTACAAAATTCATCTTTATTTTTTTCTATTTAATCAAATGGCAAAGGGTTAATTATGAAAATATCACAAAATGAAAGGGTAAAACACAAAAGGTAATTCAAAAATGTTAATATAGATTTTAAAATATAATGTATATAAGTAATGTATTTGAAACTATTAAACATAAACAACTATACATATATAGCTTAAATTGTACATATATTATATATATAAAATTATGTATAACAATTGTACATAAGAATGTATGTACATATATAATTATATATATTTAGACTATTATACAACTTACAAAGTTTACAAATGCAATGTACAGAAGTAATCCATACAACCTAATAAGCGTACAATAATCCGTACAACCTACTAAGTGTACAAATAGTAAACAATTGTATTCATATTTGTACAATAGAATATATATATACAAATAAAATTGTACATACTTAAATTAGATTGTACATATAACTATATGTACAGAAAAATGTATGTATAACAGCTGTACACAAGGATATATGTACAAATACAATTGTGTATATAAAAAATATTATACAAAGTTTAAAATTATTTAACAAAATGCATATCAAATTATAGAGAAAAAAATATAGGTTTTTTGTATGTGAAAAATATCAGAAAAAAAAATTATACTGAAGAATATTTTAATTATTAGAATGAGACGGTATAATAAAAAGAAAATGAATTATTTAAAAAAAAAATTTCTCCACACACAATGACACACACACACGCATTCTCAATCTCTCAAGCCTATTTTTGTCTTTTTCCAGACACTCTCTTACCCTACATCATTTCCTATCTCTACTATTTTCTATCTCACAAACAATAATACACACCTATTTCCTTAATTATAAATAGTATAGGTACTATTTTCCAATTACTTTTGAAAAATGTACTAAATAGCCTACTCACACTATAATTTATAGGCGTGTCGCCCGTGTGACAGAAATTAAAGAGCCTAGATCGAGCTGTCGCATCTTTTCATCAGTTGCATCGCAAACAAAGCAACGGTTAGAGATGTTTTTACAAAATGATACTTGAGTATTGTTCTGGCGGAAGTATAAGAGATTTGCTCAGGAACAATCACGGAGGTTTAATGTAAAGCTGATCGCAAAAGATGTTCTGTGTGGTCTGAGATATAATTATACAGAAACATTATTGACTGTAGCCTTGTTTTTGTGCCCTTCAACGAGAGATCCGTCTCTGGAATGACAAACAGCACAGGAAGGCGGAAACATTTAAAGTTCAGCTAACCAACATCCAAGGCGAGCAAAGGAGACGAGCCCTTTCTCCCATTGTGGGAACACTTTCTCATGCAGCACATCTGCTTCATGGAGAACTGATCTTAAAGCAGTAGGACTGGGCTGGAGAATCTATCTGGAGACACTCGACATGCTGCACCAATGTGGCCTCATCTCTCATGGACGAAGCTCTAGCTATTCGCTCGGCCCTATCTATGGCAAAAGAACTTCAAATTTTCCATCTCAAGATTGATTCAGGTCAATGCTATAACCTCTAGATCTTGATCCGGGACCTCAATCAATGTCAAATCATTTCATATTGTAGAGTTAGGTATGTACAACTGATATTCTTCCTATAGATTAACATCAATCATTCATTCTGCTCATTATCAATTGAATCTTGATTTGGAAGCAATGAAATTTACCATCATATACATATTCCACAAACCAGAGTGTTGGAAGTGTTGAGAAGTAAACACATAATGTAGTTAAAGTTACCTAATAAGAAAAATCTTCGTAAATGATATATTATAGGGGTAAAAATTATTAAATAAGCTAGGGTGTCCCGGGTTGCTGTTACTTATCGAATACAACTCCAACACATTGATGAGGTATGGCAAAACTGAGTCATCGGTTGACTGAAAGACTATCTGGAAAACCCATGTGGCCGGCATATACATCTCTCAAAACGAAATGAGTAGCTTCCCAAACACCGGCGGTACAATTGGACCCGAATCCACTTGAGTGGTGTCGTTGAAAGACCGTCTTTGAGTCCGACCACCGAGGCTATCCACTGCCATGTAATGATTACACAGAACCATTTTATATAGGTTTCCACCACCTTCCCGACAGCTCCTCCCGACATCCCGTTATATATCTTTCTGGCCTCCTCGTCATCTCCTTCTCAACAATGGCAACGACAATAACATGAGAAAGACAGTGATGCTGGTGAGCTCCGACGTTGGGAGAATCTAGGTGTTGTTCACAAACTCTGTTTCTTTCTCTCGCCAAAACGAAGAGGGCCATATACCCTCTCCTCACACAACACAAAACCCTTTAGTTGTTTAACAAGATATTGGGTCTTTAATGGGCTTTGTCTTCTTTTAACAAGATAAACATGCCCAGTTACATATATTTAGCCTACTGTAAAGGTCTAACGGGTAGCTACATAAATTTACAAGAGCCCAACGATATACAAATTATTTAATTAGGTACGTAATTTTGCATAAAATGCATATAACATTTTGTTACTCGGCTACTAACAAAGAGAATGACGAACTAGGTGTTCTTTGTGATAATAATTAAGTAGATAGTTTGAATGAAAGCACTGAGTATTTCTCAAATACAAGAGGCTATCAGAGTATAATGTGAACATGCATGCAGTGAAATGTTTGATATGATTCATAACGACGACGTGTTGTCTATTTGTTTTAATAAGATATGATTCCTTTTAATTAAATGTGGTCTCAAGTTTGTTAATTAGTCTACAATTCAAAACTTTTAGAAACCCTTAATTATTCAATTTCCTTCGATTTTGTGTGTATAGGAAAGCATATATTATTTCTTTAACATATATGTATAGACCATTTCCCATGTGTGTTTCAAGACAAATAAACAACATCTACAAGTCATAAAGCAATAAAATAATAATAATTCATTTTCTTAGAAACACTCATCTTCCTTGATGAGAACAGTTTTGGAAAGGAGATTTATTATTGGACCGGACAAGAATATAGAAAAGGGTAAAAAAAGCAAAACAAATATCAACCTGAAGAGGACGAATTGAAGAAGAATAATGAATAATAGAACTCCCGAAAATGAAGAAATAACACGACAAAAAAAAAAAAAAAAAAAAAAAAAAAAAAAAGACGAAGAAAGGATGAACAAAACATTGCCGCAGACTAATGGACTTGTACTAGCTTATGATCGATATTTATATGTTTATAACTCATTTAGCAAATCGATATATTTATGTCTCATAATCACTTCAACTTTAGTTTAATTTCGTTTTCGCGTACGTACGTAGAATATTATGCACTACGAATGGAATACTAGTATAAATATAGAGTAGTAACCAATGAATGTTCGTAAAGGGATTTAAGAGAAGAGATGATGATAACACTTAAAATAAATTTAAGTAATGAATATATATATAGAGAGAGATTTATCTCTTTTATTAACCAGTTTGACAATTTGCGTACAACCATTATTTACGTGGGACAATTATTCTTTCTTTCTTTTATTTTATTTTTGTTCAACAAATGATGATAATTAGTTAGTACTTTATTAAACTACTTAAGGCTTTTTGTAGGGACCTCCTCCAAAAGCTAACTTAGGCCAATGCCATGCAGTCGGTGACTCCTGTATCATCACCTTAGATGGTGTGAGTTTTCCGGATTTACTCTCGATCCTGCTCTGATGAGCAACCATAAGATTATATCCAGCTTCCTTGAGCGTGACCGTGGCAGTCATGAAATCCCCATCCGAGGTAATAAAAAGTATGTTACAAGGGGGTGGATCGTCAAACGCCCAAGTGTAGATGGCATTAAGGATTCTCTTGTCACTCGCATCTTTTCCCGAAGGTACGTGAGTAATTTCGATACCAGTCTCACGAAGTTTGGTTTCATGTGGCAAATTGCTGATGTTGCCAAAGCCTTTCATAACGATTTCCCCCGTGTATCCTAGATTTCTCAGCGCCTGTGTGATATTACTGAAAAGTTGAGACCGATCACAATTGGTAGGAACTTGGGTATTTTCAAAGTCCCACATAATAATTATCTTCGATCCCATATACTCTGTAAGAGTAAACCCCTTCAAAAATAGAAATGTGATTAGTTACTAATAATTTGAAACAATATAAGTTAAAGACGACATACTGTATATATAATAAAGAAATAGGAGATACCTTAAAGGAAAGCGGCTTATGTCGCATAAACGAAGATGACGTTATGTCATTTAATAGTTTCTTCATCACGTCATCTAGTCAATTTTTTTTTTTTTTAGTTAATATAAACAATAAATTTTTATTTCACAAAATAAAAGAATTGTAAGAATTTTACCGGAATCAAATTGCTTGACACGATTAAGACAATCTTTTAAAGCATCCGCATGAGAGGACGATTCTGGTGAAGAAATACAGCTACTCCAAAACGTTGAAATAGAACTTAGATCAACTCCTACGTCCGTGCATTTACCACAAGCCTCCCTTTCACATTTGTTAACCCAAACGCTTTGGCGGTGATCTTTCGGCTTCTTGTCCTCGAATAGGTTAGCAAAATAGGCTAATTTGACAAGAGATGAACTAATAGGAGCTGCTAGGTTTTACGAAATTATATATATTAATTATATATATATATATATATATATAATGACAAGAAAACGACAAAATAATCACAACAACAATATATAATCCCAAATCCCAAAAAAACAAAAAAAAGAGAGGAAAGTATAGAGATGTAACATATACCCTCGTGTCCACTGCTAACATAAAAGTTGTTCGCCATGCATCCATTTAGCCCAACTACCTTAAGCCAACAGAACTCATGTGAAAATAGTCCTTCCGTCGCAAGCTGTGAACAAATGAAACAGCCTCTCTCGCTCAAAGACACGAGAGCCTTGACAAAATCCGAGTCTTCTGAGATATTGCCCAGAAGAAGCACCAAATTTGAAGGTTCAGGGTTATCAATCACCCATAAAAGAGTATCCACCAAAATCTTTTGAAGCTTCACGTCTTTATCTCCTGAAATCACATCATATATAAACGGAGTTAAGTCTCAAGACGCAAAGTACTAGCTAGGCTAGGCCTATCAAGGAGAGCGTGAAATATAAATACACACCTAACGGTTCTTGATTGAACTTGATTCCATTGGGTTTTCGGTCACCCGTGATACTTTGTGCATCACCATAAGCACAGATAGAGACTACTGGACCCTCCAACATCAAAGACTCATTCGCCTTCTCCGTAAAGTGTGCATGGATATCATCAAACTGGATATTATCTGGTTTCGGGCGATCGTCAATATCCCAGAACAATGTCGTCTTCGCCGCTGCAAAATGGTAAAAGAGATCTATGAATTCTAAGATCATATAATTTCTGAAACGATCTAGATAAGTATAAACTCAATCCTTAATGAATTACCTTTGTGTGTCTCGAAGGGTCTAAGATACATCGTTTCTAACAAATGTGGAGACTAAATACACTTTCTGAGTTGGATTGTTGTTGTTGTTTTGTTTTTTTTTTTTTGTTTCTTGTTTTTTGATTGTGCTCTTTAGAACCTAAGAGTATGAGGCCTTTTATAGGCCTGGAAAGCAACTACTTCACTAAGCTTTACTTGATCATCAAGTTAATAAAAAGTTATACAAACTCGTGTGGAAATCACTAATATATGCGTGCAAGAACAAGAAATCTCAACATTAGTCATTAACATTGTTACAACTTTAAATCCTCGTGGATACCAGATCAAAACGATTGCACAATGACACAGCTAGCAGCTTAGGTTTCCTGTCACATCAACATGATGGCAAAACACACAAAAGAAAACCCCTTTTTTTAACCATTTGTAGCAAATTTTAACGCGTCTTACGTAAAAACTTTATAGGAATGGAAATATCTTCCTCACTAAGCATCAACTTGATCATCAAGTTAATAAAAGTTAAATAAACTCCCTTGGAAATCACTAATATATGCGTGTAAGAACAAGAAACCTTTTCATAAACATTGTTAGAAGTTTAAAACCTTGTGGTTCTCGTCGCATAGCAATAAAAAGAACAATCCCTTTTTAACCATTCTTAGCAAATTTTAAAGACGCGTTAAAATTTATATGAATGGATCGAAACTTCGTCACCAAGCTTATATAACTGGATCATCAAGTTAATAAAAAGTTAAATAAACTCCCCGGCCTGGAATTAATTAATATATGCGTTCAAGAACAAGAAACTCGACACGGCCTTCTCATTGTCATTGTCAAAAAAGTAAACCCTTGTGGAAGTATAACTTTAGGAATTTTTTTTTTTTTTTTTCTTTACAATTTACTGTGATTATTTTTGTGATGTTCTTAATTATTCTTGTCTTTTTTCTTCTCAGTTCTCACTTACATAGAGCAAATAGAGTTTCCAGTACATATATTTCCATTTTTTTGTTTGTCTTTCCGTAACAGAAAAGGAAAACGTAGGTTCTGTTGAGTTCTGCTTTGTAGAAGACAGAACTTATATGTACCCTCAAGTGCCCTCCTCTTGGGTGTTACAATCAACATGCAGTTTTCGTTGTTAGATAGAACCAAAATCATATCATTTTCGTGTGACTGAATGTCATCGCGAGGAATACCTCTCTCAGGAGCAATCGGATCCTTAAAGCAAAATCTAAGTTAAGGGTTCATCACTCGTTGTTCACGGAGTTCACCTGAATGCAAAGCAAGGGTGGAACTGCTGGACTTGGAATAATACTCATCCACTGATTCGAAACGCAATGATAATGTTACATGAAAAAAAAGCAAACAAATTATTTGTAGCTGTGTGCCCTCATCATACATATATAAGTTCTGTCTTCTACAAAGTCAATAACTAAGTTACTGGCAAGTAGAAAAGATGGCGGTGGAAAATGGACAGTTAATGAAGAGATCTCGACAGGATCTTATCATAAACATTGTTGAAACCCTTATGGAAATCTTCATCTGCTATAACCAAATCAAAAAGATTGCACAATTATGATATTCCTACAACAACAACAACAAAAATGATAAGAACTTGTTATAACCTACATATACATGAATTTCAAACTCATGGGTTAAGCTAACTAACCTGACCCAAGTAATTGACAAGAATGTTGGCTCCAAGAGACCATCCTGCTGCATACAAATTAGATTTTGGGGAATTTATCTCCAACATGAGCAATCACTTCACCAATGTCACCTAAAAACGAAGCCTGAGTAGAACTGCATTATCAGTATCAATCATAATACTACAGTCTAGCAACTTCCCAATGCTAACCAAATGAAGCTAACTGAGACTATTCATCATTCATCACCCAGACCATCAAACATTACAAAAAGGAAGCTACTTTATATCTCGACATCTTTCACTAAGTCAACCACTAACTAAACAATCAGAAACCATGACGCCAACCAAACCCTATTCGCAGGGATAACTTTTTTTATTTTATTCAGTCTAATCCCTGTTCTCAAAATGATTGATTGATCAAAACCATAACCCATCTCCAAAGTTTACTCCTTTCGATGATCAGCAAATTAGGTTAGTGATCCAACATACCCATATCCAAAGTTTACTCCTTTTGATGATCATAATCGTCAATTCGATAGCAAACGAAGAAATTTACAACCCATCTCCGAAGGTTACTCCTTTCGACGATCAGATTCATCAATTCGATAGCAACCGAAGAAATTTACAGAACCCAGAACTTAGAACCAAAAAAAACAAAAAACAATCTGAGATCATGACATTGACACCAACCAAACCCTATCCTCAGAGTAAGTTTTGATTAGAAAAATCAAAACTTTTGATGATCATATTCATCAATCCATCAATTTGAACTCAGAATCACAGAACCCAGAACCCAAAAAAACATAATCGAAAAAGGATTCGAGGGGTTTTTTACCAGAAGATAGTGAAATCATAGAAATCGTAATCGAAGCACATGAAGACCAACGAAGCAGCTGAGAAAATGGTTTGGCCGAAACGGAGAGCGAAGCTGGCGCTAGTGCCGAACGATCCTGGCACATTCTTCTTCTCTTCTTCTTCTCTTCTTCATCATCCGAACCAAAATTTCAACTCATTTTTCTCGGGAAAAAATTTCTGAGAAAAACGAGTCAAAGAGTCTAACATCCTGTTAACCCAAATGGATTTACTCTTTCTTATTTTTTTATTTTTTTTTTGCTTTTTTGGCTCTGTTTTACAAAATAATAATAATATTAAACTCACATTTTTTAAAGTCTTCTTTTTATTAAATTATTTTTTTACTTTAATAAATTGGTTTATTTTTACCAAATTATAAGGGAAAAAACCCGAAAAATATGCCATATAATTTTTATTTGGCCGTTTAATTCGTGTACTATTAAATTTGGAATAAAAATACATGGTTTAATTTACGTTGTATCAAAAAAGCTTCATTTAATTATTCTTGGCAAATCGATACGCACGAGTTAACAGCCGTTAACGATGGTCACGGAATCATTAACTGGGGTTAAATAATAACATCACGTGGTTAATGAAGGTTAAACAAAGACACTGTTGTCCTTTCTCCTCTGTTATCTATCCCAAATCGATTTTAGAATCGAAGAACCCTAAAAGAATGGTGAGCCAAACTTCTGAGTTTTCTGATGCGAATTCAAGCCGTAGCTGCGGTCCTCTTTGCAGCAGTTGTGGTAGAGTTACGATTGTTTCAAAGTCATGAACCAATGACAATCCAGGAAGAAGATTCAACAGATGTGTTGTTCATGGATTCTTGAGTTGGGTGGATGAACAGAAGCCATACGGTTGGCAGAAATTAAGCTTGATAGAGGCGAGAGATGAGATCAAGAAACTGAAAGAATCTGTAAGGGCAATGAATGAACAAATGGTGAGTGGTTGCAATATCGACTTTGAAACAATCGTAACTCTACCACAACTGCTGCAAAGAGGACCGCAACTACGGCTTGAATTCGCATCAGAAAACTCAGAAGTTTGGCTCACCATTCTTTTAGGGTTCTTCGATTCTAAAATCGATTTGGGATAGATAACAGAGGAGAAAGGACAACAGTGTCTTTGTTTAACCTTCATTAACCACGTGATGTTATTATTTAACCCCAGTTAATGATTCCGTGACCATCGTTAACGGCTGTTAACTCGTGCGTATCGATTTGCCAAGAATAATTAAATGAAGCTTTTTTGATACAACGTAAATTAAACCATGTATTTTTATTCCAAATTTAATAGTACACGAATTAAACGGCCAAATAAAAATTATATGGCGTATTTTTCGGATTTTTTCCCCAAATTATAATAAGATGAAATTATGTATTTGGAATAATAATAATAATAATAACAGTGATTATTTTACCCAAAAAAGTAAGATATCTTCTCTCTTTATTTTTCACCTAAATCCTTATCATATCATATGCACCTAAATCCTTATCATATCATATTATTATTTGCATGATAGATCCACAACTAGATTTTAACCTATACGTAAGTCAGACTTGGTCCTCTCCTTCCAACTTCCAACCCATGTATTGAGTTTGTAAGTTTCTTGCGGTGGAAGCAAGACCTATAAATAATATCGGGTTAAGTGATTATTAGTCGAAACTGTTGATATGCAACCTTTAATTGACTATAAGTTTTGAGTTATTTGTGATAAAATAACAAATCTTATGTTATGGCATTCATTCTCTAATACAGCTAGGTTCATGATCAATAACGTCCACATGATTAGTAACTTCAACCAGTGTCCAGAGGAAACTTTTGCTGGAAGAAATGTTAAGTAATCTTCATTATCAAGTACTGGGTCACTCCTTTTGAAGACATGCTCTTTTCCAAGTCCTAGGTCAGGTCAAAACCATTCGGTAATAACAGAAGGGTGGAGCGGTATTGACCTGATTGCAAGAGACTGTGAGACGAGGAGATTGAAACCAACCCCAACCAGACCATGAAGATAAGCGACCAACACAGTGTTCTCTAAAGTATCTCCAATGATTATCATTAAATTTCAGTTTAGTTCTTTAACAATTATTGTCCACTCAAATAATCTATGACAAATAGTTCCACGTTTCGCACGTCGATCTCCTGGAACAATCCAGGTCTCGCACATCGATCTCCGAAGCATCTCAAACCATCCACATAACTTGTTTTAAATTCCAATTTTAGACAAAAAATATATATATATCGGTGAATCCACATAATCATATTACATAAATCAATGAAATTAATCAGACACATTTTCAAATCATACATTACTAATTCCAATTTTCATAATAAATCAAATAGGTTAGTCGTTCCAATCCATGTTACATTAGTTTACGACCTTTCATTAAAGAAAGAATGATTTAACTAATACTTGATCTCTCAAATTATTCACTGATCGATATATATTTCATTTATCGAGCATTAATATATATTGAGAGAAAGAAGATGTTTCAATACAATTTTACAAAAGTTACAAATTATATAATTCACTCAAGCTGACCGTACCAAACCCCTTGGATCTTCACATCCTTAGGTACCTTAGCACCCAAGTCAGTATCCGACGGCTGAAGACTTTCGAACACTCCAATCACTTCACCTGTCTCCGGTTTGCTCTTTGTGATCCTCAATGTGATATCTCCGACAGATGCTGCTGTGTTCTTGACGTTTTCCTTGGACAGCTCTTCCTCGTCTCCTCTGCCTCCAGCAGGCAAAGCCACTGCATTATCGTACCCGGTAGATCCACCACGACCCTTTGGGTCCAAGAAAGACGAGCCACGGTACGATGGAACTAAGAACTTTCCACTGAAGCTTTCGGGTTTCCCTGAAGCCTCCAGCTGTTTAACCGTGAAGAGGAACGGCACTCTTTCTCCTCCTGGAAGCTGAACTGTGACTGCTGCGTAATCGATCCCATCTTCTTCCTTGAACTTCACGCTTCCGTCTGAACCAACCTGGTCAAATGACAACAAGTTAAACCGACTTTGTTAGTTACTTGCGGTAGAAGAAAGAATCTATAAACTGAGATTTGATTAAGTGATTGAAGACTAACCTCGAAGGGTCCTTCAATCTCATCAAGCGTGTAAGTGAGACGGGTCATAAGCTTGGTGTTTTGGAAATCCGGAGGCGCGTTCTTGCTGACGCTCTCTGCTTTGACGGTGAAGGAAGTAGGCTCAAAGCAGAACTTCTTGCCTGTGTACTTACCAGGTTTGAACGAGAATGTCTCAGAGCCACCGTCGATAGTCGGACACTGGTTCGCCGTACCGGTTCCCTTAACCTCCATGTAAGTCTTGCTCTGTATCTCGTCGTACGTTAGCCTCTTTGGTGCTCCCTCCGCACCAGCCCCCTTCATTTCCCAAAACAAAGTTTTATAAATACTAAAACTTCCAACTAAAACATGCAATTTAATCTACTTATCTACATATGATACTATGACATAACAAAACGACTTAATTCCACCTCAAATTGATTATAAGTTATGATACATTAGGCAAGCACTAATTCATGTCACTTAAGCTATAATCCCTACTTGCCCTAGCCTAGCCAACACAACTTCTTATGGTTGTCTCGTCAGATCAACATAAAGCCTGTATAATTTGTTAAGTTTGTGATATTGATGAGTATATGAAGAAATTATACCGAGACGACAAGAGCAGAGGTGGCGAGAGCGAAACCGGCGATCTTGGCAGCGTCGGAGCATTTTCCAGCGAAGTCTTTCAGGTCAGACTGGAGAGAACAAGTGAGCCTAGCAGATGAAGACTCTAGACCAAAGGACTTGCCCACAGTTTGGTTTGATCTGAGATAAACATTGCGAGAAGGAGAAGAAGAAGCGGCGATCTTAGCCGGCTGAAGAAAAGTTGCGGCGGCATGGAGAGAAGTTGCCATGACGACAAGACAGACAAGTCTCAGATGTCTATGTTTGTGTTGGGTTGATAATGGTAGTACGAGTAAATAATCAGAGGAGAGATTTTGTTTCGCTAAGATAAGGTCGGATAAGTTTTTTGAAAAAAACTTCCATTGGTTGATTGATAGCCACGTGTCTGAAGCTGATGTAGAAATTTAGATTCTGTCTTTGATGACATGGAAATATATAACAAACAACAAAATTTGGAAAACTACCAATTTCTCTAGAAACATTCGAACGTAGGTCAACTTAGGTGGGGGTAACTTAGGTTAATTATCGATTTCTCTAGAAACATCTCAATTAAAAATTCATAACCAACTAGAAAAAATTTGATTTCTAAATTATAATTACAAATCGACAAGTAACAATAGAGTTTAATGGCTAAATTCAAGACCAGTGAAAAGTTCAAAAACTAATATATAACCAAGATAAAAGGCATAAATCACAACTGGCTCGATGTGTTTGGTCGGGATTGTACAAGAGCTTTGTCATATAACAATCGAATGAAAGAATAAACAGAACATTTAAATTAACGATATTTATTTTTTAATTTTACAATACAGAAATCAACTTTTACAATTGATGATACAATTATAACACAATTTAACGATCAACTTCTCCGATCATCCATCATCTTCTTTTCTCCTTTAACAAGCTTGGCATGATTCTGAGAAATACTAAACTACCGTTTCTCTAAAGATGAGTTCGTCGTCTGTAATGTTTTAACCATATGAAAAAGTCATAAATTAACTATCAACGAAAGACACACAACCAGATTGAAATAACAAACAAAAATTAGCTTGATTAGTTTGTATATCAGTGCTGTGACAATCAAACATCTAAATCACAAAATAACAAATGAGAAATATATAAATTCAAATACGAATAGCAAACACAATAAGCTCAGATTTGTTATATACTTTTGTACATAGAAGAAATTAAGAAGATAACAAAAAGGCATTCAGAATGAGTAGGAGGTCTATATTCATCAATGAAATCAGATGACAATAAAACAATCCTCATCATGCCTTTCTTTTTTCTACTTCAATTTTCGGAAAATTCGATACACTAACATATCAGATAAAAAAAAAAATCTTTGAAAACAATCTAAGAAGATTGAAAGAAAAATAAAAATAAAAAAAAAGGAATTTCTCTCAGACAAATGCCTCGTTTGTCCCCATGATTTAATGAATGGATTTCATCGGACTCGTCATCTATGTTTCTTCATCACTGAGAAACCCCTTTCTTCCCTAAACAAAAATTCGTATATAAAAAACAAAAGAGCAAATCCTAGACAATTGATATGAAATCTAAAACAAACCTAAAAAATAAAGCAGACATAAAACTAAGAAAGACTGAGATTCGAAATTTGTTTGATCTTGGAGATCGGAGAAGACATGATTTTGTAAACGGCGGAGAGAGGACTATTTATAAGGAACCGAACTAGGGTTAGGGTTTTAGGACGTTCCCCCTACTGTTTAAACGACATGAAGTCTACTTAATTAATTTTAAACAGCGTGTAGTTCTCTTACTTTATGAAAATTCAAAACGTCACTCATTTTGCAATCATTTAATTTAGTTTTACAAACTAAATCACCGATACTAAATCTTGACCATGATCGACGGCGATCCAAGCAAAGCACCGATACTAAATCTTGACCATGATCGATTAACCTAGCCGAACTGAAAAAAAAAACCCTTTCCTAGATCATGATCGTCGTGATATTTTCTGGAAATGAAGAATTTGGGGTTTTTTTTTTTTTGTTAAAGGGTTTAAGAATTTGGGGTTTTTAATATTAGAATCGAATACTTGTAGTAGACTGTTTTCTTCCAACTGCTTTTTAATTTCTTTCATTTGTTCTACAACGTACGACTCCAAATTTATTTAGAAAAATTCAAATTTCTAAAAGGAGGAAAATGCCGCTCATTTCGAATTAATGATTTGTAAATTTTTACGTTACGCAATTGTGTGATGAGCAAGAAGTTTGGTTTAGTACAAAAATTAATCCAGGATTTTAATATTTTGGTTTAGTAAAACACCAGAAGTCGGTGACCAAACAAATGAAACTTAACCAGCATGCTACCCGTGAACAATTTTAGAATGGTTCGGTTTGGTTAAAAATGTGACCAGTTACCCAACGAAGAAGCCTTTATAAAAGAAACAGAGCGTATCGGGTCTACTCTCTTTTATGCTTATACCAAAACGACAAACATTTCCGACTGCATATACGAAACAGAACCCATAACCAAATTTTTTACACAGAAGTAACTTTTTTTTCTTACAGTAAACAAACAAATTGTTGAAAAATGAGATTATTTATATATGGAACATTAGTTGAGCTTGAGGCAAGTGTATTTGGGGTATGCAAAATAATCAGAAGAAAGGAACACCACAGAGATTCTTGCTATGCTCGACGATGTAACACGCAGTCACGCAGTTTATTGGAGCAGACTGAGCAAGAAACAACTTTTGAGAACGGGAAGTGATATGACTGATTATGTGACACGAACGATTAGAGCCCAAACGGGGTAGACCAGAAGAAGGATGATCCCTAAAGTGTTTGACACTCCACGAGGCTGTGTGAACGAATTCCTGAACCCACCCGATGCTCGGATATGTTCTTGAAGAAGGTAACAGCCTATGAAAAGGTTAATGACAGTGCCAATCCAAGTTCCACGTATATGGTGAACAAGGAAGTGTGGAGAAACTACAAGCAGAAGGATCAAAGAACCTGGCATCTCAAGCCAATCTGCGCCAATTTTCAATAAGCACAACAAGAAAGTGTGAGACTTTGAAAATGTTGTTTCATATATGCAAATCAAAAAGGCATCAAAAAGAAATGTATGAAGAATTTCATCACCTGGGAAATGCTTAGGAAAGAAAAGTCTGAGTACAACTGCAATGAAAGCAATCCATTTGCCAGCATCTCCACTGATGACATTAAATGAACAAAAAAAACATTCAAATTTAAGCAAGCCAATTCATAGACTATTTGTGCTAAGCTGGAACTGTTGTAGGTTACCTGAGAAAGTTAAAAATGACACTAGGAAGGCTAAGGAATATGTATGGTATTAAGAGTGATGTAAGCATCTTGGTTTTCCAATTGGTACGATCCAATATTAACAAGTATCTGCATCATAGAAATCATAATAACAAAAATCATGTAAATTCGTAGTTTGAAACAATCAGAGATACTAGAAACAGTAGGATTACTACAAATTTCCACATGAGTGAAGCCAATTTAATCACTTTGAAAATTGTGGTAACAGATACCAAACTGTGATTTTTGGGGATTACTGTGTCAATAACAGAGTAAAAAAAAATCAGGTTGAGAATGATCATCAATCTGAGATTATCACTAGCATAATCACTAATCACCGATCTCGATACTTTTTCTCTTCTCAATTTCAAACGATCCGTTAAAAGTCAGCGTTTTGGAATTCAACATGTGAAAAAGTCACAAAAATTAACCAACGAGAAGTAAAAGAAAAGGCTCACATGGCAGAGAAGGAAGCAAGGAATTTGAGAAAAGAAACACCGAAGGCTAATCCACCACCGAGCTTGGAAACATCGTTAAACAGTTTCTTCGCAGCGATCTTTAGCTCCTCCACGTCGGAATTGACCAGAGACAACGTATCGACGTCGTCGGTCTTCATCGCCAGATAATCCAAACGCCCCATAATCCCAAAGCAAATCGATGATCTTCCTCAGTTCCAAACACAATTTAATTTTTGTATTTGATATTTATTATTTCTCTTCCAGCAACAGAGATCGTCTTCTGCTTTCTTTTTCCCCCAAATTGTTTTTTTTTTTCTTTTTATTGGTTCTGTTCAATCGCTCCTGGTTCATCGCCGCAAACTGATATGATTCGTGACGTGTCGTTTTCACTAAACCAACATGTGTCAGTTTTATTCCGTTGACTCTACTAGTTTAGTCCAGTCCTTTTATTTTGCGCGTTTTTTAAGCTGCGTGGCATCTTAAATAAATCCAACCAAAAACAAAAAAATGTTTTTTTTTGTCATAGTGTTGTACAATATTTATAACAAGTTTATTTTCTTCTATTCTAAATGATGAACCATGGAGATTGAAAATTTTAAATCTACGGGATCTCGAAACACTACTCTACTTGCAACACTTTGAAACATCATAAAAATTCATAACTTGCACGTTTTTTACTTTATGAAAAATCAAACACAGACATGGTGTAAGACGATGTAATTTTTATAGTTTCATTAAGTATATAGTCTTCTTTATAAAAGGATACATCTTTAAGAAAAATAAAACAAAATACAATTTTAGGAAGCGCAAGATGATTCTGATTTCTGTACGTACTAGCTAAGAGCGTCGACGTGATCTTCGATCAACCACCGTAGCCTCGTGCGAATCACAGACCTGTGTCGTGAATTTGCATCCGAACTTCTTCCCGAGTGACCATTTTCTCTCCCCATCCTCCGATGAACTTGTCTTGTCGATTATCTTAACGATCACTTTCTTCAAGTACGAGCACTCTCTCTCTAGCTGGTTCACTCGTGTCCTCATCGTATCCATATCCAAACGAAGCACCTCGTTCTCCTTCACCGTCCTCTTCCATCTCCCAAACTCCCCCACCTCTCTTTCTTCATCCCTCGTTAACGTCCCGGTGATTACTTCTCGGAGCTGTAACTGCTCCAGAAACAAGACTTGTACGACGGCTCGTAGTGGTAAACGCTCGTTTTGTGCCGCGTGTGTGCATCCTTCAACAGTCAGTTTCCGACAGTCCATTACACTACATATCTTCTCCTTCTCTGCCTCCAATATCCAAGGATGCGTCTATCAAATACAAAAACCAAAAGTTAAACATCAAGGTGCTGTGGTGTAGTGGTTATCACGTTTGCCTTACACGCAAAAGGTCTCCAGTTCGATCCTGGGCAGCACCATTTGTATTAAATGTTTTTAAGAAATTTTATAATCAAATCAATCAATCACCTTGAAATATATATCGACGGCTCTGTAAAGTCCATCATCGTAAGCCCTTGCTTGAACCGGAAGCAAAACCGCCAGGTCATAAAACTTCTCCGGTTTAAGATTACCGTCCGATGCTATTTCACCAAGAACCCCGTCGATCAGCTTCCCAACCACCGTTAGCGACGGAGGCGACACGAAGTCGTTTTCGAGATAACGACGTAGAAGTCTCTCCACCAGATCAATATCGTATAACGTATCGTTGAGATACGAGTAGCTTGGGATGAGTAGATCATCAAGCGTAGCTTTCTCAAGACTCGATCCAATCTTTTTCTCCAGCAAGGCTCTGCAACTCTCGGAGGTGTTGAGGATGATCGCAGATCGTAATAAATTGAAGAGAGATCTCGTCGTTACTGTTGTTGTTACAGAGGAGTTGTTTAATGGAAGATATGAGGTTATAGTCTCTAACAATTCTCTTTGTTGATTCTCGGAAGCTATGGTGGCAGAGGAGGAAGATGACGATGCTGATGATGAACGAGAGGCTCCGGGAATATGTTTCTTTGCGTATGATATTAGAGATTTCTCTACGATCTCTGGACTCAGATCTCTCGACTTCAGAGCTTTGATCACTCGTCTAAAGATTGGAAAACTCAATTCCGTCAAATCTTCAAACCAAAGCTCTGTTTTCAAATCATTGCTCTGTTTCTTGCGATCTACGGCGAGGACACCTCCGTTGTTTATTGGCCAACCGAACACAAACAACGACGGATTGGTTGAGGAAGCTTTGGAGACGATGGAATCTATACACTGTTCCGTTAAACCGAGAGATTCAGCTAAAGACGAGACTGATTCACAAGCTTTCAACGCTTCAATGGATTCTCGTATGTTACTGAAGACGAAGTGTGTGAGAAACCTCTCTGTTTTCGAAATTAGATTCTCCGGTGAGTACTCTTCTGTCATTTCGAGATAATCGGCGGCGCAGCGTAGTGGAACCGCCGTTGAAACAGAGATGTCGACTTTGAAGCCGTAGCTTATCTTTACCACTGTCTCGAAAATCTCTGAACTTCCCGGAAAATTCTCAAGCTTTATGTGAGGATCACTCTGTTCTTGCTCTGTAATCAGCCTTTGAAGTTTTCTGCTTTTAGACATCAGAGGAAACTGAAGAAGAAACACACACAAAAATTAGTTTTACTGTAACTTCGGAAAAAAATCAGAGACAAAGATGAATCTTGAGACCTTGTGTAGATGAAATGCTATATCATCAACTTCGATTTCGATGTCACTTGGTAAGCCTGTGGTGCAAAAGAACCTGCACCAAGAAAATAAGTGAGAACAGTTTTATCAGTACTTGAAACGTAGAATTATATCTTTGTGTTACTATTGAAACATGAGTGTTTTGTTCTTCACCATGCTTGCTTCTTGGAGTTTGCCATAAGAGAAAAATCACAGAAGAATGAAAAAGCAAAATCTCTCGATGAATGTGGAAGCAATTGTGATAAGATTATATTCGTAGTGTGCGATCGAGTAAAGTGAAACAAGTTTCATTATTTTTAGTGTGTGATCAATTCTTTTAGCTTAATATAATAAATGTTTCTGTCTTTTGCTTTTTTATAAAAAGGAATTGATTGTTTAATATTTTGGATGCAGAACAGCCAGAATCTCAAGAAATTGGGCATTGAAAAGAGGCAAAGTCGCACTCATTTGTTAATCTTAATACTTAAACTTCCCTCCAAATTTTGCTTTTCCTAAACTACTTCTACTTGTGAATGCATAATGATTCTTCTAACTAATCTTTTATAATCTTTAACCAATTATGGTTTTAAATGCGGATAGCAAAGATACGGTGGCCCAAACATTTATTTTTTGTATATGTATATATAATGACGATTTAAAAATGCCTTCAATCATGCTTTGAAAACTTGTTGAGACACAACAATAATATCATCATTTAAGATATATGAATGTATCGGTTATCAATCATGCTTTCAAAGCCATTCATTTCTTCTTCTTTCTGAGTTTATCTCTATGCATGTTATGAATTGAGTTACTTGTTAGATGAATAATTCATTTGCAGAGTTAATCTAACAAATCTTGTTATATAAACAACTAAGCAAGCGTTAGTTAAATAATTAAACTAACTCGTTGATTAGATTAATAAGTCATTGCCTCAGAAAGAAACAAACAGTCAACTGAATGTTTTACCCCAACTACCAAAGTAGTCTCAATGATATATAAACAATAATCACCAAGGACAGGGGGAACTGTGTGATTATTGCAGACAGGACATTGATATTAATGTCAGAATCTAAAAAACTATGGTTTTTAAGAGTTTGTCTCTTACATTGCCAGTTCTGAACAGCTTTATAAAGAAGTCTGCACAACATCAAGATTGGTCCATTGTTGACCACACTATATTGGCTTTACTAGTGTCTAATTTTAGCAATTAGCTTTTTAAGCACCATGGATTAGATTCATATTTAAGGTAGTCATGTAAATGGCAGATAAACAAAGATGATAGTCATGTAAACCTTATTCATTTTCGAAACTATAAGGGACGTCGAGTTGTAACCCCATAGAAAGTCAAGCACACCAAAAAATACACTGGTTACATTCCATCACCTAATCGAACCATATATTGCAGTTTATTTTTCTAGTTGTGCCTTGTAACTTCAGACTGCAGTTACCTTGACAAAAGGTTATGTATCGTTATCGAGTAGTATACAACATTCGAACAAGGTAAAACGTGTATTCTTAGACTAAAGATTGGTCTCGTAAGGCATTGTAATAACCCAGAATATGAAGCCTGTACAAGAGAGTAGAAGTATATGATCAGATCATATCTCATCGGAGTAGATACACTCATCCACAAGCTGACGGAGATTAGGATTCTCCATTGCAGCCGCCACCCGTTCTTTATCATTCAGTTGTTTATTCACTGCGATAAAAATGATCCCAATGAGTATCAAAGTTCAGAGCAAAAGACATCAACTTTCCTCGAATCCAAAGACTAGAAAACAAGATTTCTCAGTCATATACCATTAGAAACTGAAATCTATCAAACATCATCCTAAACTTTGTTTACAGTTTCCACACATCATCCAATCTCTTTTAAGCTCTACACTTGTAAAGGTTTATAGAAAGCATATATGTAATGATCAACTAGCTTAAACCATATCAAAACGCCTAGTTGATAATTGTTTATATGACATCCTCACCTCCATTTTCATCAGCGTGAGAACCAGGAGACACTCTGATATCAACCTGAACATGAATAATACAAAACAGAAGCAATCACACATATATAACAAGTAATTTTTGAGAATTAATGAGTTCAACTTAGATGACCTTATATTGACCTTATAATGAAGTGGCAAAGATTCTTTAAGCTTAGCTCTCAAACACAGACCAATTATATTTGCCATACTACAATGCTGAATCGTCGGTGTAAAGGTTATCCTGATACATCACAAATACCCAAACACAAAAAAAAAGATCATCTAAAAGCAAAAAAAAAAAAAAAAAGCCTCAACATTTGAAACCAATTCCTATGACAATTGACAAATCTATTTAACTTCCTTAGATTAATTCAAAAAACCGATGTAACAATGAATATTTAAGCAATAGTAGCAACTCACAAGATGCGATCCAGCTCGTCATCGATAGTAACAGATTCTTCAGAGACAACACTTAGCTGCTCCAAAGTATAAGGGTGTTCTGGATCTCTTATATCTCTTACATACTTTGTCCATTCTCGTCAAAGATTCCCAAAATATACATAAAAAAAGAACTCCAAAAAAGAGCAAAAAATCCAAAACAAATTCATCTAAACCAAAACTCAAAATTGGAAAAAGGATATCATAGATGTCAAGAGGATCAACACCATCATCTCTATATTGATCTTGTGTACGAACGAGCCGTTCCTTCTTAGCCTGCACAACTGGATTCGCGTTTATCAGTCCCAGAGTCATCTTCTTCTCTCTTTCCTCAACCTTGGTTCTCTGTACGGACACCGACCTAATCTGATTATGATTAATTAACCTTGGAAGTGCTCTGCTAACAAAAGGTCACGGGTTCGAATCTCAAATATGGATTTAGTGGAGTCACAAAGTCTTTCCATTTCCATTAGTTTAACAAGAATAAAAGAAGAATCTTTTTTACCAAATTTCATTTAACAATTATCTTTTTTCTTCAAGGTTTGATTTTTCGGTGCAAAACGGTAAACTACAACTCCAATCCTTGAACCTTCTTGAGGATCATCACAATGTATAACATCAACATCGAAGAGCTTCCGAGCTTTCTTGAAAAAGATGGATTCTTTCTTCCATCTCTTGAGGTGAGCCATAAGGAACACTCTCTTGGATCCTTCTAAGAGCATAAAACGCAGAGTTTTGAGGAGTGGATCGTAAAGATGCTCGTGGTAGACCACGTCAGACGCTAGAATCAAGTCAACATTTTGACCCAAAACCTCCACGTCATCGGTTTCTCCCCAACGAAGAGACGCCACGTGGACTTTCCCACCGAATCTAGCCACGGCTTCGGCGTTCGCGTCGGCGTTGAATTTGAGATTCTCGATCACGTTTGGGAGATCCGTCACCGTGACATTAGCACCCAGCGTCGCAGCCGCCGCGATTCCGACGATTCCAGTTCCAGATCCGAGCTCGACGATGTTAAGCGGCGAAGATGAATCTGAACCGACGGAGTGAAAATTGGAGAAGGTGTGAGTGAGTGGGCTGGTGCTTGGGTCACGACGGTAGTTATCGAGAAGCGTGACGAGAGTTGTTGCAGGAAGCCAGAGCTTGAAGGCGATGCCTAGCGACGGTAACTGCCGGATCACGAGTGTTGATTCAATCGAATTAATCCGGTACATTTGAAGCTCCGATTTACCGGAGGAGACATTCTCACCTTCGACTTCGTTTTCTCCGATTTGAAGCATTGTCGTCGTCGTCGTCTTCTTCTCGGAGAGTGCCAGTAACCATTGATTCGACGGCGCCTCTTTCAAATTTCGTTTAAACTAGGGCACTCGAATCTGATAACACGTGGATGTTTCTTATTGGTAATGATTAGTTTATTGAATTTGTAAAAGCCTCTAATCTATACCGAGGGTTTACTGGTGAGTAGTGGAATATGTGAGATCGGAGATTTTGAGAGTTTCAGAGAAAGTGGAAGAGAGGTGAAAGATGATAAAGGCAGTGATGATGATGAACACACAAGGCAAACCACGACTAGCTAAATTCTACGATTACATGGTGCGATGCTTGCTAAGATGACCTTTTCAAAATTTCTTTAATTTCTTCGATCGATTGACCGATTTCTCAAATTTGGTTTTTTCATTTTTGGGATTTTCGGTTTCCAGCCTGTAGAGAAGCAGCAGGAGCTGATCCGCGGCGTGTTTTCAGGTTCTTGATCACCTCTGCATCTTCGATTCCTTACCATTTCATTATCTGTATTACTAAGATCTAGGTCGATTGTGAAACTAGCGGTGGATTTTGTTATGAATATCTTGAGATCACCGGAATGTGGTCGCTGCAATTTTGATTTTTGTTTATATTTGATTTACAGTATTGAGCAGTAGACCTGAGAATGTAAGCAATTTTCTGGAGATCGATTCATTGTTTGGCGTGGTAATGGCTTCTCTTTGTTATGGTGTTATATTGTCATACTGCTATGTAATTTCAATGTTTGGTTTCTCAAAATGCTTTGTTTGAATTTGTTTGCAGGACTCTCGGCTTGTGTACAAGCACTATGCTACACTCTATTTTGTTCTTGTATTTGATGGTTCAGAGAATGAACTTGCTATGCTTGATCTCATTCAAGGTGCGTTTTTTGTTTGATTTGTTTATAGTCAATCGCCATTGCTCTTTGATTCCAATATTATCTTAAATGGCTTGTCTGTAAAACCTATAGTTCAATTTCAATTATTTTGCTTTGGAATGAGACAGTCTGTTTTAAACATGTTGACAATGTGGAAAGACAGAATTCGGAATCAGTATCTTGTTCGCAATGCAGTGTCTGAGGCTCTGATCTCTCTCATTAAAGCTTGTTGCCATGATCAAGTACGAAAGTGTATAAGTAGTGTGCCAGCTGAATTGGTCGATATTAAGATGTAATTGCAGAATATATTTGGATTGGTATTGGGTTGGGATATTATGCCTATATGTGTAGTTCTCTTTCCAAGTTGATACTCTTTAATCAAATTTAGGTGTAGTTTTTTTTTTCCTTTTAGTTAATAGAAAGAGTATACTGGCTCGAGTTAACTTAGCCTGTCACGGATTGTTGTTAAATACGAATCATTGCTTATTCCCCTGCTCGTTGATTCTTTCATTATTAAAGCTGTGAACAGGTATATCTTTCATAGTATGATGATCTAAGTTATAGATTTATTACATTGGCAGTTCTTGTTGAAACACTGGACAAATGCTTCAGCAATGTGTGTGAACTTGACATTGTGTTCAACTACAGCAAGGTAATGGTTTCTTACACAGACAAGTCCGCCCCACCAAATACTCAGATTTTATTATATTTTTTAGCTGGTGCTACTGCAGATTGGTTTGGTCACTCTATTTAGATAAATACGAGAAACAAACACGTGTTAGTAGTAAACGTTTTGATGTCTTATTATTTCTTTCATTCACATGTTGCAGATGCACGCAGTGTTAGATGAGATTGTGTTTGGGGGACAGGTACTGGAAACTAGTTCAGCCGAAGTCATGAAAGCTGTTGAAGAAATATCAAAGTAGCTCACACTCATCCTTCTCTCTCAACCTCTCTACTGATTTTTTACATTTGTGGTGTTGTGGAGATAACCAGTTGCACTTTTTTGGTATTGTACAGATTAGAAGCAGCCTCAAATTCAATTTCACTTGTCCCTAAGTCTGTTTCCGGCTGGCGTGGCCGATAGCTTCAAAACCATGCTCAACTGTTACTGAAAACCAAAGTCACACTAAACATGTAACAAAGGTTTTCTTATTCATGTCTTGATCCAAATTCATGTTTTGTTTAGTGAGCGTCAAATGTTGCGTGAATGGGCTCAATGGTCTAAACGTGGGCCTAAGAATTGTGACTGGGGGAAGCTGTTTGAGAATGTAACGAAAACGACGAGGAATTAAAGAACTATTAAAACGTTAAACAAAAGTTCAAATTCAGAGTATTGTGGGTAGCTAAAACTAGAATAGAAAGTATAGGGAGCTATAAAGTAAAAAATAGCAAGTACAAAAACGCCGAACGGCGTGCGTTGTTGTGAAAAGAGTCAATACGTAATTCGATGGGGTGAGAAGAAGACTGAAGATTCGAAAATGGTTTTGAAGTGCCAATTCATATAAGTATCATTCTACCTTTTGAAATTCTTATGATCCATCTCTGCATTTCCTCAGTACCAGCTTTTTGACCTTTTCTAGTACCCAATAGATAGATAAGATACCTATGTGGGTTTATATTTCTTTAAAATGTTTTTTTTTTTTTTTTGCGATGATTAGATTGAAACATATTATATGTTTACATAGTTGAGATTATGAGGATAATGCGAATAAGAAGTACATAACTTAATAGTTTTGGCCCTTGTTTGTTATCCGAATTAAGATGGAATGTTTTCTCTCTTTATGCTCTAAAAGCTATTGGGGGCTACAAGAAGAAGAAAAAAGTTGGGAAATTTTGTGTTGTGTAGAAGACAAAAGAACAGTAATAAGTGGAAGGGGAAGATTCAAAGTGGAGTTGGTTTTGATTGGGAAACGTTGAGAGTGAAACACAAATACAAGAAAAAGGGGAAACTTGTTGGATAAAGATGATACAACAAATCCAATAATAACATTTGAAGAATTGGTCAAGCTATAGCAAAGATTGTACCATGGACCAAAGTGACCACCTTTGATCATGTTTATATAAATCCATATCTTATGTTTTTTTTTTTTATGTATATCATATGATTGATAGAGATACCTCTCCCAATCATGGGGCATTCCTCTAGTTGGTCCAACAATTTTTCTTTTTCCACTTTTGCCCTTTTTACTTACATTGGACCACTCCCACATTTGTATAAAATTGATTCATCCATTTCACAAAGAAATAAACCAATAAAATGTGTTATGTATCCCCCTGAGATTTTCAAATATCAAAATTTTATTAAACTCAAAGCTAATTAACAAAATAAATTACTCAAGCTGTCTTAAGTTATTTTCAACTACCAACACCAATTGACAATTATTATATTACTGTTTGTAAATTCGTTTATATAAAGCAAAAACAAGAGCTACAAAACTTTATTACAGTCAAATTCAAGCAATATATACTAGTTGACCGAATAAAAAAACAGTAGATGTGAAGTCCTTTTTTTTGAAAGATATATAAACAGAACAACACAGTTCATAACATAAATCTTTAGGAAATGTGAAGAGACGCTTTCGAGGGGACAACATGAAGTTACAGGAGCCGTAGACCAACAAACAAATAAAAATCTGGTCTTAACTCTTAACTTAGGACAGCTGGAATTTGTACTTTTATATTTATAGCTTTATATACAGTTTACCTGTTTAACGAAAAATCACGGGGCTAATTAATTTGAAACGAAAATAATAATAACATTATTCCATACTAGACTGATTCAATCTGAAATATTAACATTCTTTGAAACTCAAATCTATAGATTTACCAGCAATTAATAGAGTATAAACAACAATGGTTTCACATTATTTTTTTAGTAAGTGTGGTATAATAATCGAAAAAGCAGAAAAGCATTCATAGTTAGCCCCTATAATGATTTTTACATTTTTTAAGAACGCATACCATACAAACAGAATTTTCAAACAAACAAAAATAAAAATAAAGAGGAAAGCAGAATCCATCAAAAGGACAGAGATGAGAAAACATTCCAGTCGTGTTTTGTAACTTTTGAGGAATGTCTCATTATTTTTATATTAATTTTTTTTAATATCAACGTGACCGAGACGAGTCCTAAACCCAATACAAACTACTACGTACATTAAATTAAAAAAATCAAGTTAAACAATTTATTAGTAATGACTTATCATTAGATCGCTCTTTAAACAACATCATGCATGCATGCGGGAAGAAGAAGAGAATTAAAATCTCGCGGCTAGTACTAGTGTCCGTCCACGTGGCGAACCTGATTAACGACAAAAAGATTAATAATGTAATTAATCTAAGACTCGTCGTCGTCGTCGTCGTCGTCACCAAAAACACGATCTCTGTATGGGAACTCGCGATACTTTTTTCGGAACGTTGTGGTTCCCACCGAATCCAAACATTATCATTCATCATTTGCATTTGCATCATCTCATCAAACACCGTGTAGTTTTATTGCTCTCCCACTCAACTACGAGCCGTGTCTTCTTTTTGGTTTGTTTGCGTATAGCCGTTTCGTTTTTCCTTTTTTTCCTTTTTGGAGTTGTGTAAAATATACTCTTCCTCTACTACGCAAACGTCAATATAAGCGAGAGACATTAATTGATTCATTACACTCCTAGTATAGGTAAGTTACAAAAACTGGAGTAGACATCTCTACGTATTTGCATTATATGATCTTCCTTAAATGAACCATGACAACTTATGTTCTTTAATACTATAGTTATGCACTGTCACTTCACCCATAATATATTTGATATGAAAATTTTGTGTTATGAAAAAATTAGTAACGAAAAGAAATATAGAAGTTTATAAAGATTGAGGTGAAATGTTTTGTGATAAATAAAGCAAATCCCGGAGTATAATTACAGAAAGCTGATCTTGTACCATAGTAGTAGTTTAATTACGTAGTTTTTGATTACGAGCATTATTAGTGAAAAAATGGGATTGGTTTAATTCCAAAATTCACTATACAACCACGCGCCGTTAAAGCCCGTGAGTGCAGAACGTGTAAGTGGGATGGTAGCGTCTTAGTCACGGGGTGGTTGGGTCGCGTGAGAGGGTTATAAGTAGAGCTTTGCATGTAGTGGCGAAACGTAACGCTTTGTTGTGTCTCGGGGTAATCACGGTTTTTATGTTTCGAGTTTATCAAATTACTATAAATATAGGTTACGTACAATAATTAGAGTTTATAAATTGTTATAAATATAAACGTTCGACAGAGCATCTTTTGGAAAGTGGTGGTCGTCCCATTAGTCGAACTAAGTTTCGGCAATCTCAAGACGATCTGATTTTCACCTTTTTATATATATATATTATATTCGAAAAAAGAAAAATTTAAATGATAGGAATTGATAGGTAACTTGCCATGCGAAACAACTTTAACATCAAACAAAAAAAAGAATGGCTTACGAAACAATGAGATAGCTTAATAGACATATATACAATTTCCAACAAGTTTTGATCAATTGTTTTAGTTTTCTAACTCAAATGCCTTTGTTTGAATACATTTTCGAATACTATAGGTTATATAACCCCGTGATTTATCCATCGAAACATTATATGTTCTTCGTGCCATATCATTATAATTTTGGCTTATAGGAAAGATAAAAAAAAATAAAGAGTTATCATGTGGAATTACTATTAGGTATAATGATTTGAAGAGGTGGGTCCGAATAGCTTTTTTTCTTTGTTTCTTTTCACTAGTTCAAGATCAAATTTATGGGGAGTATTATTAGTTCTTTGACCTTTCTTTTTTAGAGAGTCCTTCTTTGACCCATCGAGATTCAAGAGCAGAATCTCTCTCTTGCTAAGCTAAGAAAAACATGAAAAAGTTCAAAATATACTATATATTAAAAAAGAAAAGATAGAAGAAGAGAGAGAGAGATATGTATAGTTGATACATGTGTATGCATAGGTTAATTGGGGGGGTGTTGCTTTGATGATTGTAGGAAGGTACTTCACTTGAATAGAGGGGATTCTTCTCTTTATCTTTTGGGTTCCTCACAATCTAATCTATTAGCTTTTCTTTTGATGCAATATTTTTCTTGTTACTCTAAAAAAAACACTCTTGCAAATCTTCTTGGATATTCCCATGTCATTATGATTCCAAATTCTTATTCTCTTTATCAAAAACCCCAATAGGAATTGGATTCTCATGGTTTTCGATACGTTACTCAGCCATACTACGACCATGAGTGATTCTAACGAGACAATTCGAGGATATGTTCTTCTTGTTTATCGTTTATACTTAAGAGATATGTGTATATATGATTTTTATCTAAACTAATCCCTTATACAACATATTTTCCATAAGTAACAGGACCTAGTTAGTTTTTGTCTAGCATTGTATATAAAAATGAAAATTTGATCGAATTTGTTAACATTAACGATTATTTTACGTACGATTCATATATTATATATGATACTCTTGAGTACTTTTGTCCAAAAAACAAAAAAATACTCTCTTGTACGTAGTATAGAGTTTTGTGTAGTAATTAGGTAAACCATCATTCCATCACGTGAACAAATACATGACTAGACGATTAGGAACGAAACAATGTGTAACTACTCCTAAAACTAAGAACATTTTATGATATTAAATCGCTAATTAAATCAATAGGTGGGGTGATTTCAGTTTTGACATTGAAATCGTTTAATTTGGCTCGTGGTAGTGGCTTCATTAGTGTGCACTAACCAAGCTGATATGTGCGAAATACAAAATAGTAATTAAACAGAAAAATGTACTTTATGCGTTAATGAAACATGTGGTTTACACATAGATAAATCGCGTTGATTATCTCATTATAGATTGTTGCTTATGTAAGGAGACGAACTAAAAAAGATTATGCTAGTCACGTACGTTAGCTACCGAGTTGTGACTGACAATGTTGTTTTAGTTTCAGTTGATATGGTACGTTGTTTAGCCGAAATAAAGGATATAAACATCAATAGAAGACCTTGATTACAGCCTTACAGGGTAAGAGAATAATACAGAAGAACATGCCATAATCAACATCATCTACAATATAGTACCTGAAGAATTTGTGATAGGCGATTCACTTATCTTGATACACATGTCCTTCATCTTGATCGAATTTTCCATTTTTATTTATTTTGTATTAGGTTGTTCATATATTTACATTTTGAATTGCAAGGCTTTGTGTTCCGGGAATATTAAGTTATAGATCAGCCAATGTATTTGATATAGCTGAGGCTCTTCTTCTACTACCAATCGAGAGTCCATATATATTTCAATAGTAGTTAAAGCATTTTAACATACAAATACTAAAGAAATAAAATACAAACACTTTATAGGGAAGAAGACTAGTATACGTTGACGACAAGAGTAGGGTAGACTCTAGCTAATAGCTGCAAGTTTTGAAGAAATCTAATAACCAAATCTAAGTCATTTATTTATTTTCTTTTAACACTTACATCATCATGGATCATCATTAACCACATGAGGCCGCTGAGCAGCAGAGATATCGAACGTGTGATTGCGATGTGGAGAAGAAGTAAGCAAAAGGACGAGGGCCACACGCGCGACCGAAGCATCAGCGCGTGAGATTCAGGGTTTTAGGGCAGAGAGATACGGAAAGAGACAGAGGTTTATATGTTTATTGATAGATAGATAGATAGAGAGAACAAATAAAATCCAAAAACCAAATAAGAAAAAGAAAAAAAAAACTTGGAGCCTCGTGATCGGAGATTTTTTTGCAGTGATGACTGTACTCTTTCTTCCTCTTCTCTCCCCCTTGTCACGTGGGCTAAATTTTGACCACCCTTCTTCAATGACCATCAACATCACATCACACTCTCTCCTTCCTTCTTCAACGTTTTTTGTTTTTGTTTTAAAGAGATAATTTTCAAATCCTTCATTATAATACTTATCATACATCTAGCTAGTAGTAAGACATTCGTGTGTGAGTGACATAATAATTGCTTCAAAAAGATGTAATGAATTAGCCAAGAGTCGTATGTTTTGATGGTCCTAAAGTCGTATGTTTCTCTCTAGATATCACGATAATACTTTGAAGCACGAAATGAAATATCTTGATCAGTTCAAAATGTTACCCAATCAGTTCATCTTTAGAGTGGCCATTCACATTTTGAACTTTGGTGTCCATCGGCTAACTCAGTTCAGCCTTGTCTTTTCTAACTAAGATAATTCTATTTACATAGTTTCGACTTTTTGTTTTACTACTACATGTTCCATTCTGTTTGATTTAGTACTGATATTATATTATAGTGTAAGGTGCATTTTACATATCATAGCATACATCCTTAGCCTAAGGCTAATCAATCATTCACACAACACAATCATGCACAGTTGCACACAGATTCTATATATATAGACCAAATATGTGTTTTATTTTAGTAGAAAAATAAAACCGTAATTAAATTATATCTAATTTTTACTTGGCTGTTTAAAGAACTTGTTATCAACGTTCATCGTATTTTGTAACTAAAAAAAACATAAAAAAGCAAGCAAGCCCCATTTGAGTAAATGATAATAGTATTAAAATTACTTCGTAAAAAGCTGCGTCCCCACATATTCTATTGATTTTTTAAAAAATTATTCGTTTTAATATAAACCTGCATATAAAGCACATGTACACGTCTGATTCTATATATAGGTGTGAGACCCTCTTCTCCATTCTTCATTCACTTCACACTCCAACGTGAAACCTGCAAACTTAATTTATCTCTCTTTAGCTTTCATTCTCTTAACTTCACACTTAGGGCTTTCACATCAAAGGAGAGCGATGATGCAGACTCCGTACACTACTTCAACGCAAGGGCAGTACTGTCATTCTTGTGGGATGTTCCATCACCACAGCCAAAGCTGCTGCTACAACAACAACAACTCTAACGCCGGTTCTTACTCGATGGTCTTCTCCATGCAAAACGGCGGCGTTTACGAGCAGAACGGCGAGGACTATCATCACGCTTCATCCGTTGTTGACTGCACTCTCTCGCTTGGAACTCCTTCTACGCGTCTTTGTGAGGAGGACGAGAAACGTAGACGCTCTACTTCCTCTGGTGCTTCTTCTTGCATCTCCAACTTCTGGGACTTGCTTCACACCAAAAACAGCAACTCAAAAACGGCGCCGTTCGGCAACGTTCCTTCTTTTTCCACTAACAAGCCAGCTCGCGGTTGTTCCGGCGGCGGAGGAGCCAGTGGCGGCGGTGATTCTCTTCTCTCCAGACGCTGTGCCAACTGCGACACCACTTCTACTCCACTATGGAGGAATGGTCCTAGAGGCCCCAAGGTGACTATTTTTTTCTTTAAAAAAAAAAAACAAATTGAAATGTGATTTTTTCATAAACAATTACAACGGAAATTTACAACAACGAAAGAAGACAGGTCATCCTTTTTGTTTTGAATATTTTGCCTATCTGTTTTTTCACTAAAACCAATAAATCCCTTTCTCGATAGGTTAATTTGTTGAAAGAAAACATTAAAAATAGTGTTTTTGATGGTTTAAGTAATTATTTGAATATAGTTGTTTTGAAGTATGCGACTTCTTGTAAATTAATCAACATATATTTGCAAAACACGACACTAATTCCATCCCATTAATTAGTTTTGAAATTTTCTATAGCTCTATTTGTTGAAACAGCATTAAATATATAGAGATATTAATGTTTAAATGATATGCACGGTATTTGGAATTTGTAGTCCCTATGCAACGCATGCGGCATTCGTTTCAAGAAGGAAGAAAGAAGAACAACGGCGGCTTCGGGAAACACCGTAGTAGGAGTTGCACCGGTTCAACCCGATCAGTACTCCGGCTACAATAACTACCACGCTGCCACCGGTAACAACAATAACAATGGTACTCCGTGGGCTCATCATCACTCGACGCAGAGGGTTCCTTGTAATTATCCGGCAAACGAGATCAGGTTCATGGATGACTACAACGGCGGAGTAGGACACAACGGTGAATCTGACGGTGCTCACGGCGGCGTACCGTTTCTTTCGTGGAGGCTTAACGTGGCTGATAGGGCAAGTCTTGTCCATGACTTTACCAGATGAAAGGAAAAAAAAAAGAAAAAGAAAACGACGTTAGATTCTTGATATTTCCATGTGGTTTAATTATTTAATTATGTCTAATTAAAAAAAAAATGTTTCAAGAAAAAGAAAAAAACATTAGAAGTGTATATCGAGAGACGATGTTGATGTTATTGATAGCGACGGTCTAACTTATGGTTTATCTATAAAGTACCGTTCGGGTCAATGTTTAAAAATCAGTTTTTATTATAAAATTAAAAATTAACCTTCTTTTTATAGAAATTTTGAGTAAAAACGAATATTAGTAAATTAATATATTTAGATTCTTCAGTTGATTGTGTTTAAATTTGTTATTAACAACATATGTATATAAAAAAAAAAAAATCACAAGAATAAGAAAAAGAAAACAGAGAACAAAAATAAAGACATAGGATAGAACTCTTTTAATGTATATAGTTGTTTGAAGGTGAAGGGAGAAGTTTCAGTTCCACCTGAGTCCCTGAATTTCACAACTGAGAGAGCTTTTAATAAATAATAAAAAAACTACCAATTATATAATTTCTTTCGTTTTATAAAATAAAAACTGAAAAGATAAATTTGGGGGTGTTTGGTAGTGAAGATTGAAATCTGATCGTCGAATTTGGGGGAGATAGATAGAGTATAAGATTCTGATCGTACCAAAGTGGGGTTTTGGTGGGTGGGGGTGGGGGGAGAGGGGTTACTGTTGTGTTTCAGTTTGGATCAGAGCATTGTAGTGATTTAATGAACTTATATTTGTCGTATTATGCTCTGTTCTTTCTCCTCCTTTTATATAAATTTTGACCGTCGTTTTGTCCTTTACTACTCTCCCCTCTTCTTGACCTTTTGTTCGTGTCAATATGTGCTCTACAGAATATTATTTATTTCTCCTTTAAAAAAAAAAAAACCAAATAATTAGTTTTCCGATTTTACTGAACCGATTCTGCTACATGTTCTGTACTAATTCTACCAGCTTTTTCATCTATCTATCTCGCTGCACGATCATACATTTACAAATTAAAAATAAAAAAATCCCATTATTAATAGTATTTTCTTTTCGGTCGTCAAAAAATACTTACAACAAGTGGGATCTTATTATTATTATCTTACGCTTTAGCAAAATTGGGTTTAGATAATGGGCCGAATCGGGATTGCTTATAGGCCCAATTTAGAATCGTTGTTTGGTTTTTAACGCGAGGAAGAAGATATTAGTGATCAAACTCCGCCGTCGTTATGTCGTCTCTCCGTAAAACCCTTACCGCCGTGAATCAATCTTCGTTATTGCCGGAATCTTCAATCGTCGCCGTTAAACTCGCGGATTCTGAGGCTTCTGGTTCTTCCTCATCTAGAATAACATTCCGACCTCGTAAAATCAGGAAAGTTTCGTCAGATCCTTCACCGAGAATCATCGTCACAGCGTCTCCTCCCTTATCAACAAAATCGACGGTTGCTATCGCTCTCCGTCACTTGCAAAGCTCCGACGAACTTCTCGGAGCGTTGATCAAAACGCACAACGATCCTCCAGTGTTCGAATCAAGCAATCCTCCGTTCCTCTCCTTAGCGAGATCCATCCTCTACCAACAGCTCGCGACCAAAGCAGCGAAATGTATCTACGATCGATTCATCGCTCTATTCGACGGAGGTGAATCAGGTGTCCTCCCTGAGTCCGTGACCTCACTCTCCGCCGTCGATCTTCGTAAGATCGGTGTCTCCGGGAGAAAAGCTAGCTATCTCCACGATCTAGCTGATAAGTACAACAACGGTTTGCTCTCTGATGAATTGATTATGAAAATGAGTGATGAAGAGTTGATTGACCGGTTAACTTTGGTTAAAGGAATTGGAGTGTGGACTGTTCATATGTTTATGATCTTCTCTTTGCATAGACCTGATGTTTTGCCTGTGGGAGATCTTGGTGTGAGGAAAGGTGTCAAAGATCTTTATGGTTTGAAAGACCTCCCTGGTCCGTTGCAGATGGAGCAGCTTTGTGAGAAATGGCGTCCTTATAGGTCTGTTGGTTCATGGTACATGTGGAGACTAATCGAGGCTCGTAAGACCAAATAACACCCAACTGGTATACAATCTAAACAGTACCTCTCTTTGTCATTGCTTGCTTTGATCTGAAGAACACAAAATTTAGAAAGGATGATAGGAACTAGAGTTGACTGACATGTGCATAGCTATCGTGATCTCTTTATAGAAGTAATTCAAGATTACCTGATTATTAGAGAGGATAAGAAACACTTGCTAGTTAGTTTAGCATCTGTTTGATTAGTAGCTTTTGGAATACGTTTTGATCTTTGCTTGATGTGTCTTCTATATCTAGCAACAATCTGATCCTTTCTCTCACTGAAGATTCTATATCTGGTAGCTATCGCTGTTGTCATACGATTTGTTGCAATCAATCGTTTCGGTAATGATAACTGAAGACCCATTTGTTCTTGTTTTGGTCGGACAGCTAGTTACTCTCATTCTGTGACGAATAAGCTATTCCACGCCCATCACCTCTCTTCCAAGTTTCACTTGCTGAGTTATTTTGTTGTGTTTGTATTATTAGAGCTCTTAAGAGAAACCTTTTTTTTTTGTATTCTAACCGTGTGTTCCACGGATAATTTATATTTCTGTGCTTTTTGTAAAATGTATCATCTTCATGTATGTGGTTTCAATTTGGTTATAGAGAGAAGCGTGGCTTGTTTATCAAAAATTTGTAACTGCATCCTATTGGGCTTTGGCCCAATTAATCAAGTGGAGTAGACCTAGTGTGGATCTGATTTTGCCAAGTGAGTCACATGTGAAACCAACATTGCTTACCCACACGAAGACAATGTCAAGGGAAGGGAATCCAAAACTAAAGTCGAAAGGTGTGTCACGCGTGGTAACATTCAAAACCTCTTATTAAGAGTTTTGTATATTGGCAAAATCTATTTCAATTGGTTTTAACTTTCATAATTTGGTTAAGAAATGAAGATCATAAATCATAAAGTGCTGCACAGCTGTGGGAAACAAAGAATCTGAATGAGAGACATGAGGCATGTGGAGATAAATAAAAGTGCAGGTTTTGTTGTGCTTATGTGGACCAGCTTTTCATTCTTTTCTTTCACACACTTTAATTCTTCTTCTACTATCCCCACCAGAAAAATAAATAATTATTCAATACTATGCCTTCTCTTTCAAGACTATGATTAATTCTCTTATTAATTATTGCGAAAATTAAACACTTCTATTAGAAACCCTAATTTCATTTGTATGGAAAATTTTGAAGATATTGTAAACACTAACATCAAATTCCATGCAAACCATATTCCAACACCCATATTGTGGATTGACAAACAAGGCCATTTCAAGTTTTAGTCTATAGTCTATACAATGACATGTTAAATGAAACAGTTTAGAAAACTGGAAAATTTATATATGATGATTAAGAAGCTAAACACCTAATTCAATAGACCTATAAGTCTCCTCTCATTTATATCTCTCTCTCTCCATTTTTAAAGTCCTACTAAGTACTGTAGTAGGTAATAAGTTTGACTAAGCTAGGTTTTTTTGCAGACACACATTAATTAGTAACACCATCATCATAAAAGAAAAATAGAGATATAAAATGCAATAATGGGAGATGGACCAAAGGTGCAGGTGGTGAAAGATAACAAACATATGACAATGTCTCGAAATTAAGAGGCACCACCACACAAACACACATACACATTACACACACACTCTCTCTCTCTCTCTGTCTAGTAGGTTTGTGTTTTTTTTTTGTTTAAATCAATATTTTGTTGGATTTTCATGTGAAATAAACTTGATGGGTGATAGGAAACAAACGCACATACGTCATCATCACCCTTAATTTCTATTTCTCCTTCTTCTTCAATCCTCATCAATACCAATTCTCTCAATCTTGCAATACTCTTCTTCTCTGGCCTATAACAATAAGCATCTCTATAATCCCCTAAGGTGAGTCCAAAATTCATCTCTCTTATCTATATATATATATAAAAGGAGATGTATGTATTTGCTTGCATGCATTATTGATTGATTCTAATTAAATCTTTAGCTAATTAGTTTTGTTCTTTTGGGTCAGATTTACAAATGGAGCTTGGAGGAGGAGTACAAGATAACGCAATTACTTCCACAACAATGATCTCAACAGAAGTAAAGGCACTTACCAAACCGTACCAGGATCCTGAAGCCAAACCAGAATCAGATCTATCCATAGCTTTATTCCCCATCAAGAAACCAAAGACACGTGTCGACCAAGCAGCTAAGTACCGGGAATGCCAGAAGAACCACGCGGCCCTAACCGGAGGACACGTGGTCGACGGATGCTGCGAGTTCTTGGCCGGCGGAGAAGAAGGTACGCTCGGTGCGCTGAAATGCGCCGCCTGTAACTGTCACCGGAGCTTCCACAGGAAAGAAGTGTACGGACACAAACAAGATCAGATGATGATAACCCCGGCGTTTTACAGCAGCAACAACAGCTCGTACAAGGCGATGCAGCCACGTGGAGTGTATCCAGCGGGTGAGATTGGACGGAGGACTTCTTCGTCGAGCGAGGATATGAAGAAGATTCTGAGCCATCGTAACCATAATAACGTTGATGGGAATGGCATGATGATGACGAGGAAGAAGAAGAAGAGAGTGAGGACCAAGATCAATGAAGAACAAAAGGAGAAGATGAAGGAGTTCGCGGAGAGATTAGGGTGGAGGATGCAGAAGAAAGATGAAGAAGAGATTGATAAGTTTTGTAAAGTGGTGAATCTGAGGAGACAGGTTTTTAAGGTTTGGATGCATAATAACAAGCAAGCAATGAAGAGGAACAGTAACACTAGTGACTAGTGATGATCATCTTCTCCAACGAATTATATATAATCTCTCTCTCTACATATATATATATATATAAATTTTGGTCTTCAATTTATTCCAAATCTTGGGTATGAATCGGTGACTAGTTTATATAAGATTGTAGGTGCAAATCTGTGCAATCTTATATGTTTTGGATTTGTTTTTTTTATATATCAGGGATTATCGTTTTTTCTTGTTTTAGTTAGTGGTTCAAGAAAATGATAAGATTGGGGTTTAGACCTTTGAATATTCTTCTCTAAAAAAGACAATACATTTGTATACCTAATAAATAGGTTCAAAAGCAACGTTAAATCAGTAAGCTGGAATAGCTCAGTTGGTTAGAGCGTGTGGCTGTTAACCACAAGGTCGGAGGTTCGACCCCTCCTTCTAGCGACTTTTTTTGAAAGTTCTGGTGTTTATTCATTTTGTAACATAGAGCATATGAGCATATAGGCTCCAAGTGGATGAAAAGAGGGAAATTGAGTCACATGAAGATTAATTTGTTATCAAGTGTGTATGATTATTATTCTTTCTAATCATCTCCCTTTGGTCACTTCAAATATCAGAAAATTATCTCCCAATCCCCCCTCGTACGTAATATTAAAACACACACGAAGAGCACTAAGTTCAAAAAATGTTTTTGAATTCCATCCTACTTCGCACGCTTTGATTAAGATTTTAAATAAGTGCTTCCGATAAAATATGTAGTAAGTTTTTTGGCTAAATAGTTTCTGAGATGTTTCCTTTTTCTCCTTTAAGCTCGACAAATTGCCGACCTTTTTCTTCTAATCCAAGAATAATTATAAATTGTTGTATTATGGATCGGACAAAGAAGCTAGAGTTATAGTATTTGCACGAGAGAGGTTTAGTAGTATATCTGTATATAAAAACTCTAGAGCCATTTTGAATTGTCTAAAAGATGTAGACGTAATAAGAGTCAGCATAAAACACATTTGACCGGCGAATTAATCGGGGACAAGATTCACGAGAGAAGATGTATACATCATGTGGGTGTAACACTATAACACATGCTTTTTTTAATAAAATTTCTGGTTATATAAACTATAACACATGCTTTATTGATTACATATACAACAAAATTAATTTCAGTTAGTTGGAATGGAGATCTCACACAGACAACAAACACTAAAGAATTATATAAAAGTCAACAGATCTACTCTTTCCTTTTCATATCACAAAGCAAACTTGGCCTACTACTTAAGCTAACACCATCAGGAGAAAGATTCAAGAACACACCTAATATCACAAGAAAAAAAGAAGACCACTTTTGTTTTTTCAACACCACCACACAAAGACCATGTTTAGAGCCATGAGCACTAGGAAAATCCATGGTGGCTACGAAAAGCTAGGCGACGAAGAAGCGATATTGAAAAGGGTCTCGAGCGTTCCGGCTAGTGCTTATGGTCAATCAAGAAATCCGGTTCAAGAAGTGAAGAAGACACCGACGACGGTGAAACCAACCGGTGGTGGTTCTGCTCATCCTTTGTTTAGTTTCTTTGACGTTCATTTCCAAAGGAAGCATAAGAAGAAGAGTACGACGAAGACGAAGAAGAGTTTGGCTACTTCGAAACCCGAGTTTGCGAGGTATATGGAGTATGTGAAAGAAGGAGGTGTGTGGGATCCAAGTTCTAACGCACCTGTGATTCATTACAGATAAGATTCGTCATGGAAAAAAAAATGAATAAAAAGATTTGTATATCGTTTTTCTTTTTATAACATATAATCTCTTCAGAAAATTGAATATGTCTATCAGTCTATGTGATTCGATTTGAAAGATGGAATAAGCAATATAAATTTGTCATTGTTGTACACTTTTAAATGGAGATTTCAAGAATAAGATAAATTCAAAAAAGTCCTTGACCTTAACATTGATCAACAAGTTGGTTTAGCTATATAAATATATATATGTTTATTAGAGAATCGAACCAATTCCTAATTGCTCATATATATAAAGTCCAAACTCTAGAACTTCTCTAGCTTTGAATCAGGTTCTATATTCTTCATTTCCCACCTTTAGCTTTTGATTTGTTAATAAAAATTCAAATTAGAAGAAAGAAATTTCAAATTTTCCAATGACCGGTGTTGCATATGATTTTTTCTTCTCATAAAAAATATAAAATTCTAACAAAATATCATAGTCTCATTTTTCTTGTGAAGACCAAATTTATTTTTAAAAACCATAGTAATGTTAACCAAATTTGAAAATGTAAGCGTGTTGTTCACATTGGTCACGTAACACGTTTTAGGAAACTGTCTCTTAAACAATAGTATTTGAAGAAGACAAACAAAATAAAGATGGGCCTTTACAGATTCGCGAAAAGACAAATTGGGCCAAGGGCTAAGTTTTGCTTTTTAGGACACAAAGTGTTGCCACGTCAACATATTTAATGACGTTAATGGAATATTCGAGATAGGACCATCAAATCAAAGATCCCTTAGACGATGTCGTTTTAGTTAACTTCACGAAACCCTACCGGTGATTCATTTACACAAAATACCCCTTCCGTTATCGCGCCGTCCTTGCTCGTTACGCCTTACCGTCAAAGGTTATATTCGTCTTTTTAAGAAGTTATCTCCAAAAGAAAAGACCACGTTTTAAAAAATAAAATTTAATTAAGATAAATAAAACGAGTTTTGTTAAGAAATGGGTCGCCAAGAATAGAGGAAGAAGCAGCGAAGAAAAAAAAAAAAAAAAGGAGCGTTTCAAATATTTGCGGAGATACAAAGCTGAGAGAGAAAGAGAGATAAAAAAGCCTTGGAGAAGAGGTCTTCTTCTTCTTCTTCTTCCCTCCTCCTCCTCTTATATACGATGTCGTATCGCTTTTATTCTTCTTATTATCTTCGCCGTCGTATTGCATCCGTTTGACATCGATATCTACAGGTTGGATCTTTTTTCTAATACAGCTTTCTTCTTCCGTGGAGATCTCCTTCGCGCTCGAGGTAATCCTTCTTTTACGCCTCCGGATTTGGTTTCTGTTGATGTTGCTCGGTGTAATTTCTGGGAAAAGTTTCGTTATCGTAGGTCAGTACCTTTCGAGATTCGTTTTGATTTTTTTTTATCGAACTTGACCTTTTCGTTAGCTTCTAGATTATCGATTTGTAATTGATTTTGCCAGCTTCTTCTCGATTTTAGTTTTTTTTTTGTGAGAATCTGGTTGTTGTTCAGGTATAGAGATGGTGTAGATGTGGTTTCAATTAGCTAATTGATTCGAGTTTTGCATTTTGGAAATTGTTTTGTTCTCGTTTCTGTTTTTCGATTGAAAATGAAGGAACGCTTTTGTGATTTGGGATTTTTTACTAATTTGAAGTTTGAAATGATGTGCAGAGCCATGCCTACTTTTTCTGCTATTGCTTTGGATAGAATGCTAGAGCCAGGGGCTTCCACATCTGTCGAGAGTGTTCCAACCACCTCAACAAAGTCGTTTTACTCAAAGCCACCGATATCAAAACTGGAGAAAGGCAAAGGTAAATTACCTAATGAAAGGACAGTTACGCGTCCTCAGATGTCACCTGCTCTCTACGCCACTCCTGATGCGATTCCACTTCCCAATTCGCCATCTTCTTTCCCGCCTTCGCCTTATATTATCAACCACAAATCACGTGGACCTCCGCGTCTTCTAAAAAGCTCTTCCGAGGCTAATGTTGTGTCTTCTTCCCACCAGAAGACCCTGAAAGACGAAACTATTTCTGCTGAAACTGATGTAAAGGTTTCCCCTCGGAGGAGGTCCACCTCGTTCTCGTTTCCTATCAGTGAGGCTACTGAAGATGACTTTTCCAATGGAGTTAACTATAATTTTGATGGTATTGTCGATGGTCCTGTTGGGAACTGGAGTCCGCTTGATGGTAAAGTTGGGAATGGAATCTCGGAGTTGGATTATGCTGCCAATGGTTTAGAAAGGGAAAACAAGCTGTCAGAGCCTGTCACTATCAAAAACGACAGAGAGAGTGAGTCTGAAGATTTCTATGACCCAGGTGAATCAGCAAGCTTCACAAGTAACACAGAAGTAGAGGGTGATGCCGGAGAGGAAGGTTCACATAGACTTGCTACACCTGTGGGAGAGTTTTATGATGCTTGGGATGGTACTTATCTAATTCTTATTCTCTTTCTGAGTATTTCCTTGCGAGATAATGCATGCGATCTTAACATTCCCAGGATAGTATCATGTATAGATCCTTCTCCCTTTGAGTGTTTTAGGATATCAGTACTGTTTCTTTAATGTGCAGTAGTAGCCTTTTCTTATTTTGGAATTATGTGTGTTTCTGGAGATATTGAAATTGAGGAGTAAACTTTCCAAATTATGAGGATTATTGCATTATTCATTTCCCATGTATTTGCAGTGTATCCTTGATGTTAATCTTTAACTCGACAGTGTGATTCAGAACTGTTTGTAATCCATTTAATTTTTCTTTTCCAGAATTATCAACCGACAGTGGAATGCAGAGTTCAGTTAACAACATTGAATCTGAACTAAGGGAGATAAGGCTTAGTTTACTAATGGAAATCGAGAAAAGAAAACAAACAGAGGAGGCTTTGGAGCATATGCAAATTCACTGGCAGAGACTTCGTGAGCAGTTGGCTCAGGTGGGTCTGTTCGTTCCTATTGATCCTACGGCCTCCACCAACAACATGAATCTAGCAGAAGAACTACGCTGCCAACTCGAGGTTGCTAGGTTTGTCTCTGACTCTTTAGGCAGAGGTATGGCGAAGGCGGAGGTAGAGATGGAGATGGAATCCATGCTCGAAACTAAGAACTTTGAAATCACACGGTTGTCTGATCGTGTACACTACTATGAGGCTGTGAACAGAGAAATGTCCCAACGGAACCAAGAGGCCATAGGTAGAAAAAAATCACTATCAGTCACCAAAATGATCCTTTGTCATTTCTATATCTTTCTTCTGAAGTCTAATCTCCTGATTTTGTTGATTCCAGAGGTGGCACGACGAGAGAGGCAGAAGAGAAAGAAGAGGCAGAGATGGATTTGGGGATCAATTGCAGCAACCATTACTCTAGGAAGTGCAGCATTGGCATGGTCTTATATCCCTTCAGCCAAGCCATCATCCGAAGTATCACAATCTCTTAAAGATGATTAAGTGAGTCTCTTGTCTCAATGACGGGTTTGATGCGAGCAAGAGAAATAAAGATACAGGACGTTTAGCGTACGCCTTGTGAATAGAAATATATACATATCTGGTTATTGTTTTAACTGTTGTCAAGAGGATGTATAGCTCCGAGTAGCTGCAAACACTTTTTTTGCGGTGGCATACTGAGTGGCAGCCACAGTCACTAATATTTGGTTCGGTTTAACATCCAATGTTTACCTCTAGTGTAAGGTGTTTGCCGTTGCTTACATCCTAAAGAAACCTTTTTCCTTTAATTTGATTTATTCTTAAATTACACAAACTGGCTCAGAACCCGACGTTCAATAATTTGAAAATAAATCGAGTGATACAATTTTAACTTTTCAAGCATTTGGTAAAAAGCTTTGTTTTGATTATCTGTCGTCTTTGAACCAGTTAAATACAACGTACACTGCGAATGCTAGCGCAAATGTAGCTGCCACCAGAAAAACAGATATTTGAACTAATAGAGATGACTCAAAGGCTTCACGTAGAAGCGAGTTCCACGTTGTATACCATAAGATGCAGAAAATAGATCCCACAATGGCACCCACCACCACTTGACTGCTTGTGTGCAGCTTCTGTGAAACCCTTAACCGTATCTACAGAACAAACAATAATATCTCAAGTTTTAACATTGTAAACAACGCAGAGAAAGGGAGACTAATACTAAATGATTCCAAGCCTAAATCAATTAGGTGATTTGGTTGCTAAAGCATGGAATGGACTTACAAAGTATGAACCCAATGCGAGGATGAAGCTGCTAAGAAACAAAGAGACTCCATTGGTTTCAAGCCATTCTATAACTGCAGCAAAACACGACCCCGGGTGAATACATTGTGTCAGCAGTTTCATGATAGTTAAGCAGGATGATTCGTTCAAGTTTTCGCTGCTTACCGGTTAAAACAGCAAAGACAGATATGAAAGAAATGGATTGAGCGTGAGAAGATGGCATCCCGGGATCAGATCGCAATGTTGTTTCAGGCCTCTCTTGGTTAAGTATACGTTTCAGAACTACAGAGAGAGCGGAATTCAAAATGGATCCAATGACAGCCCACAAGGCTGCACCATCATGTCGTAGAAGAATGATCGAACCAAATAGTGCAGACACAACCCATTTGCTCTGTTTCATCAATTTAAAACACAATTTAATACCACAGCGGCATTTCATCGAACAAATTGCGTGCATTAATGAGATTCCATTACTAACCAGACGATTAACAATGGCTTCAATCCCAACCAACTCGTTCCGAAGCTCCGAGGAACCTTTGATGAAAGATTCCTGCTCGATTGACCCAACTTGTTCGTTACCGCCATTGTTGCTGCCTCCGTCTCTGGTAGTGAATCTTTTAACGGTCATAGATCCAGAGCCAGAGACGAACAGAGGAGACCCACGAGAGATAATCGAACAAAAGCTCGAAAGTCTCGAACTTTTCGGGTACGAGGAAGAGCCTAAGTAGAAATTGCAGGTGGGATGATACTAGCGAAGAAGGAGAGAAGACGACGACGACGACGCTGCCATTTCCAAAAAAGGAAGATTTTTTTAAAAAGTCAACGTAGTATATAATCCATCGCTACAGAAGTACAATTCGTAAGGTGAAGAAGAAACATAACATATGAAAAATCGGAGAAAATCAAAGTCTGGTTTGGTTGGAGAGCAAAAGACCTGAGAGCTTTCTTCTTCAAAACAATCTTCAAAAAATTTCTATTGCTATGCTCGAAAACGAGTTTTGTTCTTCTTCTTCTTCACCTTGACGCATTTTATTTTATTATATCCATTCATATTCTTCCACGTGGCGTGTTGTTGAATCAACGGATAAGCAAATTAATGGGCTTATATTTCGTCAGTTCAGGCCCATACATTAAAACTTCTGGTCCATCACATTCATGTAAATACTTTGAGTTCTTTCTCGTGTGGGGAGAAAAGAGTTTGATGTTACGTTGACAAGAAAAAAGTGAAAGTTTAAATATGCTATAATATTATGTAAATGGAAGAGAAACTGATGTGAAAGAAAGATGAGATAATCTAGAGAGTGTTGGTTGACCAAAAAAATATAGAGAGTGTTGAATGATAAAACAATGGTTGATAAATATAATAGCATCATCCTCTGTTCAAAGTTTTAGGCCCTTGTCATCCATTCTCAGCAGGTAACTCGGTTTTGACCACTTGATTCTGATCAGTACGTGGATCACAAAATATTTTACATTTACCTTATCTCACAATCAATTCAAACCTCAGGGAAAGAGTCTTAAAACTGTAAAGTATTTTTTTTAAATGAAAACATTTTGTGAGAAATCTGCATTGCATTCACAAAAACCAAAAAAAAAAAAAAAAAGAGTGCGAACAAACAGTCATGGATACCCCTCACAAGTCCTATAGCCATCGGTGTTTGACCCGTTTAATCATTTTTCAGAAGAAAAAGGCAAAAAGTAAGCACACATGACACAAACCCATACAATGTACCTATCTATCTTGAGTCGTCAAAAACACAAAACTAGTACTTTTGGACCCCTTCAAATCTCTAACAGGGCTGTACAAAATTATATATAATTTGGACTTAATTACATAAACTAATCTGCGAGTACATGTTTTGTATTGGCCAACAACAGTCATCTACACCACTACCGCTCACAAACTTGGATCGTACGTCTAGTGTTATTTATGGCAAAGAAATTTGGACAAGTCAACAAAATCAAAAATCTAACCTTTTAATATTTCTACTAAAACAATACGTAACCGAGATTCTTCTGCCAAAGAAGCCTAAAAATAAAATAAAAATATAAACCTAATCTCTTAAGAATTTTGTTTAAAAAAACATATCTATACACACCCAAGAATTGAGATGAAGAATAGAAAAATATATCGATGAGATTGAGGATTATATATACCAATCTTTATCTTCATCATCTTTTTACTAACTTTTCGGTTTATGATTTATGATTTTCAGATTGGGTGTATCATAGTTCCAAATTATCAGCATCTAAGTTTTTTTTTTCTTTTTTAATATAATTTGGACCATATAGACTAGGAAGTTTTAAAAAACTGGTGGATTAGTAGACACTGTTACAACCCCCATATACACATACCACTAGTTAGTTATTGGGTTTAATGAATGGAAGTGACACGGTTTCTTCATTCTGCTAGACTTTTATAACATTGTTTTTCTCTTAAACTGCTTTTACAATAATTGAGTGACCCACACGCTAATATATTTAATTAGGTCAAGTCTTTGTTTACTAATTTCTTTTATTGTATTCGTTTGACGCATGGATTCATTTGTTTACTAAGTCAAATAAACCTCGTGAACAAGTCATTGGAACCCACTCAAACTCTACTTTTCTTTATAACTTTGAAACTTCCACGTTGTAGCCATGGGAAAGATCCTCGCTACTTCCTCTCTTCGGTTCCCACTTCCCACCAATCATCTATAATTCCTGAGTCTTTTATTTTTCTTTGGGGTTAAACACAACTCAAAAACTAAAAGAGACATAAGAAGATGAGCTCCTCTGATTCTTCTTCCGCGGAATCCCGTCTGGCCACGGCTAAGACGGTTCTCACCACCGCTGCTTCGGTGGCTGCAACCGCAATGCTGGCTCGGTCACTAGTCCAAGATTATTTGCCTGACGAGGTGCACAACTACATTTCCTATGGCTTCCGCTGCATCTTTGGTTACTTCTCCTCCCAAATGACGATAATCATCGAAGAATTCGAAGGTTTTGCTCACAATGAAGTCTTTGAGGCTGCAGAGGCCTATCTAGCCACCAAGATCTCTCCTTCTAACAAAAGAATCAAAGTGAGTAAACACGAGAAAGAAAACAACTACAATGTCACCGTGGAGCGAGACGAAGAAGTTTCCGACACCTACAACGGCGTCAAATTCCAGTGGATCCTCCATTGTCGCCATGTCGAGTCCAAGCACTTCCACAACCCGCGGGATCTTAACTCCACACTGAGATCTGAGGTCAGATCATTCGAGCTCAACTTCCACAAGAAATACAAAGACGTAGCCCTTGAATCTTACTTGCCATTCATGGTGAAAAGAGCCACGTTGATGAAGCAGGAGAAGAAAACACTCAAGATCTTCACTCTCTCCCCAGAGAACATGTATGGGAATTACTCTGACGCGTGGACCTCTGTTACTCTTGACCATCCTTCTACCTTCAAAACTCTTGCGATGGATTCAGATGTCAAGAGAAATGTGATGGACGATCTAGACCAATTCGTGCAGCGGAGAGACTACTACAAGAGAGTTGGTAAAGCTTGGAAGAGAGGTTACTTGCTGTACGGTCCACCGGGGACTGGGAAGTCAAGTTTAATTGCAGCCATGGCCAATCACCTTAACTTTGATATTTACGACCTAGAGTTGACTGCGGTTAACAACAATTCTGAGCTCCGGCGATTGTTGATTGCCACGGCTAACCGTTCGATTCTTATTGTAGAAGATATCGATTGCTCACTAGAATTGAAAGATAGGACTGGTGACGAACCACCTCGGGAAGCTGACGACATGGAGGATCCACGGTATAAAAAGGTGACGCTCTCTGGAATGTTAAATTTCATAGATGGTCTATGGTCAAGCTGCGGTGACGAAAGGATCATAATATTCACAACCAATTACAAAGAGAAACTCGACGCAGCGCTGTTGAGGCCAGGACGCATGGATATGCACATTCACATGTCCTACTGCACACCGAGTACTTTCAAAGCTCTTGCTTCAAACTATCTAGAGATCAAAGAGCACCACCTTTTCAGCAAGATCGAGGAAGGTATTGAGGCGACAGAGGTTACCCCAGCAGAGGTGGCTGAACAGCTAATGAGGAATGACACTGTTGATAAGGTTCTTGAGGGTCTCATCGAGTTCTTGAAAGTCAAGAAGATCGAAAACGAACAAGATAAGGCCAAGAAAGAGAAGCAAGAGTTGGAGAACAAGAAAAATATCACCAAGGGGAAAGATTCGGTAGTCAAGAAAACCGAAGAGGTTGATGAACAGCTAGTGAGGAACGACCGTGTTGATAAGGTTCTTGAAGGTTTGGTCGAGTTATTAAAAGTCAAGAAGATGGAGAACGACCAGGATAAAAGCCAAACATGAGGAGGTAAAAGAGCAGCAACATTAACTTGGCAGAGTGAATACCTTAATTACTAAATCGCTTTGTAGCGTGAGAATAATTGTTGATTTGTCTTTCTATTTTGGGATGATCCAACATTATATTACAAAGTAACCATGAATCTAGAGAGACCGCTTAAAGAAGCTAAATAGCCAAAAAAAAAAAAAAAAAAAAAAAACAAGGATTAAGTCATATAATGAATGAGATGTTCATAATTTTATTCCACTAAGTTATAAGTCGATCATTCAGTTACACTACAGAAGGAGCTAAATAGCCATAGTTTTTGCAAACTACACAATTCGTTTACTCTAATACTTTTAAATGACCATACATGTTCTAATTGTCTTCCTTTTCTTTGTAAATATATATATTTTTATCTTGTTCCAATTATTTTTCCGTAGTGTCATAAACGATTATGGTTTTGGACTTTTGGACTTGAAGTTGTGAAGTGGGTTGAGTTGCTGTGTTTAGGCCCAGTTGAAATTCAACTTTGGATGAAGAAGTCCAGCAATATAACACAGGTTCTCTCTCTGCATTTTTGTCGTGATCATGTAGCGACAAAGCTTGTCTTGCTGCTCAAGGGTGTACAGGGCAAACTTGGGATTTTACAGAGAGGGACAAAGAGGTTTATTTAAAAGCTGTGTTCGATTCAGAGAGTAAGACAAGGGGAGAGTCACTTTTGAGTGTAGAGAGAGTAAGAGAGAAAGTTCTGGGTTTTGGGGAGAGTTCTTCATTATCTTCTTTTCTTCTCTTAAGGTGATCTCTTTGTGTGGGTGAGTGATTCTCAAGTTGTAATCTGTTCTTTGTTCATAGTGAAACCTCTAGTGAGCGGTCAAGCTCACCGAGACGTACCTTGGCTGGTCTAAGCCTTGGGAACTCGTAACTCTCGTGTCCTGTTTCTTTACTTGTTAACAAACCTGCAAAACAACAAAAACACAAGCTTTGATCAAATACAGACCAAGTATGAGCTGAACGAAGTTACTACAAGTGGTATCAGAGCCAGGTTACAGTTCAAGTGTGTCTAAGGTATTAAATCTAAGAAAGGTGCTAACTTTTTGGGTTTTGTGAGTCATAGATCTAAGGAGACAAATAGATCTGTGATTTCTGAGGTTTGTAGTGGCTCTTCCTGGTTTGTTATTCATCTAGATATCTGGTATTAGAACTAGGTGAATATGGAACCCACTCAAGGTAGGTTTGAAGTAGAAAAGTTTGATGGGGAGGGAGATTTTGCTTTATGGAAACACAAGATTTTGGCTCAGCTGGAGATTTTGGGACTTGACTCTGCTCTGCAACCAGTTTCTGTCTTAGTAAAAGCTGCAGATGCTAAAGAAAAAACTGTTGAAGGAGAAGATGCAGGAAAAGCAGAAGAACGAGTCAAATCTGATCCAAAATGGCTGGATAAAGATCGGAGGGTTAGAAATCTTCTAAGTATGAGTCTGCAAGATATTGTTCTGAGAAAGGTTATGAAGGAACCTACAGCTTATGACATGTGGAATGCATTGGAAGCTGAGTATCAGGTTAAAACTCTACCTCACAGGTTCTATTTAAAGCAAAGGTTCTATAGCTTTAAAATGGATGGTTCGAAAAACCTAGATAAGAACCTGGATACTTTTAACAAGCTGATATCAGATCTGTCTAGTGTTCATGTTGAAATGAATGATGAGGATCAAGCTGCAATTCTCATGAACAGCTTGCCTAAACAGTTTGAGAACCTAGTTCACACTCTTAAGTACAATAGCGGAAGAAGCACTATCACAGTAAAAGAAATTATCAGAGCAGCCTACTCTACTGAGTTAGAACTGAAGGATAAAGGGGTGTATAAGCTACAGTCTGAGAGTGAAGGGTTGGTTGTTCAAGCAAGAGGAAGAACAGACATAAGAAACCAGCCTAAAGGAAAGCAGAACAACAAAAGTAGGTCTAAGTCTAGACCTAAAGGCAGGGAGTGTTGGATATGTGGAGAAGAAGGGCATTTTAAAAGGGAATGCCCAAAGAAGAAACAATCATCAAGCAATAGCAAAAGTGAAACTGGTGAAGCCAGCATTGGAAAAGCAGAATGGACAGAGCCTGTGATGCTATCAGTTTCAGAAAATGTTGCTAGAGAAGAATGGGTCTTGGATTCAGGTTGTTCATACCACTTGACATTCAGAAAAGACCTTATGTTTGATATTGAAGAAATAGATGGGGGAAGAATTCTGATGGGAAATGATTCCTACTGTGAAATAACAGCTATTGGAAAAATAAAGATTGTTAATTACAACAACACACCAGTTGTATTAACACAGGTCAGATATTCATCGACAGCTAGAAGAAATTTGATCTCTTTGGGACAACTAGAATCACTTGGTTGTTGGTTTCAGTCAAAGAACTTCAGGATGCAAGTGTTCTACAAAGAGAGAGAAGTGTTGGCTGGTGACTACAAAGACACTTTATATTTTCTAGATGGTAAGCCTGAGGTGGAACAGGCTAATGCAGCTGTTAGGTCAGTAAACACAACAGACTTGTGGCACAGTAGGTTGGGCCATATGAATGCAAAAGGACTACAGTTGTTAGTCAGGAAAGAACTGATAAGTTCAAGTACGTTTAAGGATTTTAAACAGTGTGAATTCTGCATTCTTGGTAAGGCTCAAAGGAAATCATTCAAAACAGGAAGTCATATCTCTAAGGGGCCTTTGGAGTATGTTCATTCTGACCTATGGGGTTCTCCTAATGTCACTCCCAGTTTATCAAAGTGCCAATACTACATATCATTTGTTGATGATTTCTCAAGGAAAGTGTGGGTTTATTTTCTCAGGACTAAGGATGAAGCTTATGAGAAGTTTGTTGAGTGGAAGACAATCACTGAGAATCAGTGTGGAAAGAAGTTGAAAATCTTAAGGACAGACAATGGTCTTGAGTATTGTAACAAGACCTTTGATGACCATTGCAAGCTTCATGGTATCTTAAGACACAAAACATGTCCGTACACTCCACAACAAAACGGAGTGGCTGAGAGATTGAATAGAACCATACTTGAAAAAGTAAGGAGTCTCTTAAGTGAGACTGGATTGGGTGAGTCCTTCTGGGCTGAAGCTACATCTACAGTGGTGTACATGATAAACCGAACACCATCTACACCACTAGATTTTGAAATACCGGAAGAAGTGTGGTCTGGTAGAAAACCAGAATATACACACATGAGGAGGTTTGGATGCTTAGTCTACTACCATGTTGATCAAGGTAAGCTCAAACCTAGAGCTAAGAAAGGTGTCTTCATGGGTTATCCTCAAGGTGTGAAAGGATACAGGATATGGAGTCTTGAAGATAAAAAATGCATTGTTAGTCGTGATACAATTTTCTGCGAGGATGTTGTTTACAAAGATATTGGGAAGCTGTCAAATGAACAAGGAGAAGTTTTTGACCCTAAAGGGAAAAAGAAAGTAATTTTTGAACTTCCGGATGATCAAGACAATGCTGGTGAATCAAGAACTTCAGGAGAAACTTCTGGTGGAGGTGGAGCTATGCCAGTTTCTGATCAAGAAGAAGAGGAAGACTCTGAAAATGAGACGGACTTTGAAGTCTCAAATTCGCCACTAGATAACTACATATTGGCGAGAGATAGAGCCAGAAGAGATATCAAAAAGCCAAGTAGATTTATTGAGGCTGATATTACTGTTTATGCTCTTAATGCAGCGCAACTAATGGATGATGATGAGCCTAACACTTATCAAGAGGCTATTAGCGGAAGTAATAAAGAGCAGTGGATAGCAGCAATGGAAGAGGAGATGGAATCTCATCATAAGAATCACACTTGGAATTTGATTCCAAGACCTGAGAAACAAAGAATAATTGGTTGTAAGTGGATATTCAAGTTCAAGCCAGGGATTCCAGGGGTTGAGAAACCTAGGTTCAAAGCAAGGTTAGTGGCCAAAGGATTCTCTCAAATAGAAGGGATTGACTACCATGAAGTTTTTTCACCAGTTGTTAAACATGTCACTATAAGGTTGGTGTTGTCTATGGTGGTTAATCAAGATATGGAGCTGGAACAGTTGGATGTGAAAACTGCGTTTTTACATGGAAAGTTGGATGAAAGGATACTAATGGAACAGCCTGAAGGTTACTCAAAAGGTGATGATGAGGTGTGCTTATTACAGAGATCTCTGTATGGGCTAAAACAGTCTCCAAGACAATGGAATTTGAGGTTTGATCAGTTTATGAAGTCACAAGGGTATTTAAGGAGTGAGTATGATCCATGTGTGTACTTCAAGTGTTACAAGGAGGACTGTTTTGTGTATCTACTACTATATGTAGATGATATGCTGGTTGCTGCAAAGGATATGCTAGAAATTGTTAAACTAAAAGCTATCCTAAGTAGTGAATTCGAAATGAAAGACCTAGGAGCAGCGAGTAGAATTCTAGGTATGGACATTTCAAGGGACAGAAGTCAAGGTGTGTTGAAGTTGTCACAGCAAGCTTATCTGGAAAAGGTTCTGAGGAACTTTAGAATGGATAAATCCATGCCAGTTCAAACACCTATAGGCTGTCATTTCAAGCTATCCAGTACAAAAGAAGAAGATAAAGCTAAGACAGAGACCAAGATGAAACGAGTACCTTACTCCAGTGCTGTTGGGAGTCTAATGTACGCAATGGTGGGATCTCGCCCTGATCTTGCTTATGCAGTTGGTATGGTCAGTCGCTTTATGGGATCTCCTAATGAAAATCATTGGGAAGCTGTTAAATGGATTCTAAGATACATCAGGGATTCTAAGGATCTGAGTCTGACATTCAAGAAATCTGAGAAATTTAAAGTGAGAGGGTATTGTGATAGTGATTATGGAGCTGACCTTGATAGGAGTCGATCTATCACAGGTTTTGTGTTTCAAGCAGGAGAAAACACAATCAGCTGGCGCTCAGGGCTGCAACATATAGTAGCTGTATCAACAACGGAAGCTGAATATATGGCCCTAGTAGAAGCAGCAAAAAAAGCGTTGTGGTTAAAGGGAATTACAAGTGAATTGGGATTTCCTCAAAAAGGTGTTGAAATCTTCTGTGATTCGCAGAGTGCGATTTGTTTGGCTAAGAATAACGTCTTCCATTCGAGGACAAAGCATATGGCTGTGCGTTTCAACTTCATTCGAGACGTGGTGGCAGATGGTTCATTGACTGTGACTAAAATCGGGACTTTGGTGAATCCGGCTGATATTCTCACAAAATCGGTACCGGTGATGAAGTTTGAAGAAGCTTTGAGTCATCTGAGAGTGCTCAGAGACTGAATTGGCTCCGGAATAGGGAGCTAAGATTCCGGCAGGTGGATGTCGGAGGGACTATATCGACAGGTAAATGTCGAAGAAAAAAAATAAAAAGGGGAGAAGCGATGAGTTTCTCAGGTTCTGTGCCTAAACCAAAATCGAGGTGGAGAATGTCATAAACGATTATGGTTTTGGACTTTTGGACTTGAAGTTGTGAAGTGGGCTGAGTTGCTGTGTTTAGGCCCAGTTGAAATTCAACTTTGGATGAAGAAGTCCAGCAATATAACACAGGTTCTCTCTCTGCATTTTTGCCGTGATCATGTAGCGACAAAGCTTGTCTTGCTGCTCAAGGGTGTACAGGGCAAACTTGGGATTTTACAGAGAGGGACAAAGAGGTTTATTTAAAAGCTGTGTTCGATTCAGAGAGTAAGACAAGGGGAGAGTCACTTTTGAGTGTAGAGAGAGTAAGAGAGAAAGTTCTGGGTTTTGGGGAGAGTTCTTCATTATCTTCTTTTCTTCTCTTAAGGTGATCTCTTTGTGTGGGTGAGTGATTCTCAAGTTGTAATCTGTTCTTTATTCATAGTGAAACCTCTAGTGAGCGGTCAAGCTCACCGAGACGTACCTTGGCTGGTCTAAGCCTTGGGAACTCGTAACTCTCGTGTCCTGTTTCTTTACTTGTTAATAAACCTGCAAAACAACAAAAACACAAGCTTTGATCAAATACAGACCAAGTATGAGCTGAACGAAGTTACTACACGTAGTTTCCTTTTTTGTTTTTGCTTCAGTTCACAATTCAAAATTGGCTTTTTGGGTGTTAATTTCATTTTCGTTTTACAAAGTAACCATGAATATAGAGAGACCGTTTAAAGAAGCTAAATAGCCAAAAAAAAATACAAGGATTAAGTCATATAATGAATGAGATGTTCATATAATTTTATTCCACATAGTTTTTTTAAACTACACAATTCGTTTACTCTGTAATTATTGAATCATGTTTTAATTTTCTTCCTTTTCTTGGTATATATATATATATTTATCTAGCTTTTTCCATTTATTTTCCCTTAATTTCCTTTTTTGTTTTTGCTTCAGTTCACCGTTCAAAATTGGCTTTTTGGCTGTTATATCCTTTTGTGATATTTCCTTTTCGTGTTTATTTACATTTTTCTGTGTCTTACAAATACAGCTCTTTGCTTGAGATAAAAGAAGCACGTTCTCGCTCACGGAAGAAACTTTTCTTCTCGCCCAAGAAACTTGACAAACCTAAGAGAGACGAACTCGCTAGTAAGTTTTCTGATGAGATCAGGTCTCAATGGCACTAACATCCCCTTCTTGTCCACCTCGTGTGCATGTGGGTATCGGTAGACACACGACACTTGGAATGCTAAAACGACCACGAAACGTTTCGGTTCGGGTTGCAAAATATCCAGGTATATTTGCACAAATCCTAGAAAGAACTAAGTCGGTAGAAGTTTCAACAGTTCTCACCACCGCAACTTCGTTGGCCGAAACAGGGGCGGATCTAGAAAATTTGTTCAATGGGGGCAAAAATATAGTAAAAAACTATCAAATACTAAATTATAAAAGACATAAAATTGTCATGTAAAAACTTTAAAACATCTTACAAAACCACTCAGACGCTCATTTAACAATTGAAACCTTTTTACCACATTTTTATTTGTGACATATTCAAATAACTAAAAACAAAAAACATGTTATTAATTAAAAATTTAGAAAATTTTGAATTTATAGACTTATATTTTAAAATTTATTAATTTTAAATTTATTAATTATGTAACAAACTTCCATAAAAGCTTAACCATAGAATAAACATATAAACAATTATCACTACAAAAACTAATATAGTCATGTATAACATAAAAACCTATATAATGTTTTCCAGGAAACATAGTTATAAGCTTGAACTGATTAAATAAAATTAACTGACTAAAAAATAATGCTTATATAATAGAAACGATTGTAAAAAAAATCAGGAAAATAAACTCACAAATTGATAATTGTTGATTTGTTGTCACATAAAGAAACCAAAGGACTAAAGAAGAAGAAAATAATAAAAAATTAGGTCTAGATTCGTAAGTCTTTAATTTATATATTAATATATATTTTTTGGTACATGGGTTAATGGGCTTTCCAAAAAAAAAAAAAAAAGTAGTTTTTTTGGTAGGAGCAGATTTTGTTTTTTAATAATATTTAATAATTTATTTATTTATTTTTTTTTTTTTGCTGGTGGCAGCTGCCCCCACCATCTTGGCTGTGGGTCCGCCCCTGGGCCGAAACCGTGGTGATGGCTCGATTGTTTGTACAAAAGTATGTTCCTTACGAGGTGCGCCACTACATCTCATATGAATTCCACCGCCGCTTCGTTCCTGACCTTTCCTCTCACATGACAATAACCATTGAAGAATTTGAAGGATTAGTTCACAACGAAGTCTTTGAGGCTGCAAAGGCCTATCTAGCCACAAAAGTCTCTCCCTCCAACAAAAAAATCAGAGTGAGTAAACACGAGAAAGAGAAAAACTACAACGTCACAGTGGAACGTGATGAGGAAGTTGTGGACACTTTCAATGACGTCAAGTTCCGGTGGATCCTCCGTTGCAGCCATGTCGAGTCAAAGAATCAAGAGTCGTCAAAAGTCAGATCCGAGGTCCGATCATTCGAGCTCAACTTCCACAAGAAATACAAAGACGTAGCCCTTGAATCTTACTTGCCATTCCTGGTGAAAAGAGCCACGTTGATGAAGCAAGAGAAGAAAAAGCTTAAGATGTTCACTCTCGACAGAAAGTGGTACTCAGACACGTGGACCTCTGTTACTTTTGACCATCCTTCTACTTTCAAGACGCTAGCAATGGATTCAGATGTCAAGACAAGTGTGATGGGAGATCTAGACGAATTCGTAAAGCGGAGCGACTACTATAAGAGGGTTGGTAAAGCTTGGAAGAGAGGATACTTGTTATACGGTCCACCAGGCACAGGGAAGTCAAGCTTGATCGCAGCCATGGCCAATCATCTACACTTTGATATTTACGACTTAGAGTTAACTGCGGTTAGAGACAACTCTGAGCTTCGGCGATTGCTGACTGCCATTGCTAATCGTTCGATTCTTGTTGTGGAAGATATTGACTGTTCGATCAAACTGAATAATAGGACAACTGATGAACCTCCTAAGGAAGATGATTCATCAAGTAACAAAAATGTGACTCTCTCTGGACTGCTAAATTTCATAGATGGTCTATGGTCAAGCTGCGGGGAAGAACGAATCATAATATTCACAACAAATTACAAAGAGAAACTCGACCCGGCTTTGTTAAGGCCCGGACGTATGGATATGCACATTCACATGTCCTACTGCACGTTAAGTGCTTTCAAGGTTCTTGCTTCAAACTATTTGGAGATCGAAGAGCACCACCTTTTCAGCAAGGTCGAGGAAGGTATTGAAGCCACAGAGGTTACTCCAGCTGAAGTGGCGGAACAACTTATGAGGAATGACTCTGTTGATAAGATTCTTGAGGGTTTGATCGAGTTTTTGAAAGCCAAGAAGATTAAGAAGGAACAGGATAAGGCCAAAATGGAGGAGCAAGAACTGGAGGAGCAACAAGTGGAGAACAAAGAATCGACTACCAAGAAAAAAGATTCAACGTTGAAGAAAAAACGAAAAGGTTAATAATTTGGCTTCTTGAGCAATGTTCCTCTCTGTTTTTTCTTACTTGGAATTATATTGTTTTCCTTTTCTAAAATAAACCTTCCTATTAATATCTTCCCCATACTCTCTAGTTCATGAAAGCAAACAAAATGAAGTTTCTAGCTTTTTTTTCTAAAAATTAATGAATTGTATGTTTTGAATGAGAGATATTTTAATTAGTATTAGAAAGCAAATAAATTATATCGAACAAAAAAAATTTTCACAAAAGAAAAAAATATGTCAATTAATAAAAATTCCTGAGAGAATCTGAAGAAAATAATCACTATATTAGTAAAAGAGAAGTACAAAAAGTGCTTTCGGGTCGGGTCAATTTCAAAAAATTACCCAAAATTTGTAATTGGATCTTTTAAAGTTGGATAGATTAATGGGTTTGGATACATACACCAGATACTTTCCAAATCTAATTTTAGGATTGTATTATTTCCATAATTAATTATAGGATTTACTAATATTTCTCTAACTAATTTAATACAATCTATTTAAAAAATATTATTCTTCTTTCACTTTTATTCGATATTATTTTTAATTTATAATATTATACTATATGATATAAATATTTAATAAAAATTTAACTTTTTTTTGCATATGTGCAATTTGAATTTTTCAAAAGGGACATATAATACTCAACTACACTCGATAAAATTTTTTGGACAATGGTTTAAAATCATTATAAGTATGACCAATATTAAAACCATTGTTACATAAGCATATTTAAAATTTCAAATAGTTTCAAAATATTATAAATAAAAGGTTCAAATATATAAAACTTTAAGAATTTAAAGTATTGAAATATTTTTTGAAGACATAAATGTAATTTGGAGACATACTTTTTATTGATAAAATATATTATATATCAAACTATGTAAATTTTAGATAATTCACGGGTAGTTTGTTAAAATCACAATTATAATGATAAAGTGAGTTACAAATAATGTTTTTTACGAAATAAATTCTGTTACGGGTTGGACTTTCAAAAAATATATTGTAAATATGTAATTTTTACGTATATTCGTACTTTTACTACAAAAATGGTAAAAATGAATAATTTATCGACAAATATTATTTCGTGTTGTTAAACTTTCACCGTGTTTTTAGTTGTATCAAAACTCAGTACATGATTATTTACTCGGTTTTTCCTTTATTATTTTATTTAAACTTATTATACAAATATATGATTTAGCGTAATCGACTGCACTCTAACAAAATTAAAATGTAACATATTCTAATCCGTTAAAAGTTATATATATGTAATTATTTCCCCCGCGCTGTAGCGCGGGTCCGAATCTAGTGAAATGTAAGAAGTATGTCAAAAGTACTGCTTACATATAATTTTCTTTCTTTTGTAATCTAATTGTGTTAATGTTGTTTCTAGAATATAGATGCAAATCAAACTTACGTAATAAATACGTCTACTCTCTTTAAAGTTTAAGAAACTGAAATAATAAAGAGAATAAATTATGTAAGAACACAAAACTTACTTGATGATTTCTTCTTCTTCTTGAAACTTTAAACAAATTGTAGAATGATAGAGGCTTGCTTTAGCAATCTCCTAAGACAGAATTTCGCCCCTACTCTGGTGTATGTAGTTACGTGAGCGTCTATCTTGAGGATCCAACTATCGATCTTTGTATTAACACCTTACAAAGACCCTTGCAAACTTTACTTTGAAACTCTCAGAAATTGTTTAAGAGAAGAGGAGGATTAGAATCAATCTCAACCTCTCTTTCTCTTATAAATATCTCTTTTGTATTGTTAATCTCACTATCTCTCTTGTATTGGTTTTCTGTCTCTGTTTCTTGTTCTCAACAACGTGACTTCTACTTATATTAAACCAAGAGGTGCAACCAAGAGGTGTTAACCAAGAGGTGTTAACCAATAGATGTTAACCAATAGATGCATCTCTTAATCAATCGTTGCTTTTAGAAACAACACATACGTACATGACCACGTACGTTACTCACGAGATGTGTTATATACACCAACAATACCCCACATTTTCTACTCAAACTTAACAGTTAAAATATTCTCTCAGATTATATTTTACTAATTGACATATTTTTCTTTCTTGTGTAATCTAATTGTGTACATTTGAACCCAAAAAAAATTGCACATGTTAAATGTATGTAAAAACCATTCTTTCATTTTTTGGTTGATTAATATATTTAACATTTCAACCCAAAAAAATTGCATGTGGTTTTATAAAATTATAAAGTCATAATTGCGATTTGCGACTATGTTTACTAAATGGGCCGTAAATGTTGGCCCACTTACACAATTAGATTCACATTTATCATCTTCAACCCAAACAAACTAAATACAATAAATCACATTCACCCCTAAATTTCAGAGGGTTCGTGAAAGTTCAGTGATCGCAGAAGTGCTGGTATCAATCAAAGGTGCGTACTCTTGTACGGCTCAAAACATTTTTTTTTTTTTTTCTTCTTTTTGTTAGAATTTCACTTTTATTCATCATCATAGATAACATCGGTTGATCAATTGAATCAGATTTATTACCACGTAAACCTTTTAACTTCATCATCATTATCACAATCTTTTTCTTTTAGGTTTGGTTAGTTTTTCTTGTTAGTGGTTCTGATTTTTTTTTTTCTTTTGCAACTTCTAAAAGATTGAAGGAAATGAGCTCCTCTGCTTCGTCCTCTAGTGAATCTCATCTAGCCACCGCCAAAACAGCTCTGACGACGGTTGCATCGGTGGCTGCAGCCGCAATGCTAGCACGATCAGTGGTTCAAGATTACATGCCAGGAGAGGTTCACGAGTTTATCTCTTACGGCTTTCGCAGATTCTTCAGCTACTTCTCTTTTCAGATGACTGCAGTAATTGAAGAATTTGGAGGTTATGAACACAATCAAGTGTTTGAGGCTGCCGAGGCTTACCTCGCCACCAAGATGTCTGATTCCACTAGAAGAATCAAAGTGAACAAGCATGAGAAACAGAGCAACTATAATGTCACTGTTGAGCGTGATGAGGAAGTTGTGGATTCTTTTGATGGCGTCAAGCTCAGTTGGATCCTTGTATGTCACCATGTCGATAAAAAGGATTTTCGTAACCCGCGGGATCTCAACTCCACTTTGAAATCAGAAGTGCGTACTTACGAGCTCAGTTTCCGAAAGAAGTTCAAGAACGTGGTTCTTGAATCCTACTTACCGTTTGTTGTGGAACAAGCTGCTCTAATGAAACAAAAGTGTAAGACTTTGAAGATCTTCACTGTTGATTCTTACTCTGACCAGTGGACCTCTGTGACTCTCGACCATCCTTCTACGTTTCGCACTCTCGCCATGGATCCCGAGGTGAAGAAAAACTTGGTGGAAGATCTCGAGAGATTCGTAAAGCGGAAAGGCTTTTACGAGAGGGTGGGAAAAGCTTGGAAGAGAGGGTATTTGTTGTATGGTCCACCCGGTACTGGAAAATCAAGCTTGATCGCAGCGATAGCTAATCATCTTAACTTTGATATATATGACTTAGACTTCACATCACTTAAAAGCAATGCTGAGCTCCGCGCGTTACTTATGTCTACTGCAAATCGTTCCATTCTAGTTGTGGAAGATATAGATTGTTCAATCGAGTTCAAGGATCGCACTAGTGATGAGGAAAACAACAATACCCCATATAAAGCGGTGATGCATTTTTTGGATTCACTATCAGTATGTCTTGCTTCTTAGCCTAAACTCATAACTAATAGTGTTTTGTTTGGTCATTTTTTCAGGTCACACTCTCTGGTCTATTGAATTTTGTAGACGGACTATGGTCAAGTTGTGGTAACGAGCGGATCATAGTGTTCACAACTAACTACAGAGAAAAATTGGATCCAGCACTGTTGAGGCCAGGACGTATGGACATGCACATTCACATGTCGTATTGCACACCAGCTGCTTTTAAGGTTTTGGCTTCAAATTATCTCGATATTGAAGATCATATAACTTTCGAGCACATTGAGGAAATGATCCGAGAAGTACAAGTTACACCAGCTGAAGTAGCTGAACAGTTGATGAGGAGTGACTCTGTGGATAAGGTTCTCCAAGGACTGGTTGAATTCTTAAACGCCAAGAAAGCTGTAAATGATGAAGCTAAAGACCACAAACAATAATTTTAAAAACTTACAATTAAATTTTGAGTAGTTCTTTTATTTTTTTCATGTTAACAATAATTATTACTATTGTCTTCTTATTTATTTGTTTAACACTATGATAAAAACAAGTTATGGATGATATTATTTTATGAGGTCAGTGATTGATTGAATTTTTATCAACTAAATCCTATCTCCGACAAAAATAAAAAGAAAACGAGTTTGGTTGACTGTTGACTTATAATTATTAAACCGTTGACTTCAATTTCGATAAAGGTTCTTAAAAAGATCCAAAGATCAGGAGCTTCAGATTCTCATCAGCTAAGTCAAATTCCTTGTAAGTGTTCTCTTACCATGAGATAGACTTTACTTTGGTTAGATTCATTTCAATTTTCTAGGATTCTACTTGCTGAGAAACTCTGGTTGGTTGATTTTAAGAAATATCGATCTAATGATAAACATAACCGATTGAATTATTGCTTGGAATATTTTTTTACCAATCAGAGATATTTCTTAAAGTTGCAGGGTTCTGAGATGGTGGACGCTGTTGTAACAGTGTGTCTAGAGAAAGCTTTCAACATCCTCGAAGAAAAAGGCCGAACCATATCGGAATACCAAAAGCATTTAAGAGAGTTGCGAGATGAGTTGCAATATATGCAGTCTTTTCTCAAGGATGCAGAGAGGAAGAAGAGAACTAATGAACTGTTGCGTACACTCTTGGCGGATTTACGAGAGTTGGTTTATGAAGCTGAGGACATACTCGTAGATTGTCAGCTTGCGGATGGGGATGAGGATGATGATGGGAACGAGCAAAGGTCCTCCAACGCATGGCTTTCGCGGTTGTATCCTGCCCGGGTTTCGTTGCAGTACAAGAAAAGCAAACGTTTGAAAGAGATCAATGAGAGGATAACATCGATAAAGAATAAAGCTGAGCCTTATTTCAAATTCAGAACGCCGAGTAATGTTGGAAGAGATAATGGAACTGATCGGTGGAGCTCTCCAGTGTATGATCATACTCAAGTGGTTGGTCTGGAAGGAGATAAAAGAAAAATCAAGGAATGGCTCTTTCGATCAAACGAGAGCGAGCTATTGATAATGGCCTTTGTGGGGATGGGAGGGCTAGGTAAAACTACGATTGCTCAAGAAGTGTTCAATGACAAAGAGATCGAACATCGTTTCGAAAGAAGGATATGGGTATCTGTGTCCCAGACTTTTACCGAAGAGCAGATCATGAGAAGCATATTGCGGAACTTGGGGGACGCGAGTGTTGGAGATGATCTTGGAACATTGCTGAGAAAAATCCAGCAGTATCTTTTGGGAAAAAAGTACTTGATTGTTATGGACGATGTATGGGATAAGAACTTGAGTTGGTGGGATAAGATCTACCAAGGACTGCCTAGAGGACAAGGTGGTAGCGTCATCGTGACAACAAGGTCAGAATCTGTTGCTGTAAAGGTTCAGGCAAGAGACAAGACTCACCGTCCACAGCTCCTCAGTCCTGATAACAGTTGGTTGCTGTTTTGTAAGGTGGCATTTGCAGCAAATAACGGTACTTGTGAGCGGCCCGAGCTAGAGGATGTCGGAAACGAGATTGTAACAAAATGCAAAGGCTTGCCTTTGACAATTAAAGCGGTTGGTGGGTTGCTTCTGTGCAAAGACCATGTCTATCATGAATGGAGACGAATTGCAGAGCATTTTCAGGATGAACTAAAAGGAAACAATTCCGAAACAGACAATGTGATGTCTTCTCTGCAACTGAGTTACGACGAACTACCTTCCCATCTTAAATCTTGCTTTCTCACGCTTTCGCTCTATCCAGAAGACTGTGTTATACCAAAACAACAGCTTGTACACGGATGGATTGGAGAAGGTTTTGTCATGTGGAGAAACGGAAAATCTGCAACTGAATCTGGAGAAGACTGCTTTTCAGGGCTCACAAACAGGTGTCTAATAGAAGTTGTTGACAAAACCTATAGCGGAACCATCATCACTTGCAAGATTCATGACATGGTTCGTGATTTGGTGATTGATATAGCGAAAAATGATTCGTTCTCTAACCTGGAAGGCCTCAACTGTCGCCACCTTGGTATTAGTGGAAACTTTGATGAGAAGCAGATCAAAGTTAATCATAAGCTGAGAGGCGTAGTGTCAACAACTAAGACAGGTGAAGTGAACAAGCTCAACTCAGACTTAGCTAAGAAATTCACAGATTGCAAATATCTTCGGGTTCTTGATATCTCAAAATCAATATTTGATGCTCCTCTGTCTGAGATTTTGGATGAAATTGCAAGCCTTCAACACTTGGCATGTCTTAGTTTGAGCAACACACATCCGTTGATCCAGTTTCCTCGTTCCATGGAAGATCTTCACAATCTTCAGATTCTAGACGCAAGCTACTGTCAGAATCTGAAACAACTTCCACCTTGCATTGTCTTGTTCAAGAAACTCCTGGTGCTTGACATGACGAATTGTGGATCACTTGAGTGCTTCCCCAAGGGTATCGGAAGTCTAGTGAAACTTGAAGTATTGTTGGGATTTAAGCCAGCCAGGTCCAACAATGGGTGCAAGCTCAGTGAGGTAAGAAATCTCACAAACCTCCGAAAACTTGGTCTTTCTCTGACTCGTGGAGATCAGATCGAAGATGAAGAGCTTGATTGTTTGACAAACCTAAGCAAGCTTATGTCCATTTCTATCACCTGCTACGATAGCTACGGCGATGATCTCATAACCAAAATAGATGCGCTTACTCCTCCACACCAGCTCCATGAGCTTTCTCTACAATTCTATCCTGGAAAGTCGAGTCCATTGTGGTTGAGTCCTCACAAGCTTCCGATGTTGAGGTACATGTCAATATGCTCAGGTAATCTGGTGAAAATGCATGAACGATTTTGGGGAAATGAGAATACTCACTGGAGAATCGAAGGTTTGATGTTAAGTTCATTGTCGGACCTAGACATGGACTGGGATGTTCTCCAACGGTCAATGCCATACCTTAGGAGCGTGAACGCAAACTGGTGTCCAGAGCTAGAGTCTTTCCCGATCGAAGATGTTGGCTTTAGAGGCGGATTGTGGACGAAAACACCACCGCACAGAACCTGATGGCATGTTTTAAGCAACTAAATCAATGTTTATTAATCAGCGACAATTTGGTAGTGTATTACATATAAGTGATACAATGTAATGCAGCATTTGAACGTTTGGATTTCACATCGAAATTTTCTTTTCTAATAAACATAAAAACAGAGCAAAAAGGCAAAACAGAGGCTACATCAATGGGAAATTTTTGATATCAACTGCTTGTTCAGTCAGAATCAGAGTCCAGATTCTCTGAAGACCTGACAGACCGCCGTATGCTCTCTTGATACTCCGCATCTTCATCATCTTCCTCTTTCTTCTTCTTGCTGAGCATTCCTGTTATAGATTTGCAGTTTTTAAGCAACAATTCTCTAACTGAGCTGTAATTATCAAAGAAAAACGGGTGCAAGGTTTCTTCATACCCTTTTTAACTAGAACGTTCTCTAGTTTATTCGTGGTGAAATCGTCCTTGGTGCCCAGATCCTGGAAACCAACTAGCCTATCCATCGCTATTCCCTTACTAAGAATGATAAAGAAACTCGAACTTTATCAGCATACACATACATCTAACAACAAACCTTGTATGTAAGAGTGAATAGAAAGAGCCGAAACCTGAAAAGCACAACACAAGGCAAAGTCTTTATTGCAAGCTTCGTGACAAAGAAAGGAGCATTCTGCATTTACATTAGTCAAGCAATAACTTCAGCAAAGGATTGTGGAAAAGCCGTTTCCTTTTTCTAACTTTAATCAAGTATTTCACTAACCTCTGCGTCAACTTTAATGAACTTTGTGTCCACATGTCTAGGCGCAAGAGTTTTCAGATGCTTGTCCATAATCCTACAATAATGCAGTGCATATCTTTGGTTACGAGCTCACATATCAGAAGACGAACAAAAACTAAGCTGATGTGATATCTTACTTGCACCGGTAAAATTCCTTGTGGTAGAAATGACATATCACTTTCTCACTCCTGGTGACTTCACCCAAAAAGTCTCCTTCGCTTACCTCTCGATATTCACCATGTCCTTGTCTTTTAAACGCTTCTCTCTTCTCAACTTCTCTCTATCAAGATAGAATTTTCAAGGCTTAGTACATAGCAATAGCTGCACAACTGATTATACAATACGATGCCAAAGTTATAACCTTTAGTGCTGCAATCCTATCTGCGTGCAATCTTTCTAGCTCTGGATCCTGCAGAACATAAACAAATAAGTCTACCGTAGAGACAGAAGCTTAAAAAACTCAAACACCGAAACAATATAAAACAGTACAACAAGCAAACATTGCACTTACATCCATAAGTTCATCAAGATCAACCTCTTCATTAACAGGATTTGATCCCTGAGCTTTCTCATTTGCAAGAACTTCCTACAAATCCGTATAAAGAAGAGTCATCAAAAACATAAAAAATACTCCTCAAAGGTAATCTACACAGCCAAAAACATCCATAACTAATCAAAGTCTATCACCTTTACAGACATCAAACAACACCATTGACCATTTCAACAATGGTTAACTTGTAACATAGCTCAATCATTTCTGTGATAGCATATACGAAATGAAAAACACTTACCAAAGCATATGCTGAAAACAATTAAACGTAATCGAACAATCTCAAAATAGGAAAAATATATACCTTTTGATAATTTCTCGCAGCTGCCGCCATTACATTTCCGAATGCTAGATTCGAAAGGGTCGATTTGACTGCATCCGGATCCATCTTTTAGCACCAAAAATCTGAAAAACTCACAACACGAGAGACGTCAGCTAAAAGAAAAAGAAAAAATTGGATTCAGAGATAGAAGATTGAAGGTCCAAGATCATACCTTTTCAAATTCCTTCCTGATGTGAAGAAGAAAAAAACACAGCTTTGAGAAATCAAAATCGAAATCAAAGCTTTTTTAATTTTTACTAACAATTTCAAATCTGGAGCGGACAAAAAAAAATAAAAAAATCCCAAAAAACAAAAGATGACCAATAAATCTGGGATACAAAAATCAAACGACAACGTTTGGTGTTGGAGAAAAATATGAATTAATAATGGGCCATCCAAATCTAAAAGCCCATAAAGCCTGCTATTTTTTTACGTCGGTCGTTAACCACTACTACACCGACGTCTTACCTGCCATGTGTCAATCTTAATCAATACGGATTTGAGTTTACTACAACTTTTGTTATGTCGGCCAACACGTATTGAGTAAAATATCTAATACTGTATGATGATTGATTCCTATCCAAAAATGAAAACTGGGGTTCTATAAAAGTATCATTCACGAGCTCATTAATCTTCATCGATCAAAGTCTTTAAGTTTTCTAAAGGCAAGAAATAAGTTACAAAGTTTTATTTTAGATTCAAAGAAAGAAAATGGATTCTTACCAGAACCAATCCGGAGTGCAAAAGAAGGGAATGACGGAGAAAATCATGGAGAAGCTCCCAGGTCATCATGCACCTCGTCAAACCGGAGCCAGCACTGGCTATGGTGCTACTACCACCGGCGGTGTTCACCACGAGAAGAAGGGCATGACGGAGAAGATAATGGAGAAGCTCCCAGGTCATGCACCTCATCAGACCGGAGCCAACACTGCTTATGGTGCTACTACCACTGGCGGTGTTCACCACGAGAATAAAGGGATGACGGAGAAGGTTATGGAGCAGCTGCCAGGCCATCATGGGTCACACCAAACTGGTTATGGTAACACTGGCGGCGTTCACCACCACGAGAAAAAAGGCATGACGGAAAAGATTATGGAGAAACTACCAGGTAATCAGGGGACTAACACGGGCTATGGTGGTGCTACAAACACTGGTGTCGTTCACCACGAGAAGAAAGGTATAGCAGAAAAAATTAAAGAGCAGTTGCCTGGTCATCATGGAACTGGAACCACTACGAGTTATGGTAATACTGGTGGTGTTGTTCATCACCACGAGAAAAAGAGTACGATGGACAAGATCAAAGAGAAGCTTCCTGGTAGTCACTAATTAACTAGAATCGTTCTAATTAACAAGTTGTTTCAAGAATATTTCAGTATCTGTGTTGTATTATTACGTATTCCTACAATATATGATGGTATGTGGCTTTTGAATAAAGCGCGTTATGCGTGTATGTAAGTGATCGGTTCGTTGAATTATTATATAAGTTTCCACTTTTGGTTTCGTTTATTGTTTGTTTTAGCTTTCTATATCTCCTTTGAACTGTATCTACTGTAAAGTGGATACAAATAGACTACTCATGACATTTAGGTAATGTGAACGTGAAGCTCTCAAATTGGGTATGAGTTTTTAGTTTAGTTTTTTACTGGAAAGTGGAAACACAAGCGGCGTTTACTTGGGCAGTAAATGTATTATTTATTCGGGTTTTCGTTTTAGGCCCATAAAGCCCAAATAAGCTATTTTGCGGATATTTAATTAAAAGCGGTGTGGATTACTAACGGACATGTGTCCAACTAACCACACTACCAACGTCTTACGTAATCGCCACGTGTGTCACTCTAAATCAACATAAATGATTTTTAAATATGTGTGTGATTATGATCTCTATACAAAGCTAAGGCACTCTGAGAAATAATCATTCAAAAGCGTTTGATCAGAGTTTGGATTGATATATAGTTTTGTCTAAAGGCAATAGCTAAACAAAGTTTAATATTGGATTGTAAGAGGAAAATGGAGTCTTACCAAAACCAGTCCGGAGCTCAGCAGACTCACCAACAGCTTGACCAATTCGGAAATCCAGCCACCACCGCAGCTCCGGTCATAGCTGAAGGTGGTGGTTTGAGTGGCGTGCTTCATCGTTCTGGAAGTAGCTCTAGCTCCAGCTCGGTACGTATACTTGTGTGTTTCCGCAATTTCTTTTGCAATATTTAATGTACTTTTCCTATATCCCCAAAATATATTATTGTTTCATTTAATTTGACTTCAGCTGCTTGGATACAATTAGCTAGGAAACATATTTTAGATTAATTTCAAAAAGGATAGAGATTATATGTGTGTTGCTTATTGAAAGTATAAGACCTCAAGCCCACAACGGGAAAACAAATATAGCCCAAATACCTTGTAATATTGAAAGTTCTTCTCACCAGCAAAAGACGACAAAGGAGCAAAAATAACAGAACTCTTCTCTGCAACAATAGGACCAAACCGGTTTGATAGTACAATTGTCGGAGAACCAGCTGGGAGTGACGTCTTCACCTTCCTTACACTCTGCATATTTGTGTCTTTGTCTTGCAGAGAAGAGTTATGTTCTTTTTGCTCCTTTGTCGTCTTTTGCTGGTGAGAATAACTTTCAATATTACAAGGTATTTGGGCTATACTTGTTTTCCCGTTGTGGGCTTGAGGCCTTATACTTTCACTTATATCAAAATACATACGTGTATAATAATAAATTTGCAAAAACTTATAGCTTTTCTTTTGGCACGATGTTCTACTAATGTAACATGTGTGTGTGTGTGTGTGTGTGTGTGTGACTGTGTGTGCATGCATGAATTAGGAGGACGATGGACTAGGTGGAAGGAGGAGGAAGAAGAAGGGATTAACCGAGAAGATTAAAGAAAAGCTGCCGGGTCATCATCACGAGTCCGACAAGACTTCTTTAGGTTCCACCACCACGGCCAATGATACCGGCACCACCGTTCACCACGAGAAGAAAGGCATGGTGGAAAAGATCAAAGAGAAGCTTCCGGGTAGTCATCATTAGATTCACGTTTTACCAAACTTGTTTGCGTATGTTGTAGTACCATATATGTAATGCATAAATAATATTTTGGTGTGGCTGAGTGGCTCTTACCAGCCACAAATAATATGACGTAGTTTTTTCCTTAATCAAGGGCCGTTACGCCTATGGTCGTTGAATGGAGTAAAGACATAAACCTCTCCTTTTCGTATCATTTATGGCTCAAGCCTTCAGTTTTTACAAGTGATGCAAATTAAGGTAATGTTAGCACACGGGCCGATTCACGTTTTTTGTCGACATCTTTCCCTTTAAAATAACAAAAGGACATTGACGTTTTCTATTCCCAACACTAAGGAATATCAAAATGAACGAGAAATATGGAAACTATATATAGATGTACCGAACCTAATATCCAAACCAACACTCGCAGTTAAATCTATTCCATCTAACACATTAAAATCTGAGTTGACGTGCGTAACAATCGTACTTGCCACACCTTCGTCTATAAATTTTTCAACCATGCATTCATCATCACTAGATTCCCAATTTATACAGATATGGTGAAGTCAATGGTTCTCGCTCGAATCTCACTTGCTGCGCTGTTTCCTCTTTGTATGTGTTATCGAACACATCAAAGCACGGGCGCGGGATCTCTCTCCCCTTGGTTTTACGACAACTCCTGTCCGAACGCACAAGCCATCGTTCAATCTTTCGTCGCCAAAGCATACGCCATTGACCCTCGCATGGCTGCCTCAATGCTTAGGCTCCATTTCCATGACTGTTTCGTCAATGTTTGACAAAATCTAAACTCTCTATTCTTCGAATATACAATGTTTGACATAAAGTTTAGGAGAAATGTTAAGTCCTAACATATACATACTTTGGTTGGCGCAGGGATGTGATGCTTCCCTCCTTTTGGACAGTAGTGGAACCATAGAAAGCGAGAAACGATCAATTTCGAATCGAGACTCTGCTAGAGGTTTCGAAGTCATTGACGAGATCAAGTTTGCTTTGGAAAACGAATGTCCTGAAACAGTTTCTTGCGCTGATATCTTGGCTCTCGTTGCTAGAGACTCCATTGTAATTGTAAGCCAGTCCTCCTAACATAGTCATTACAATTGTGCGTAATTAATTGTAACAAACACTCGGTAATATTGTAATTATATACAGTGTGGTGGACCGACTTGGGAAGTATATCTTGGAAGAAGAGATGCAAGAGAAGCAAGCTTGAGTGGTTCCATGGAGAACATTCCTACTCCCGACTCCACGTTACAGACACTTGTTAACATGTTCAACGTTCAAGGACTCGATCTCACCGATCTTGTTGCCCTCTTAGGTATATCATATTAAGTTTACATTTGTTCTTGAAGCCATTCATTTTAATAATTAAAGGAACGAATAAACGTTTTAAACAACGATGTGTGATTGTGATTGGATGTTCAAGAAGTTAACTTAATTATCTCTAATAATTCTTCTTAAGATATAAAGTTTTAAGCTAATACATTAATAAAATTTACCTATCAATTCTAAAACTAATAAGCATGGTTTCAAATGTAAGGGAGTCACACGATAGGAAATTCGAGGTGCTTAAATTTCCGACAAAGGTTATACAACCATTCTGGAAACAACGATCCCGACCAGACTTTGAACCAAAACTACGCATACATGTTGCAGCAGGGATGTCCGATTTCGGGCGAGGACCAAAACCTCTTTAATCTTGACTACGTGACGCCGAATAAGTTTGACAATTACTACTTCAAGAACTTGGTGAACTTTAGAGGACTCTTAAACTCTGATGAGATTTTGTTCACGCAAAGCAGTGAAACCATGGAGATGGTCAAGTTCTACGCGGAGAATGAGGAAGCCTTCTTTGAGCAGTTCGCGAGGTCGATTGTGAAGATGGGAAACATCTCACCGTTGACGGGGACTAGTGGTGAGATCCGGAGAATCTGCCGGAGGGTTAATCATGATTTTTGAGTGAGTTTCATTATTTGGATATTTTAAAGTAATATTAACGTTCTTGATTTGTGTTAATTTATTTTTATTTTGTCATTACATTAATTATGAGTTTGGTGATTGTAGTATATGGTTTACCCAAATACATATCAATTTTTGTTGCGACTAAAGTTTGCTAATGAATTTGGAATGTTCCTATTCTCAACAATGATTTTTTGACGTTACAACTCCATTAGGTACGATTTCATATTCGAATTTTAAAGCTCACACGAACCAATTGCATTTTAAAATTTTTTTTTTGACAAGTTGAGTTTCGAGTAAATTTAACACGCTTGCTTCATCTTCTTTCATAAATTTCTTCAAAGAAGCACAGTGAAAATGCTTAGACAATCTATAATACTTTAAGAACCATTATTATTGCTGAGATAGTAAAACTCAGGTTTCATTCTTCGATACACATTATTAGTAGTTTACTTGAGGAATAGAGAACATCATGGTTCTTCTATAGAACGGCATGAGTTCACTCTGTTTTGCTTAACTTGTTTAAGAAGGAGAGAATCTCTTGAGAGACTAGTTGAGACTTCTCCTGCTGGATAAAATGATGACCATCCTCAATAACAACAATCTCAAGGTTAGGTACAACACTCTTGAAAATCTCTCCTTTTACATACTCCATTGTTCCATTGGGTCCTTCGTTTCCGATATCTTTGTTTCCCACTATAAACTTAGTAGGAACGACGATTTTGGAGTCTTGCCATGGAGCCAATATCTCCCAATTCCTGTAAATTTCACATTTCAATACTATGTACGACAAAGACTCTAGATAAAGTTGTGAACAACTTACAGATCCATAGCTCTGTAGTAATTCAAAGGGCCTGTGAATCCAGATCTTTGAAACTTGTCTGCATACACTTGAATCTCTTCTTCGGTTATCCAATCTGGTATAGTCGATGGTATCTCAAGATGATCTATGATCTCTGTATCAGGAGGAGCCACTAAGTAGTCTGTTCTTGTCATCAGTAAGAACTTCTTCATTACCGTCAAGCAATCATGCTTGGCAAATGCAGCCTCAGCTCTTCCAGGTTTCTTTTAAAAACCGAACAGAAATCGAATTAAGGACGAGAATATGAATACCATAATGCTAACAGCATAATACTAACATCATAAATCTTGAAAGTAAGTTTTGGTTTTACCTGAAACTGAGACATGTATAACCCATCTCCAAAACTTTTCAAAAAATCTGAAGGTTTGAGTTTTGGATCTCTTGGAGTATATGGAACAGAGAGACTTATGAAACCTTTGACTCGGTCTGGTCTAAACAAGCACAGACACCAACCTATGATCGCTCCCCAATCATGCCCTGCCACAAAAGCCTACAATAGTAAAAAATGTGAACTCTTCTTTTCCAGAAATCTATATCTATCTAAATCTAAAAAGTTGGATACTCAAGAAGATCACTTTTCACCTGAGCAGTGCCGTAGTGGTCGAGCAAACCGATGACATCACCGACGAGGTGGCTCACAGTGTAAGACTCGTGGCTAGGAGGAGAGTCGGATTCGGCGTAGCCTCTGAGATCTGGAGCGACCACGTGGTAACCTTTGCTTGACAAGAAATCGATCTGGTGACGCCACGAGAACCATGTCTCAGGGAAGCCATGAAGTAACAGAACCAAAGGCCCTTCTTTGTCTACTTTCTCAGCAACGTTTAACCAAATCCCGTTGGTCTTGATCTTCTTCTCTCTAACAGAGCTCGTCATGATTCTTGATAGTTGTGAGAGAGAAGAAAAATCAGCGACCAAGGTGGAAGACTTTATTACAAGAGTTGAGAAATGAATGTACACGTCTCGTGGCGGCGAATGAGACCAGGCCTCTAGTTAGGTTACACGTGGCGGTCACTTGTCCTGACTCAGTTTCATCAGCCAAGTTCATGAAACAAGAAAAACATGACTGAATATAAAGAACAGAAACGTAAAGTAACTCTCAGTTCTGTCGACAAAGTTTGTAGAAAAGACAAGGGCGAGTTAACTCTTAAGAGAACACACGCTAAACACAACAAAGAAGAGTAATTCTAACTCAAGACAAGAAAAGAGATTGTTATTTGGGATTATTTCTTTGTTTGATCTAATGAAAGCAATCTCAAGAAGAAATTGACTTCTTCTTATCTTCTTCGAGCTGCTGAAGTTCGGTCAGTCTTTCAGCCCAAGCTCGGTCTCTTGCGACAGCAGCCATCTTACGTTCCACTTGCTTGATTCTCTTCTTTCTCTTTGCCTCTTGCACCAGCGCTTGCCTCTTCTTTTTCTCAGACTGTGAAAACATTCACGAACACTCCATCTTATTAGTAACCGAAATCTTTCTCTTAGAAGACATCTAAAAATAAGAAACATTGCAGATTGTTTTGCCAGGAAATGGAAACAAAACAGAGAAGCTAAGAGAGATACAGCCTTTTTATTTTCCCATAAGTTACTTTTGAATTCTCATCTTTCAAACTTTTTCTCGTGTGTACAATCTATGGATTCTCAACAGATATTTCACCCAAGTATGTCAAGCTATGCGAATGCAACTATCAAAAAGCTCTCTAATTTCTTAAATCAAACTACAAAGCACATCAGACTTACCAGTATAAAGGCACGACGCTGCCCTATGCGCTTCTTCGCATTCCTTCTCTTCACACTGCCTTCATTAGGATTGTTTGAAGAAATTGGCTGGCCAGGTGTATATTGAACATATGCATACGGTCCTGCATTTTCCTCAAATCTAATTATTCATCTATACAATCCGAACACAGATTATCTCTAGCTATATCATTTCTGCAGTAACAACACAAGTGGAGCTATAAATACAATCACTTTCCACTAAGACCACACTAGATCAACACTAAACCCACGAAAGGCTAAGTTTTCAAACAGCATTAACAAAACCCCCTATAAAGATTACACTAACTCCGTTCTGAATCACAAACAAACTCATTACAATTGCAGAAACAAAGCATCAATTTTTGCAACCCCAGACTAAAAATGAAGCTTAAATGATACACATATAAGCCATCAATATTCGATTTTTACGGTACAAACCAAGCCATTGAAACAAAATGACAAACCTGGAGGTTTCAATTTGGATCTTTTCTTCTTGGGATGAGTCATGGGTCGTCTCTTCGGAAGCCGAGTATCAGTTAAGCTTAAGCTATGGAAATGGTTGGTCAATGGAATCCATGGTAACCTCAAATGAGTCGTCGATCCACCGAAGAAGGAGCATAACTCGGACTTCGCAGCTGGAATCGTCCCAAGGAATGGCGCAGACGAGTAGTTAGCGGCGGCACGCGAAACCAAGGTTCTCGACAATGGACGAAATATCGATCTGATTGCTCCGAAACCCATTTTCACCAACGCATCAGCGAACAGGTTCCGACCCAAAAGCTGCTGAATTTACCGATCAAGCTTCGAAAATTTCACCAAAGTTGAAAACTTGAGTTGAAACAAAGAACTCTTCGCTAAACCCTGAGTGACCTTACTCACACACTAGTGGGCCTGATGGACCTATAAAGTATACTTGGGCTCAGAAATGTGGCGTTAGAGGATTCTACAATTGGGATAACGAAAACAAAGACGCAGTACACGCACATCAAAAATATACGATTCTGTTTTAAGACTATAAATCAATAAAATCAATAAATCGTGCAGATTTCATTTTCTCCAAATCTCATTAACTTTTTTTTTTGCGAAAATTATGTTACTGTCTAAAAATTATAGTGTAATTATGGAGCTATAGAGAAAGACCTGCGTCGTAATTTTATATCCATTGAAGAATTTGGATCAGTGTGCTACATAAGGAAAGCAAATATCATACCATTAACACACCAATTCCATATATAGAACCATTTTGTAATTCTTATAGATATAGTTACCTTTTAAAAATAGATTAAGATTGTATCCAAGTTATATATCATCTTCAAACTAATATAAATATGTTCACCACTCTCGTTCATTCTCCATACACAACAACTTCATCTTTTTTTCCTTCACGAGTTGGCAAAAGGTGTGACCAACATACCAAACATGTTTTCATTAAGTCGTCCTACAACTACAACCCTTGTCCGTTTTCAATCTTTACTCACAGAAATATATGTTTCTCATATTATCATCTGATTATTCGTTACATGTTCTAATGTTTTCTTGCAGACTTGTGGGTTTAAAGTGAACACTAACTCTCCCGAATGGCACAAGAGCATGACAAAAATCCTCAAGAAAATCAAAGGTTTGTTCCTTTTCTATATTTTCTTACTAGTATAATGTTCTTCATCATCGACTCAATATCATTTTTATTTGTAATGGTTTAGGAGGGAATTTTTGGATAGACGTGGACGAAGGAATGGCATACGTAACGGGTCAAGGCGATCCAAAAAAGCTACTGAAACTAATGGGTTCAAAGAGAGGCAAAGATGCTGAAATGGCCTTTGTGAGAACCGGAACGCACCATCAGTACCATCATCATCATCATCATGATCACAATTTTTACAACAATCACCAAAACGCATCATACTTCGGCCAGTCAACGCCTTATTGGCCGGGGTACTATCCTCCTGCCTCAGGGATGCAACCTTACCATCAGCATCAATATCCATTTGCCGGAGGATATAATAACTACGGTTATTATTAATTAGAGCTTTTATGATAACTTATGTCGAGATCGAGCATACCCCTTTTAAAAAAACCTATATTAGGGTTTTATGCCTGTATCCGATTTTTTTTTTTTTTTTGGGATGGTTATTCTTTTTGCTCTTTTACAAGCAGAAGAGAATTATATCAGAGGAGATTTGAAATTTCTCTGTTTAAAGTTTAGTTTGTGTTTTTGTATGAATCCGATGATATTCCCAAATGTTGTTCATTAGGGTTCCTATACAACCATAACATAATGGATTAATGGAAATGTTTCAAGTTTGCACTATTATTTTTTTATTTTTTTTTCGGCAATTTGCATTATTATTTTTGGTTAAGTTTGCCATATTTGCTTATGAAACAATTGATACGGTAGCATCTTTCAATGATTTGGTGGAGGGGATTTATTCTCTATTCTGATATAAGACAGATTTATCAGATTGAGTTGCTCGGAAACGTAACGTTCTTATTATTTATTAGTATATAAATAAGATATGTTTCATCCTTTTGCAATCTAAAATATCGTATGAAAAGAACTTCAATTGTCTCTTTTAAATTGTTTGATTCATGAATATTTAAATTGTTTGAATCTTAAATCAAAGGTAATATCGAATGGAACCAAATCTTGTTGAAGCACGTGATAGAGTCCATATAGGATAAGTGCTGAGATTAGTCCGGAAACATAGATAACAATGGGGAACAAGTTATAACACGTCAAGAGTAGACAATAGAGAGTAATTAATCCAACATCTTAAGACATTAGACTGAAAAGCTTAAGCCAAGTGTTTGGCAATGGTAGATTGAAGCTCATCTTTCTTGGCTCCAACAACTTTGTCCAAAATCTTCCCTTCCTTCAAAAACATGAAGGTTGGCATCGCCTCTATCGCCCAATCACTTGCCACCGACTGTTCCAACAAAACATTGAAGGATTGTGATCGAATATCTCAAGAAGAAGGGGAATTTTGTGGTGCAAAATTTTACCTTCAATTCATCAATATCAACCTTGAGGAATAGCACATTGGGGAGTTTCTTAGCCAAATCAGCAAAGAATGGAGCGATAAAACGACATGGTCCACACCAAGTAGCCGTGAAATCAACCACCACCTTCAACAATCAACCAGTCTTGAATTATTTCATTGAAAAAACCATATTTACACTGATGTATCAACCTATTAATGATCTTCAATCAAATGAACATATTATTGGAATACAAACCAATATCCCACATCGGAAGATTAGAAAGAGATATTTATAATATATAAATCAAGTCCAACTCCAATTAGTATGAGGCCTTTTGGGAAGGAGCCCAATAAATCCGTGCGGGCTTGAGTTATAGGCCCAAAGCGGACAATATCATACTAATAGAAAGTTGGCTTGGACTTGAAAATCCAACAATTGGTATCAGAGCCTAGGTCAAGATTGTGGACCTAGGGGAATGGATATTGGTTTGAGGGGGAGTATTGGAATACAAACCAATATCCCACATCGGAAGATTAGAAAGAGATATTTATAATATATAAGTCAAGTCCAACTCCAATTAGTATGAGGCCTTTTGGGAAGGAGCCCAATAAATCCGTGCGGGCTTGAGTTATAGGCCCAAAGCAGACAATATCATACTAATAGAAAGTTGGCTTGGACTTGAAAATCCAACACATATCATATCATAAGAATTGAGAACATTACATTACATCCATATTTAGGGTAAATATTGTTTCTTTGAAACATTAACATCGATTGCACTATATATACATTATGATATCCATCCATACTAGCCCTAGAATCTTATATATCTAAGGTAATTCAATTCAAGAAGATAACAATGATTTCAATTGTTATTGCACGTATATATATATTCTGTAGAATGTTAAATCAAGCATGAATTAAAATCCAAAGATTCAACGCATTACATTGCTTGCGTTATGATACGAGCAAAGACGCAGAAACAATCCAAACAAATCAAAATCAAGGATTTTTTATTTTTATTTTTATTTTTAAAGAAAGACCAATCCACATCTTGACAAAAAACAAAATCAAATCAAGAAATTGGGGAGAAGGAAAGAGTACAAGAGTTTTGGAATCATTAGCCTTCTGGAGTTGCTCGTTCCATGACTCAACGGTGTGGCACGCAATCACTTGTCCCTCGTCTGAAGCCATCTTTTCTATCTCTCTTTCTCTGTTCTGTTGTTCTGTTTCTGTGTGTTTCAATTACTGTACTTAGCATGATGCTCTCATGTCTCACCTTTCAAATATAGCCCGTAGAGTCACCATTTTGCTGCCATCAATATTTTTCTCTTTCTCCTTTACTCGACGCGTGATTTGGTTTTTCATAATTACACCCACCAATATGCTACTTTCCTTCTTTATCCAAATCATAAATATTCCCACTCTCTTCACTCAAGTTTATACTTTGTAACAATTAACACACACAAAAGAGAAAATTGTTGAGTAAAAACATTCTGTAGACATCATTTGGACAACAGTCTAAGTTCGTCCCTTTCCGACAAAAAGTTCACACATTCAACCCTCATTTCTTCAAGACATCATAACTCTCTCTAACCAGATACTTAGATCAATCCAAATCTACAGCTGGATCATTTTCTTGAAACAATACGTTCCCATGATGAACCAACCCATAAGCAAAACCGCTAGAATCGAGCAGGCAGCTATGAAATTCCAACCACCGAGTAAGATTCCTAGAGTGTAGACTATGACTGGAGGCAAAAGGGACTTTACTACAGCCACTTTGCTCACCCAACGTCCCTTGAGGAACACAAGTGCCGCGAGATTCACCACGTTCCACCCGCCTGACCTTACCGCTAGACGGTTTAGGTTGTTGGCAACGAAGGAATGACAGTTGCATGTTAATATGTTATATGAATGATGTTGGTACTCTTGTGTGCCTTTTCTTAGTGTATCATCCCATGTTGGCTCTTTCTCATGACTGTCTTCTTTGTCCTCATATCTGTTTTCACCATTGACCATACAGAAACCAGAAGAACGAGATGATTCCTGGTTAAATCCAAGTCCAACGTGAATAGAGTTGTTAGTTTGCAGCAAGTTAAAACATGAAAGCCTAGCTTCTTGCAAACCTACCTTTTCGTTGTTGATTTGGATATATCGACAAACAGCTCCAAAGGCGAAATTATCAACACAAACGAAATTAGGTCCTGCAAAGTCGAGGATGACACCGTCTTCTCTACAAATACCCACATGGCCAATGAAGGGAATCAGCCACGAAATAAAAGGGAGAGGTGTCCAGACAATGCAGCAAGGGAACCGATCTCTTCTAGGATCAATCCTCATGGGATCTGCAAAACCAATCATCATACGATGTTCTGAGTCTGCAGCTGTCTCTCCCATTATCAAACTCCAGGTGAGGTCTATTAATCGCTTCTCTGTCCGCAAAAAACAACATGTCCAGTGATCCCCAAGTAAGTAAGCAAGTAAGACTCAATAAAACACTGAGATTTGACAAGTACAAGTTCTCAATACTGGCCTATACAAAGATACCAACAAAACGAGTTCCCAATACTTGCACAGCATAGAAGTCGAGATAGCAATTCATCTTGTGAAAAATCAATTCATTGTTTTCTATGTCAACACATTAAAGCTAACACCACCGAGGAAAGCTAAGTAAAACAATTTTCGTAATTCTACAAATCGCGAGTATTAAACACTAGACGATGAACACCTAGAAAAATGGCGGACGAGTAATCGAATACATAAACACCATTGAAGATGCACAATCAAACTAGGAACGAGTCAACATCGAAGAATCTCATAGGCCTAGATCAACACGTACCAGTTCAAGCGACGAAGACGATGATAAATCGGATCTAACACAATCTTCACGAATTTTGTTTTTTCTGTAGCAGAGTGAATCACTGCCTTTTTCCTGGGAATTTTTGTTTCTCTCTCGATCATACGAAATTACGAATGATGGCTGAAAAATGTGTTTGGCTCCTCATTAAAACAAATCCTACCAGAGGATATCTTAACCGTTTCATGGATAGTAATAGTATCTCTCCTCGCGAGGAAATAAACGACATAACGTTTCGGCAACTATCACGAAAACGGCAGGCTGTTTAGATGCGAAAAACGTCTGATATTTTAATACGACGTAGTTTTGAAAGCTCTCGACTCAATTCATTCATCGCTCTCTCTCTCTCTCTCTCTCTTTAGCTCTGGGGGAGATTGGTGCTGCTACCTACTGATGCAAATCTGCCATTGATACGTACATCTGCTCGTGGTTAGGCGAAGATGAGGAAACGCGATTTGGCAATTTTGATGCTCTCTGGATTTGCTATATTCTTCACTCTTCAGGTGATTCACACACTAGTCGTCTTCTTCTTACTCTTTCTTAACTCAAATTATATAGCATACGACTTCTACAACCCTTGATCGACCCGTTGCTAGAGAAAGCTTTGAATTTTCCTGTGTGGGTTAATTTTCAACTCCCAATTCAATCCATTAGTGGTGGGTTTTTAGCTAGATTGTGCAATTTTCAGATGGAATCATAGTGTAACGATTCGTATGTAAATTGGTTTTTTTCGTTGTTGGTGCTTTATATACGCGAGGCTTGAATCTTGGTTATTTGCAGCACGAGGGTGATTTCGCGTTCAAAGAAGCATGGTTTCATTTGTATGATGAGTACCCAGTCAAATACGAAGCTGATCGTCTCCCACCACCTATTGTGGCTGATCTTAATGGTGATGGAAAGAAGGAGGTTCTCGTTGCTACTAATGATGCAAAAATTCAGGTATTACTGTTCGCTACTTCTGATCTCTGCAATTGTCTTACTTTGTTAAAGTAAACATTTTGTGATTTCAGTTAATGGTGTGAGGCTTAGTGCCTATGCAATTCTCTTTTATGGTTTGCTGTTTATGTGTTGGATTAAGTTCTGAAACTGTTGATGTTTGGTAGGTCCTGGAGCCTCATTCTAGGCGTGTGGATGAGAGTTTTAGTGAAGCACGGGTTCTTACAGAGATCTCCCTTTTGCCTGACAAGATCCGAGTTGCGTCAGGGAGACGTGCTGTGGCCATGGCCACTGGTGTTATTGATAGGTACTATAAAGATGGAACTCCACAGAAGCAGGTTTTGGTCGTTGTTACCTCAGGTTGGTCTGTGCTCTGCTATGATCACAACCTGAAGAAGCTATGGGAAACGAATCTGCAGGTTTTTTTTTTATCTTCTTCATTCTTTGTCTAACGTTCCTCATATAGTTTGCCGTGGTTCAGTAATATTAGTTCTCCTTTTACTTACCTTTGCTGGTGAATTGACAGGAGGATTTCCCACATAATGCACACCATAGGGAGATAGCAATTTCGATAAGCAATTACACTTTGAAGCATGGTGATACGGGTTTGGTTATTGTTGGTGGACGGATGGAGATGCAGCCATATGTATGTAGGAGGAAAATTTCCTCTGTTGATTTCCTATTTATCTTCCATATATTTATTACCAATAAATTTTTCTTTTCGTTTTAGAATCACATGGATCCATTTGAGGAACTTGGCATGACAGCAAAAAATGCTGAGCAACACAGAAGAAGTGCTACTGAGAAACAGGTACGGCTACATGATTGCTTCCTTGGACTGATTATTTGCTATGTATATCTGTTGTTTCCGTACACAATTTTTCTAGAACTGAACATTTATGAAGAAATAGCTATTCATCTGTAGTTATACATATTCCACTTTTCATAAGAACTGTGTTTGGACTGTTTAGAAGAATTTTAAGCTTCATTTCAGGCCTCTGAAGATTCTGGAGCGATAAACTTGCGTCACTTTTCTGTCTATGCATTCGCTGGCAAGACTGGCGTTCTACGATGGAGTAAAAAGACTGATGTCAGTTATTTATTTTTTTTTGGCTAATTTCTTTCTCTACATTATTCCTTAACGACATTCTTACCTGGAACAAATTTGGCTGTCAGATTGATAGATATTTTCTTTCTTCTCATCTAGGATGTTGAAGCTCACACCTCAGATGCATCACAGTTAATTCCACAACACAATTACAAGCTTGATGTGCATGCTCTAAATAGTCGTCACCCGGGAGAGGTAAAATTAACTCGGTTTTCATTGATTGTTGAGCGATATAGTTAACCTTGTCGTACTTTCTTAAGAGATTTCTATTGGCTGAAGTTTGAGTGCAGGGAATTTAGAGAATCAATTCTTAGTGTTATGCCCCATCACTGGGTAAGTCTTATGCCTCTTACTATGTACTTCGTTAGTGTAATATGCTTAGAAAACTGTTTCAAAGTACATTGTTGTCTTTGCATCAGGACCGACGTGAGGATACATTATTGAAGCTTGCTCATTTCAGGCGACACAAGAGGAAAACATTGAAGAAGCAGGCTGGTAAGTCTACAGCTTACCCCTTTCACAAACCTGAGGAACACACACCCGCTGGTAAAGACTTGTCGAGAAAAATTCCAAAATTGATTGGGAAGGCTGCACGCTATGCTGGCTCGGCAAAACCCAAAAAGGTGAAAGCTCTTATAAAACATAAACTACCCACATGAAGAATACCAATATTTGTTTATGATAGCAAAGCAACATGTTGATGCAGGGTATGCAATACATTCCGACTATAACTAATTACACAAAGCTTTGGTGGGTACCTAATGTTGTTGTGGCTCATCAAAAAGAAGGGATTGAAGCTATCCATTTGCCTACTGGTCGAACTCTTTGCAAGGTAGGTCCTGGTAGCTATTCCTTCAGATCATGAATAAGCTTACTATTTCACGTACCCATATTGTACTTTGTCAGCTTACTTAAATTCTTCCCATCTCCAGCTTTCTCTACTTGAAGGTGGACTTCACGCTGACATAAACGGAGATGGTGTTCTCGATCATGTACAGGTACACACATCAGACACTACTGCTTCTTTCAGTTCATTGGCCTTCAATCTTTAGTTTAACAGCCATAAATTGTGTGTCCTCCTTAGACTGTCGGAGGCAATGTTGGAGAGAGAACTGTAGTGAGCGGATCAATGGAAGTGTTGAAGCCTTGCTGGGCTGTGGCAACCTCAGGTGTTCCCGTCCGCGAACAGCTCTTCAATGTCTCGATCTGCCATCACTCCCCATTCAACTTCTTGCACTATGGAGATTATTCACGACACTTTGCCCAGGCAAGAGACACCTCTACTCTGGAGATCGCAACACCCATTCTCATCCCCAGAGATGACGGGCGTAAACATCGCAGAGGAAGTCATGGAGATGTAATCTTCTTGACAAACCGTGGAGAGGTACTTTTTTACCTTCTATATATGCTAAGTCAATATCCTAATTACTTGAACTTTTTAATTTCGATTAATAATAGCTCATTGCTGCTCCGTATCAGGTGACATCATACACGCCAGATGTGCACGGCCACGACGCAGTCTGGCAATGGCAGCTTCAGACAGAAGCTACATGGTCGAATCTCCCGTCTCCATCGGGTTTAACTGAATCAGGGACGGCGGTCCCAACCCTGAAACCGTTTTCGTTGCGCATTCATGATAACCAGCCTATGATCCTTGCGGGAGGAGATCAAGCAGCCGTCATCATCTCCCCAGGAGGAAGTGTACTGGCTTCCATTGAGTTACCGTCTCAACCAACTCATGCACTTGTCACTGATGACTTCTCGAACGACGGTCTAACGGATGTGATTGTGATGACATCAAATGGGATTTACGGGTTCGTTCAAACCAGACAGCCAGGGGCTCTGTTCTTCAGTTCGTTGGTGGGATGTCTCTTAGTAGTGATGGCAGTTATTTTCGTTACACAGCATTTAAACTCCATTCAAGGTAAGCCACGACCTTCAGCTAGCTTTTGATTGAAACCTCATAAAGAGTTTTCTTCCTCTCGACGGAAGCTAAACTGACCGTTCCCATTAGCAGCGCTTCACCCGAACCGGTTTTGGGAAACCAAACAGGGAACTGTTATTATACCGGTGTAGATACAGTGCCTTATTTCCTGGTTTCAGCTGCTGTATAACTTTATACTATGTAGAATCCAAAGTAAACATGGTAGAGAAGAGTGTAGGACTTTATCTTTCTTTCAATTTTGACGTTTTAATGGAACTGTTGTGACATTTAAATTAAAAAGAAATCTTGAAAAGAAAGACAAATTTGGTTTTATTCGAAATATATATGTTAATTTGTTCCCTCAACATACATTCATGGGACTCATCGTACAATATACGATATATTTCTAAACAAAAACTAAATAGGTTAAGTAAATTAGTAGGCTTAGCTTGCCAGTAATAATTGATGCAGCGATGTGGTTAAAAATTTATAGATTTTTGGACCACGCTAGTCTTTAATAATATACTCCTCAATTCTCAAATGGGGAATGTGGGAGGCATGAGTGGCGTAATGATTTACACAAATACTATAAATAATACTACTCCAAGCTACAAAGCCATCGTTCGTTATACATCAAAATATTGCTATCAGACATTGAAAGAAAAAAAACACTTACTTTTTCAGAAAATGTAAGAACATTTTCTTAGTTACACCAATATTTGCTTTTTGTTTTTGCTTTCATACCAAACTTTATGTAAATGCTTGCTACGACAATCGAATATTCACGGATATATATAATGATAAGTTTATAAATAGAGGAAATAGTTCATATGTCATATGAGTTCATCAACATTACTTTTATGATTTAACCTTATACATATGAACTCATATTATGTACAAACTCCTATTTTCTTAAGATTAGAAAATTTCATGTTTAATGTTCGTACATATGTGTGTTTTAGTTTTAAACCCTAAACAAAACTATATAGCCAGTGAATCTAATCATTGTAATTAGGGCCTTAGAGATTGGATTTACTTTGTAATAATTACGAGATAATGTAAACCAAAATATAACTTCAAATCCAAATATAATTGCAAGTCTCATTTTTATTTTGGGGTCAAACGCAAACATGTCATTATTTT